AGTCAGTCCACTAGAATCCCAGGCAGGATATCACTAGTGCAAAATAAACAACCATGGTGCAATGAGGAAATAACTTTTGCAAAATAAATGGCTTTGCTTAGCAATCACGATTTCTGCTGTTTAACACAAAACGAACACATATCTTGTAATGTATTAGCTAGATTAAGATATAAACTAGATAAATATAACAAAAACCAATCATCATTAGCTCTAATTATGGTGAAATTGCAAGGAAAAACGAGTAAGTGAATGTAGGTCAGCAGAGTTCTTCTACAGGAAGTGAGAAAAATGTACAGATAAAAACAAAAATAAATCTCACAGAAAATAGCAGTTAAAACGACTCCCTGTACATCTAAAGTGTTCCATACCTTAATGTAAGTATAACACAACCTTGACTGGGAAACACTTTCCTACTGTAAAAACTGTCTGAACTGCTAGAAAATGGTATTTGACTCCAAAAATAAAAAATTGAAAAATTAAAAATTTGTTACAGTATGTAAGAATCATATACACGTCGAATTATTAGCATAAATGTCTCAGTTTGAACGATAAATGGAAATATAACACTTCCGGGAAATTTTGTCACAAACGCCTTATGGACTTTTCTCTATTATATTCCCTATATTTTTAGAATATACCATTGATAGTGCTGACTGTGCTTCCGGGTTACTTGTGGGACTGAATATTTCCTAAAATTCCATTGGATGCCAAAAAGTTATGGGCGACTTCCGGTGGACAAAGTTGTTTTGAAAATATATGTATTTTGGACAATATCTCCATCAGTTGACTTTTAATTACGGTAAGTAGCATACCAAATTTTCCTGCTATAAGAGGCCTTCACTATAGATATACATATTAGCACACGCAACACTAACATATCCCAAATATGAAGTAGAACTAGATATCTAATTTTGGACTTTTGAACGGAGATCAGAGATGGAATTTGCACATATTTCACTGATTTTGTTCACGGAGTCAAGATTGATTGTAGAAGTATCAGCACCTCACGAAAAGTTCCCCATACAACAGAAAATTTCAAGGACCACCCTCAGGAACGCCTATCGGTACACCATAAAGAATTACAAAAGCTATGGAAATTACTTGCTGTCGCACATGTAATAAATTCTTAACTCAGTGTATTCAGTGCTCGATTTTCTCCGTCCTAGAAAGTCCAGATAAAGTGGAATTCGTGTCCATAATGACAAATAAGAACTTAAAAATTTGAAGTGGAATTCACATTGCCGATGTGGATTGGCTCCCAGAATGCTGCAACATGACACGTGTCAGCTTTCAAAATGCTGTTCCGCCATTTTGAAATCTGTCATGAGTAAATAAGGTTACTTGATGTTGCATTCTGGGAGTCAATCCTCCTTGGATCACAAATTCATGAAAACATTCGTTAGATTTGGTAGGGATTCATCCATCATTTGCAGGTATGAAGCTTTGGATTCATTTATTGTGCTACTTAAAGTCAATGGGAATTATTTTTCTACCACTTGGGAGAGTTTGAGACACGAAACTTAGAATTTAGCTCATTGTGACAACTTTTGAGGGTTGAGATTTATTTTTGCACCCCACTTTAGTGGAGTTGTCCTTGTTGTTGTTGGTATCCTGATGGCAGTATGGTGTAGAGGTGTCAAGTATTAACCGGTTAACCGGTTAACCGCCGATAATGCCTTGACCGGTCTGAGTTTTTATGGGCGGTTAGTTGACCGTGTATAATTCTGTTATTTCCCGCGCTTATTTTGCATGCTAATCCGTAAGGTTTTATGGTGTCAGTTTCACGTAAGCTACTCATACATGTCATAAGTCCCATAACTCCTTACAAACATCCAATCAGCAACTTTAATCCCTGCCACATTGCTTTCCCGCGCTTACTTTGCATTTTAATCTGTTTGTTTTTCAAGCGTCAGTTTCATGTGAGCTACTCATACATGTGATAGGTCCGATAATTCCTTACAAACATCTAATCAGCAACTTTAATCCCTGCCACAATGCTTTCCCGCGCTTACTTAGATAGAATAGCGTAAAGCTTGACGAACGTAAAAAATAAACGCCGATATATCATTTTTCCATTTTTTCAACTTTCAAGATCGAAGATGAAGATTTCATTTGAAATTATAAGTTCAAATTTCCCGCCGGTTAACCGACTTTAACCGGTAAAAACCCCCGGTTAACCGGTTAATGCTCAAGCGGTTAATTGACACCACTAGTATGGTGCTATTATGGAGACCCTATCTGTTACAAGACTTATGCCTGGCACAACCGTCACCATGTTATTAAGTGTTTTTAAGTTTCGCAAGGATCCTGCCATGACCGTGGTAGTGTTATTGTGATAGCCTGATATAAACGTGACAATGCTATATTATATTGCATGGCCTGTCATGACTGTGGTAATGTTAAAGCCTGATATGACCGTAACAATGCTATACTATATTGCAAGGCCTGACATGACCGTGGTGGTAATGTTAAAGCCTGATATGACCGTGACAATGGTTGCAAGGCCTGTCATGACCGTGGTAATGTTAAAGCCTGATATGACTGTGACAATGGTTGCAAGGCCTGTCATGACTGTGGTAATGTTAAAGGACAATATGACCATGACAATGGTTATATTAATTGACATTTAGTAGCATGAGAATACTGTAATGAAAAATTTCATAGTTTATCTTCCTTAATATGTAAATCTAGAATTATATATAATTCTAATCTCATTCAAGAACGTGAACATTGTTACGGTCATATCAGGGTTTGCCACAGTCATATAAGGCTTTAACATCACCACGGTCATGACAGGCCTTGTAATATAATATAGCATTGTCATGGTTATACCAGGCTTTCACGATAACAAAACCACGGTTATGGCAGGATCCTTGCGAAACTTAAAAACACTTAATAACATGGTGACGGTTGTGCCAGGCATATAAGTCTTGCAATAGATAGCATGTGCTATTAATATTATGTCATCTATTAGTCTCTGTGCTGGTTAATCACTAGATTGCCATAACGCTGTGCCATTCTGATACTCATAGCATTTTTTCTGTTTCACCTGAAACATGCTCTGATATTATGAGGCACATTCTGTGATCTGAGCACATCAGATGGGAAGAATTACAACTGTCAATAAGTGTGATAGTTATCATGTAATCATTTACCTTAATGCCAATATATGTAATTCATCATAAACTAAGATTTAATAAACTAAAATCTTTAAAATTGAACCCTTCAAAGACTGTATCGTGTCCAACGTACGTGGGTAGGTGGGTATGAGGTAGGAGGTTTTTTATACAAAGCCCTCCATAAGTTTGACAACCTTTTTCCCATAGGCTTAAAGCCCCTCCATCATGTCTATGTTTATATTTTTATTTTCATAACCTGCAATGAAAAAACTGATAATGAAGGCAGTGATGTAATTTGACTTTATATCCCATACGTCCAAATTTTTTCAATTTTTTCCTCAATAACAATAGTTTGAAAATGGCTTTGTATAAAAAACCTTATAACCACTTGTGTGGGTTGTAATACAGTCTTTGAAGGGTTTAATTACACTCAAATTATTTGTACTGTAAAATTTGTCAAGTCAAAGATTAAATTAGTTTTGAATATGTAAGTGTAATTGTGTGATGACCTTCGATAGCAAGCCGCTACTACAGTATTGTAGTGGCTAGCCCTTATGGCTCAGGGGTAGAGCATCTGACTCGAGAGCGGGAGGTCCTGGGTTCGATTCCTGTATGGGGCATTGAGTTTAGCACATTCTCTTTCGAGTCTAGTATCTGGCTCGGTACACTACAGCTCCCCGACGAGTGTGCCCAAGGGTCGTTACATTGGTGTCAGAAGTGGGATTGCCCTTGTGAATCAGTTACGACGGGACGTCATCTTCTAGGGGGGGATGGTGTGATGACCTTCGATAGCAAGTCGCTACTACAGTCTCAGCTGTAGTGGCTAGCCCTTATGGCTCAGGGGTATAGAGTCTGACTCGAGAGCGGGAGGTCCTCGGTTAGCACATTCTCTATCGAGTCTAGTATCTGGCTCGGTACACTACAGCTTCCCGACGAGCGTGCCCAAGGGTCGTTACATTTGCTTAACTTTGGATGATAATTCACTATCGATTCCAAATCGAAAATTGATGACTTTGATGAACATTTGAAAATGGTCATTCCAATGTAAACCAACAATGAGAAAAAGTGGGCTTGGGGCAAATCAGATTTCAGGATATCTATTCAAGAAAGATTAAACCAAAAAATTATTTTATATACAAAATTAAATTGCCTAACTTTTTGCATGCTAAGTATTCAGTAAAATTTTGTGTTAATAAATGTGTTAGATAAAGTGAGCAAATTCAATTGTCTACTTAACTTGTATTTTTTTGTTAGATGGTAAGATATTTTATCATATGATTTGCAGCAAACCTACCATTTCCCATTGGTTTACTTGGGAATACTAGTATCGATTTTCAAAAATTCATCAATTTTCAACTTATTGTAATTGAGGAAAAAATTAGAAAATATGAATAAAGTTACATATAAAAAATCAAACACAGAGTGAGACTTTGACAGATAAACCTATGGGGAAAAAGGTTGCCAAACTTATGGAGGGGAGTGTACCTGTAATAAGAGATTCTTCTTTACTTAGAGATGTCTGAATTGACTTTATTGCTGTATTAGATTTCACACTTTTATATGCTATTGACAATGCAGTTTAAGAAGTTGCTCTTTCAGTTAAGCACCCATGGGCATTTAAATGGGAGGGTCTGCTTGCGATCTAGTGAAAAATGTAGGGTGACTTATAAGGATGAAATATACTGAATACACAATATATAGTGAGTGATGTACCAGTCTCATGGTTTATATTCATTGGGTTTTCTCAGTTTCTTTTTTGTATATGAGTTTCTTACAATCCTCAGTCCTTCTTACAATGTGTCCTCTTTAGATAAACCATGGCAATTGCTATATGCATTTGTGAAATAAATGTTACTCTCTCTTTTCCAGTAGAATCCTGATCTTCTAAGAAAACATACAGCATGTCTGAGAAAGAATGGTGGCGTGAAAAGGCAGAAGAGGTTGTGATTTACGCAGGGACACACCCGTATGAATTCATTTACTATGTACTGCTGTGCCTCTCCCCTTTCTTCTTCATATCTGCACTGTTATCATGGCAACTAGCAAAGCAAATAGAGCAAAAAGAAAGAGCAGAGAAAAAACAGCGCAGGAGAGACGCTAACATAGCAAAAGTAAAAAGTAAACAAAAAGCCTCAGCAGATAAAGCAGTAGCATCATCTGAAAAGGCGGCCAAGGAGAAAGGCTCAAAGGCAGACTAGAATGTTACAAAATCTAGGATGACATTTTAATTCAGGTTGAAATAATCTTGAGATGCAAGGATTTAAGATGCAAAGATTTACATGTATTGTACACTCAACAGAAACCAGGCTCTTGTGATCGTCATTATGGATTATATTATTGTGCCACAGAATGATACATGACATGATGTATATAGAGTCTCCAGACTATAAAGAGAGTGAAATTTATTGCAAACCTTTACAATTCAGCATGCAAGACATAACAGATTTGGTGAAATGACACATTAAACACACAAAATCTTCCATGTTTACAGTATATCAATGCCAATAGATTTCCTTTCCTTGGACAATATTTCATCATTGTTAATGTTAGTGAACATTCCATCTTGTTCAATGAATACATTAACCTTATCAGATGTAAAATTGTATGTGGGCAGAGCAGTGATGTCAGTTTACATGTTTGAGCAGTGGATCATCTGTTGAAGTATTCTAGATGCTTCCTGGTCATCTCAACCCCAAGTCAACTCAACCCCTGTAAAACTCAACTCTTTCGTTTTGTTCCAATTTTTTCCATGCCTTGTATAGTTAATAATGAGCATGATCTCAGTTTAACTGTCTGTCAAATATTTTAACAAAGTATCATTTAAAATATGCAAAATGCTAGATTTTTAACGTAAATGAACCAGAGAATTAAAGGCATTACAGAAATGATTGGGGCTGAGTTTTACAGGGTTGTGTTGACTTGAGGTTGAGTTTTACCGGGGTTGAGTTTTACTGGGGTTGAGGTGACTGTGGGTTGAGATGACCTGTCACATTCTAGATGAATAATATTATGTCCACTGCTATTGTAATTGGCTCAATCTCCATTCCAATAAAATGAAAAATATCAACATCGAAAATATGTAACTTAATCTCTGATGTTTAACCTATCATTTACTCGTCTCCTCATCAAAATACACAAATTTAAACTTTATTTCAGAAACAATTTATTTTCAACTTTCAAACAGTTCATGAATTCATGATAATACAGGTTATAGTGCAGTTTACTATGAAACAGCTTAATGTGTAACCTACATAAATTCTTAATTTATCAATTTAGTTGAACTTAATTTGCATTAGACCTTTATCTGCAAGTTACCCAATTTAATCTGATAAAATAACTTGAACAAATGTATTCCCTGTCAATCATGAGTTTATATGCACATTTATATGTTGTATTCAGCTTACATTTTTTACTTGTAAAGGTCTCAATCATTCATTAATCATTGTCATCATTTTAATAAAATGTAAACTATTATTACGAAGTAGTAATAAAGATTATGAATAAATAAAATTCTTGTTATTTACACCATATCATGGGGACTATCCAGGCCCCGCTGACATCGCGAGCAATGAGTTCATGTTCGAAGCGGGGCTTAGAGAGATAAAATAAAATTGAAATAAAACATTTTCTATGAAACTTTTAGTAAGTGAAACTCAGTACAACTTTATTTCATAGTACAATTGCTATTTTAATGGCAGGGCAACAACGTTCTTCAACTACAACTATATTTCATCATATCTCTCAAGGCCCTGCTTCTAGCATGAGCTCATTGCTCGCAATGTCAGTGGGAACTTGCTCGCGATTTACGGGACCTGGATAGTCACCGTGCTTACATTGGATATGATCATTCATATTAATTAATGAAATTCAACAGGGACACTATATATGGCGAGAGCAACTTGATGTGGCATTGCCATTGATTGTCACACTTTGTTTAATACAGTACACTGATGAGCTCAGGCAGTTTATTCAATTGTTCATTGTTATTAATATGTATTTCTTAATCAGTGACATATCCTGCGTCACCTGTTATTGCTGCTATTTTGCTTGGTCTCTCCAGGACTAATTTCATATTCTTCATAAGTTGGATATTTTTCTGGAATTAAATGAACATTCGCATAAGGTTAGTTGATAGAGCATTTTACATATTTTGGGCTCGTACAAAATCATGGAGGATCAGATCCCAGGGTTTACAACACAATATTTTAATCTCCAAGCTTTCGTTCAATCCTGATTTCTACAGCACAAATGAACTGCAAGCAGAATGGCTGATGTTCTTGTGAAATCAATGACAACAATGAAAATGCTATTGTCTGACATTTATAACTGGCTATAAATTCATAATCGGTGATCCAAAAGATTTGAACTGATATCTTGATCATTTCTTGTATTTTGAAATTTTTTGTTTGAACAAAAAACCAAAAGTCACCATATAGGACAGAATATCAAGTTGGGAACCAATCCTCCTAGTACAAAGAATATTAGACGGTTAGATCCTCTATGAAATGAACACTCATCTACAACGAAGAGTTTCGGAAAGTAAATAGAACATTCCCTCTACACAGGTTTCACTGTATTTGCTGAATTATCTTAAGTTTATAACTTACTATTGTTAGAATGTCAGAAATTTTGTGATACCAACATGCACATCCGATCCTTCAAAAAATTGGGCTGTTTTATGATTATGATACTTTTTAACATGCCTTGTGCAGATATGCAGGTAAAAAATGGCCAATACATTGATAATTAAAAAAACTACTGAATTCCTGCATAGGAAAAATATAACTTAAACGAAAGTAGGCATATTCTCTCTAATGAGCGCATAATGCAGTTTCCAAATTAAAAATTAAAAGGGTAACAAGATATTGAGAGATTTCAATAAGCGTTCATACAAAAAATTCAGAAAAATATGGCCAATAATCTTTAGTTGTTATCACTAAAGTTTACAGACCCTACAGCTTCTGTATTGCTTTCTCTGCATTAAATATAACCATCAATTTATATCTTGTTGTGTAATAATCAAAACTTATGCACTTCACGTTTTCTTGAGGCCTTAAGTATTAAAGTTGGGCTCATTGGAACTGTTCGCTTATGAGAGAGAATTAACAGTGGGTCATCATTTTAAGAAAATTGTTTAGGCTACTTACTTTGTTGCTCTAGTCTGGCCTCAGGTGTCTCACTTTCTCTGTGAATTTCTCCAGTTTCTGCCATCTCATCAGACACCTGCAAATAACATTGATCACATTCACAATTTTTAAGTTGATTCTAATTTATAATTGATTTTTGAATAAACTGGACATCTCCTTTCAATCGCTGCCACTTCTTATTTAATCATATTTTCAGGCCCTAATCCATATATTTGAATGATGATGTTAGATGCTTACTCTTTTATATTCTGCTTCTAGTCTCTTCCCTTTCTGCTGCTTCATCATCATAATTGCTGTGTTTCTTGAAATCTCCTGAAAAATAATGAACAATTAGGCCTATCATAATTTAAATACATTGAAGCCTCATTGGGGGAAGGTTTGAGTACACTATGACTATAACACATATCATGAGATTTGACCTTACGGTGAACTTAGTAGTCAAATACCGGACTAGACAGGTTTGAGGCAATTTTTCAAAAGAGCAAAAAATGATATTTGAGGTTTTCCAATATATTCCATATATTACAGTATAACATAACCAATGGATTTAGCTATTTCGCTTTATTTGTACAGTGAAACCTATGAAGTGGAACACCTCTAGAAATGGAACACCTCCTAGTGGAGCATTTTTCAGAGTCCCAAACATGTTGAATAAACCTGTCCTCTAGAAGTGGAACACCTCCCAAGTGGAACACTTTTTAGGGGTAGGGGTACCAAAGGTGTTCCACTAAGACAGGTTTTACTGTATAATATATCACAAACAAACAGACATTTTAACCTGGAGTAGGGATCCACCACCAATCAAATTATTTTAAAAGCTACGCATATCTAAATGAGAATGTTCATTTCATCCTAGTTGAGGGTCGTAAAACTAATTGAGAGAATACCACTTGAGACAGAATAGCAGTGACAATAGAATATAATGTAACACTTTGTAATGTTTTAGCATCAACGCTTTGTAATGTTTCAACATCAATATATATCACAATTAAAATCATGTACCCTCCAAACTGATAATATCAGATCACAAAATGTAACCAAAATCCATCATCTGCCAAACACCAAACGTCAAACACCATCCACAAAAAATAGAGACTATAACAATATGTCACCACTTGTGTTGGTTACATTAAAACAGAAAGATATGAGAGTATCCGAACAATGAAGTGTGGATGAAGAGATAATTTAACAAACCTCCACTGAAGGTGGCTCACTTCGCCTGTTCTGTAACCAAGCTGCAACGATATAAAAAGCTGCTGTTAGAGTATTATTTACCAACAGATGCGTCAATGAACATGTGCATAAAAATAAAATAGGTTCATTTGTGTTTTCCTCAGCATTGTCCTGTTAGGTGAAAACATTATGTAGTAATGTAGGGTCATAAAACATTTTTATCTTCCAGTCAATGTGGGAATCAAACTACTGGGATCAAAATCGTTTCATGAGCACCAAATCTGCATGAATATTGTGACTGTAAAAACGTATCAATTGCTCTTTTCTTCAATATACATTCTTAGATTAATTTCCTTTACCTGTCCATTCTGTTGGCATCTCTGGATTGTCCCACTCATCGCCACTTGCAGGCTCAACCCAGCGAATATCTTTTCTTGCACTTGATGCATCTAAAAACACATGTACATGAAGAGCATCTTTGAACATGCCCTAAGCATGAGTACATGCATCTGTGATTACATGTATGCTTGGAATCTTTATCCATCACATGAATATATTTCCATGTTAATATGTAAATAAAACAAAGTGACCCGGGCTCAGTGACTGACAATGAACTCACCAAGAGGAAGAAAAAAAACACAGGCCCGTAGCCAGAGGGAGAGCTGAGGGAGCGGAAGCTCCCCCCCCTGGCCAGAAATTCTTTTAAAATCATGCAGTTTTTCACCATTCTGAGAATTTTTCGCATGATTTTTTGCCAAAATTTTGAAAAAGCTCCCCCTTGGAAAAAAGCTCCCCCTCCTGATAAAAGCTGGCTACGGGCAAGGTTGTGATGCTTTAATCGATGTAAGCATATTCCTTACATTTTTCTTTATCTTGATGTGAAATAACAACAAAATATGATATTGGTTAACCCCGGAAAATAACATAATATTGTATTTGAAGTGATATTAGAAAATTGTGAATCCACCATTTTTGTATATCGATTTTGGACCAATCAGAGACGCGTGTCATCTCAATACAGGTTTACATCATAAGCATACTACATCTTGGAACCCTGTGGTAAATCCTCCCCTGGAACTCACCTTTCAATTTTTCGAAGTACTTATTTCCTAAATGATCTTGGCCAATGAATCTAGTTTTCTTCAGTCCAGTTGCCGGTGTCAAACTTTTGGCAAGATTTTGAATAGCTTTTCTGAAGTAACCAGCTTTTGCCATTTCAAATATTGTCAATAATCAGACAGAAATGTGAGTTATGTAACTGTGTCAGCAAAATATGCTTAACATTGTCGTTGGGATCATGAATTTCCACAGTTTCAAATAAATTTCTCTAGATTTTAACTCCTCGTCGACATCCGGGCTACTTGAACAGACTCAAACCAAAAAATTTCCTGTCCTAGCTTCTGATTCGTCAATTAATTGCACGATTTAGAATCTTGACCAATCAAATCTACCGTTGTGTACACATTCGGTACGGAAACAAAATATTGAAATTTTTGTTAAAAAATATTTTGCCACAAATGTCTTGAAAGACGGGTGTTTTAGACAAATCGAATATTGAACAAGATGGAGAATAAGTTTGTTAATGATGGGAGTTTCATGGCGATGTTTAAAAAACGAATGGAACAGGAACAGATGGCAAAATCAACAACTTCAAATGGAAATCTTCCTGAAAATGAAAAAAATCAGAAGCTTGAATTGCAAGCAGACTTTAAATCAACAAAGTCACATGCAGATAGTATACACTGCCATGTAAAACAGACTCAACAAAATACTGAAGACATGAAGCCATCTATGGCATTTTATCAACAAGTACAGGATGTCCCTTCAAGAACTTCGTTACATGGATCTACTGCGACGCATAGCGATGGAAAGTGTAACGACAATGGGCACAATGAGACAGGAACTGTGTCTACATTACTTGATGAACAAGCTAAAAAGAAATATGCATATCCCATTGTAAGATTTCAATAACCTTATCCCAGAGTATCATTATACAATATTGTTATCGATGGCATCGTATGCTTGATCAAAGATGTTCATGTGTACACTGATCATATTTTTCAAGGGGTTACATGTGTATATGCTAACTATTAAATATGTACTGGCTACTTGGCAACTTTTCTACATGTAGTCTGGTATATGGTATATATAGCACTGTTTAGATTTTTCACATACATGTAATGAGTTTGAACTTTTCTATGTTATATTTTAATTATGTGCCTAAACATTGAACTCGAGAACTCAATATGTAAAGTGAATATTGCAGGTTGGTAAAAGAAGAGGTAAGACACCAGCATTGAAAACTGGAGCTGTAAAGAAAATTAAAACTGGAGAGGAAAAGGTGAGTTTAAAATAATACCATAATTTTAATTTATGACATGAGTGCATGGTGTATTTCATGTGCTCAGGACCAAAGAGCTTCTTAGAGGACAATGAAATCACTTACAGTCAGATGTTTAATTCCGTTGATAACTGTGGTCCTGATGAATAAAAGAATTACTAGTATACACGATATTCACCACATGTGTATGAAAATGACTGTGTGAAAGGTCCTTTGGCGGCCTGGGTTACGTTGTGAAACTCTGTCAAACAGGAAAATGAAGATGATTTTTCTCAGGAAAGAAAATAAATCGAAAAAATCATTTCATTTGTCAATTTCCAATATTGCACAAATGTTTCAATTTTGTTTGTTGTTCTTCACAACTTTTTGTTTACCATTTTAATTAGAGGGCCGGTTTTGTTTCAGTGCATCATTTCAGTGCATTTTGTTTTCATGTGATACCTACATGTCAATGTCAAAGGGAATAGGAAAGTTGAGATGTGATTTGTATTTTAAGAAAAACCTGTCTTAGTGAACACCTCTCTCCACATCCTCCGATCACAGGGCTTCAAAATCATGAATATCTTCTTTCTTTTTACCCCCTGCTATAAGCAGTTAAACATTTCCCCGATTAAGAACTCACAATTTGATTCGCTATCGCAACACTGCGACAGCAATCATGTATACATCATCGGCGCATAATATCCCAGATGCGAGTAGAAATAATCTTGATTTACGTCATTAAAAATTCACAATTCAGTGAAACTGATGTCATATTTGAAATCTACACGTAAAATTACATTTAGAAATGTGGTTTTGAAAAGAGTTAATCAACTTTGAAAATTTAATTTTCTTTGAAAATGTGACTTCTAGGTCGGGGAGATTCCCCATAGAGCCCATGTTGTAAAACCACAAAAAGTGAAATATCTTTTCTTGTTTTGGGCAGATACTATTTTCTTTTACTGGACATATTTTAATTTGTATAACTATCAGATACATAAAGGTAATATGAAAAGTGAACCATTCAAACTGATGCATATTCAAGTTTAAGGGAATTTTGTAATACCCTGCCATGTTAATTCCCCCGAATCAGCCACCTGGTGGCAAAACTGGTAACCACCTACTCGCATCTGAGTAATTAGATCACATGATTCAGTTTAATCGGGCGCTTCCAATTTGGTTATAGCAGGGGGAAGAAGGAGGTGCTGATTCTGGACACCTGCCTAGGAGGATGCTCTCTCCAGTGAACACTACATATAATGTATAAATTACTCTCTGTAGGGAACACCTACCAACACTGAACATCGTTTCTTGGCAAAAAAATGTTCAATATACACAGGCTTCTGTAGTGCCACATCATGGGTTTTCTGCTCGTGTAGAATTGCCACCATCTAATGTAATCTTTATAGAACATTGAGTGTTTGTTGCAGGTGGACAACAGTGCTGAAGGAGATGCTTGGTCCAAATACATGGCAGAAGTGAAGAAATACAGCACTGGTATATCAAATGAAGACAAAACAAGACCCTTGGTGAAATAAAAGTTGACAGACATTACATTGGCCAGTTTTTAGATAAAATCAAATATTGTTTAAGAAAATGTAAATGCAAAAACTAAAGTACATTGCACTAGAGGATCATGAAAGGTTTGGTAAGAACTTAGGGAATCTTTCTCATTTGGACTATTCTGATTTTAAACTTAAAGTCATGAAATGTTTTTTTGAAAGCTGAATGACTTATTAACCCTGAATCAACAACCATGCTGTTGTTGCACTTTGAGATTTCAGCTTGAGATTGGAAATCTGAAACTAGTTTTTCATATGTATACTTCAAATTTATTTTCATTCATTAGCCTATCATATATGTTCCTTGGTACAAACATATTTTTGATGCACAAAACTGGAATTTGGAAAGTGCATTTTGAACTCATAAGTTTGATATAAAACTCTATTTTCTCTGATTTATGAATCATTAATGATTATTGATCAGAATAGGATAAACTGGAGATACAGATTCTCAAAGTCTTCGAAAATTGAAAAAATAACTGTTCCAGTACCACACCGGTATATCCTGACTACGGTAAAGTCAGATACTGTTGTCACAAATGGCGGACATAACCGTCGCTTCAACTGTTTAATCACTTGGTCCTCATTTCATGGGATTTTATCGTCGCTAATTCTGTGCATGCATTAAGCTCTTGTGATAATGTATCATATGAAATCCCATTTTCAATCAAATTGGGTCGTGAATCGCCACAATATAGCGTCTTCAATATAGTCAATGACAACATAATCTGAATTTGAGTAATTTAGAAAGACAACGGCATATGGCAATTACAGTGTCCGTTGTCCCATATCTCATTTTCGGTTAAATTAAAGACTGATTTCGATGGTAGAACTTTATTAACGTACAATGAGTATTAATACACTTTGATTGATTGTTATTCCAAAGAAAGTCTTTAGTCTAGGTGCTCTATTAAACATACAGTTCATGAAAATCTAATTGAAGTGACGGTTATGTCCGCCATTTGTGATAACGGTATCTGACTTTAAAGTTGTCAGGCTATTCCGGGGTGAGTACAGGGTGAACTTGCTACATTTTTATTGAAATGGACTAGTGTTCAACTACAACAAGTATATTTGACCATCTTGCATTGTTATGTTATTTAGTACACTGAATCAAAGAACATTCAGGGCTCTCGCCAGGCTTTTAGACTGTGGCGCAGCACCACACTCTATTTAGCTCCCTCCACACCCTATTGGCAAATCATGACTGTTTCCACAGTCTAAACTTGACTGAATATTCAATAATAGCATGTAAAACGGAAAAAAACATAACATGAATATGATTTATCACGATTGAACGGTTATTCTGAAGATGTTAGCACCACACCCTAAATATTTCCTGGTGAGAGCCCTGACATTACATATTTGTTTAAACATTCTTATGAAAAAAGTTCAGTTAGTTATTAGTAGATACAGAGTGTGATCAAGTCACTGTGATCAGAAATACAAAAAAAACAGTTAAAGCTGTATGCAGTTTACATGACTTACATGTACATGTATATGTTAACAACATGGGCAATATGTTACAGGCCTTTATTTGTTTATAAGCAGTATGAACAGAATATTAACTGAATAAAGTAATCAATTAATTTTAAACAAGATTATTGAAATGTTTTTTTGTTCTTGGGAATTCAAAATATTTTTACCATGACAAAAATTTTCTGGAAGGTCTTGAAAATTATTGTGACCCATGAAATACTATACAAATATTTCATTCTATTTTTCAGTCACATTTTTGGGTCGGGTTGGGCCAGAAAAAAGTGTGCGGGTCAGGTAATTTCAGGTCGAAACAAAAATATGAATTTAGCACTAGCAACTAAAATGACTGGACACATTATACGCCTGTTTACGCCTGCATTACTGCATATTATGCTTTGATAAAGGAAAATGATAGAAACTTAGAAAAAAACTTAAATTATTTTCTGTTTGTAATTTATGCATATACAAGAAATAATCTAGCAAGAAGTTTGAGCATTTTATGATAATTTATAATCTTCCCGATTGTTCTGACCTGACCTGAATTGGTAAGTAGTTGTTCGTGACCCAACCCGAGATTCAGGTCGACTTCTGAGGTCGGTGTGACAACTCTACTATTGAAGTGAATACCTGTAGGTAGTATCAAATCTAGTGAGTGACCTTTACAAAGATGTTTCAGTTTCAGAACATTCTCAGCTCATATCATTCTTTGTCATGGCCGTTTTCTAAAAATTCCCACAGTGCATACATCATTTGAATAAACTAAACTAAAGGTTACAATAATGTTATCAACATGTCGCCTCTGATATATTGTTATAATCCCCCATGAAGGCTCCAAGTCAAAAATGAAAGCTAGAGGTCAAATGAAGGCTCAAGGTCAAATGAAAGCTAAAGGTCAAATGAAGGCTCGAGGTCAAACGAAAGCTTAAGGTCAAATGAAGGCTCAAGGTCAAATGAAAGCTAAAGGTCAAATGAAGGTCAACATAAGCGAAATGATTATGGGAATCTTAAGTCCACAAAGCAACACATTTTTCAATTTGAAATATTGACATTAACAAACAGAATTAATTAATGTTTCATTTATTTATTTTTTATCGTAAAATAATAGACATTTACATTTCAGATATACATTTAATTATATCCTCAATTTAATACAGATTTGTAGTACTATATCATGTATATGGAAGTTAACCCATACCTCTGCCATCAATTATGATTCCATAGTGTGTGTAGTAAGCTTGGCAATAAGGCTAACTACAAACTCTTGAATAATGTTAGACCCACAATAATCAACAATTGAACAAATAATGAGCATTTTTGGGAACCCTTTAATTTATTTAGCAATTGGGCAATAATTTATTCTTGATTTTAAATGAATATACAATGCCACTATATAACAGCATTACTATGTGTTTATGTACACAAATAAAATACCAATTATGCTAAGATGCCCTTTCTGCAGCTTTAATCCTGAATGATGATAAAACCCCTCAGAATGCCTACAATCACATTTTTGGATAAGGCAATATCCAGGTATTCCTAAATCACAAAAAGGAAAGTAGACAAGTTCATTAATATTTATTGCTGTAGTGCAGTAAAGATCAGAGAGATGAATGTATGGTTACCATGGTAGCATTATTCTTGTCTGTAGGAACGAGAACTTCACTACGTTACTATAATAGATCTACTACGCTGCATTTCTGGTGATTACTGATAATGAACATACAACTGAAATAATTAAGTAGTTAACAATAGTACATGCGTTTAGCATGACATAACTTGAAACAAACTCCCCGGAGTAGCAGATCCCACCAAACAAAACATATGTTATCAAAATCACAGACATTTTGAACATTTCTCCTGGCAAAATCTACACCAGTACCCATTATGTGACATTCCATCCTGTGGCCATTTTTATTTTGAACTAAGAAGCCCTATTGAATATTCTTTCTCAAGCAGATGTCCTATGGTCATCCCTAGCATTGAACCAAATTCCTCCAAAGGACATGAAGGAATAGTAGTTATTCTCTGGACAAAAGTACAGATGGACAAGTGGTAGGATGGCTTCTGTACTATATATCATGTATATCCCTACTCGAATTTTGTTCAGTGGGATAACAGCAGCTAGTTATAGACGAAACATAATTAATAAACAAAACATGTTCATTTAGCATGAAAACAGCAGCTGAATGATAAACATGTTCTTATAGCTCTGACGAACGGTAAAATACGTTGCAAATTCAATAGATGTATGAAACCAGAGGATTTTTTGTGTATCTATCTACATTATGCTCAATTGAGTGGGTCTTGATAATGAAATATAAATACATCCATTCATACATCTATTTTTATTGTTTAAGTTATCTAACAAATTGAATGACAGCCTAACATCAACTTATCCATTAAGAACTTTATAACTAACAATTTAATACAGGGTGTTCCAAGATAAATGCTCCACCTGGATACTTATTTAAAAAGTTGTAGTTGCACTGATCTTCAGACATCCTGTATGTAGTACATATAACTTTTTAATGTGGCATAGTATATAATATTTTATTGCACAAGTATTCACTACTAGAGTCTATCAACACAATTCACAGTGCTCTAGCCATCTACAACGAGTTTACATCCCAAATAAAAACTGAAATGAAAAGCAAACTGCCCTATGGAGTACTCAGTAATAAATAATACCACATAAGTCCTTACTATATTTCACAAAGAGCCCTCATTGGCCAAAGGAGTCATATTGTTTTACACATTACTTTCAATGCTGAATGCTTTAGATATGTGATAATGCATTACTAACAATTTGAAGGCTTTGACATTATCTATCTATGTTGTACCAACTAGCCTAGGCACTTCATAATAGACCTACATTACAGTGCTATCCTATTTTGCAAGTTGAACAAGATTGGTATCCCTACTCCTCATACCTAAATCTATGATAATCTATTCAAGTTTACAGATTTTAATCAAATTCTTCATGATTTCTATTTCATTATTTACTTAAAAACAGTGTTTCAAGGTTGAAAACTTGAAAACACTGGTATAGGCTACTGATATAGAGAATAAGAAAATATATTCAATTGAAATTTATTAGCTTTGAAAGCCATTGTTGAATTCACAACCTTTAAACAAAGATAGAAGATTATATCAAATTTTTCTTCCAAGATTATCTTAGCCTATACTGATAGTTAGTATTTAGGTTAGGATTTTCATTATAGCACAAAAATCATGATCCTACATCCCTGTTGACATCTAAATGGGATTCAACCAAATTCAAGTAGGGCCTAGGCTACAACTGTACAATTATAGCGGTTGCCCCCAGTGAGCCTATTGACAATAAATGACTTGAGGGTATATGTCAGTCTGTATTAAATGGGGATGCCAAGACCCATTTGGGTTGAAACATTGCAGTTTTATGAAACCAGAGCATTGCTCAACATAGTAAATTGCAAATATGGTCCATTAGACTAACAGGATGCAGAGCTGTACATGGCAGTATATACTATAGTGACTGGTATTGTTCTAGTCAGGTACTGTCTGCTCTATGATGAATTAGATTGAGTAGTTAGAGTAGTTTTAATATCGTCTATTATATTGGAAAGTAAACTAGAGTCTGTGCTTTTACCATCTACGCTAATTCCTTGATTTGCCTGAAACACAACAAAATATAGAATTACGCAGGTTCATCATATCTTGCTCATAGCAGGCCAATTGTACATTATTTGGAAAACTTTTACACTGAAAAAAAGAAAAATTCCCAGAGTGCTTCATGTTTGATTCTCAAATGTTTACTTGAAAGTTATGGGAAGGGCTGTAAAAGACCAATGCTCATATTTAAATAAAGCATTATTTGGTAAATACATGTAGTGTGAATTAGTGATTTTGAGCAATCTTGAAGATGTTGTACTATATATACATGGCGTCAGCCAGAAGGCAATTGTAAACTCACCAATTGTTTGACTAGCAGGCAGACATGGTGGCCTTGGATGGATCTACTGTATAATGATGCACTGTGGTCTATCTGCTCAACAACTAAAAGAAAAAACAATTAATTTTTTTTATCTAATAGTCTACATTTAACATGATTCAAGTGTTTTCATACAATTTTTCAACTGCCTGGATGAAATAGCTCATTTTCCATATTCTGACTAGGAAATGTTCAAAATCATTTATCGAAGGCCTCATTTCAAAATTTCAAACAAAATGACACTTTCTACTGCTTCAATTCTGAGGAGGTCAATGACAATTCTACCACTGTTTTTTTACCTCATGTGAAAGAATAAATGATTCAATTAATCATATCACAAAAAAGTAAAATATAAAATATTCTTCAACTTTAAAAAGCATACATTTATAATGTTGAACAGTACAGACTGTAATAGTGACTCACTTGTAAAATGATTATGAAAACATAGTTTGGCGATGACATGTGAGAATTCACTGTCTACTGCATTAAATGTGCTGGAATATTTTTCATTTAAATCTCCACTACTAAGCAGTTCTGCAAAGGCATCACTGAAAGATAAAAAAACAAAATATTTGTGGGAGTGCAATGTAATGTAATAACAATGCAAAACATGCAAAATATCACCACCAGCCATTTGTTACAGGTGTCGAACTCTGAACGCCAACCGCTGAATGCCATCACAAAAAAAGTTGGAGACCATAATACTATGTCACCACTTGTGGTGGTGTCACATAAAAAAGTCTCCAACACATTCCTGGAAGTTTTCAACATTCTTTGTGAAAAAGGACATTAATGTGACAATTTTGTACAATATTTTAAAAATTCCAGCTTACATTTTGAATTTCAATTTTTTATCAATGAAACAAAATAATCTTAATGGTGGAATGAATACCTGACATACTGTTACATTCACTTTGGTCAGAGCAGTCTGCTCAGTAGATAAGGAATTATGTGATCGATTGATTTTGATCATTTAAAATCCAGCATGAGAGTAGCTTTCACCTACCTATTACAGGGAGTTGCCAGGAGATATGAGCTACACGGTAGGGGAAGTTTGAAATCTAACTTCTCATGTGTCGATCCCTCTTCAGTCTGAAATAGAACAGTGAGAATAATTATAACCTAATGGAGTAATGCCTCTTCAATGGTACAGGGTACAGATTTCTGGTGTATGTGGACATTACACCGAATACAAGAAGCAGTTTTAGCAGATTAAAAATATTCAATCAAATGAAGTTACACAAAATATTGAAAATATGCATATATGTTGTATAATGTATACTCTCATAATGTGAATAAATCTGGCTTACCTTGACCATGTATGTGAGTGTACCCTTGAGTCTCTGTGGCATAGTAATGCTCTGCACAGTGAAGGCAAACTGACCCTCATTTTGTGAAGATGGAAGAAGTATAAATGGGACCTTGACTGGATCATGTGAACTTGCACCCACCTGGAAAATTAAGATTTTACAATACAAAAATTTTACAATACGCATTTAACATGTGTACCTGACCCTCAATTGAACTTAGTCGTAATTTTGTTAGTTGTAGATGAGAATTTAAATAACAATGCTCTATTTTACATGAATCAAGAAGTTTATAAGTTACTTGGCCAGACTGTTCATCATTTTGTTTATCTGCAAGTGCAACTGACAATGGATGGCACTTGCTATAAATAATAAAAAATCAGCTGAAGTCATAATAGACTATGATTAAGTTAGTCGAATTAGGACCTAACGCCTCTTGCTAGATGCACATTATAACCATAAGTTACTCACCCCCCTGACCAGTTTAGTGTTCATGGAGTCTAATACATTGAACTCCAGTTCTTTGATGTGATTGCAACTGAGGTTTGAAAGAATCACTGAGACCACAACTTGGTTGGATTGTGCTTGGCTAACTCGCGTCTCATATGTCTGAAATACAAGAAATAAACATGTCACTGAGATGAATTAATTGTAAAAAGGAACTGGGGGTTTATTAGACTCCTAAAGCTGTAGAGAATGAATAGCCTAGATGTTGTGTTTTAACTATGTCTGCCCCCCCCCCCCCACACCCATTTCTGTATTACTTCTGGAGGTCATATTTTCATACAGGTAGTAGAAATTGGAATAAGTACATGAGTTCACAAATCAAGACGGGAGACTTTGATTTAACTTACCAGTTGAACTGCATCATTCTTGCTAAGTAATTTGTAGTTTGTCATAGGCTGCAAATACAAGATTGAATTTTGTTTAACACATACAAAAGCATTCATATTCAACAACATATTCACGTTTTATGCTATGCTGAATCAAAACCAATTGGTTATCTAAAACATGATCAAATCATATTATAAGGGCTGATGTGAAAAAGTCATTCCACATCATTGCTTTAAAATTCAGATCTCAAAAAAAAGTGACGGAAAATAGTCTGGAAATTGAGCAAAATGGTACCACTAGAAAGTTTGCATGCTTCATAGAATGTGAAGATCTAAATAGTACTGGGTCGATCTAGACTTACTGGAAGTGCTTGTTCTGGTTGTGGGGATGCTGCATTGGCATGTTCCTTAGATGGTGTAGTGATCCCTTCTGCTATCTCATAGTCACTCCTGTTCTTCTTTCGTTTCTTCTCCTTTTTGTGCTTTTTCTCCTTCTTCTTTTTACTTTTCTACAAGAAACAATGTGATGCTCTACATGTGTAGCAATAACTATAAGTGCTCACACCTGAAGATAAAGGTTAACAATGTAACAAAATCACAGACAACAGAACTCATCACTTTCATTTAAGGTTGTGAACTCCAGCTCAACCCAAATTGATTCCAGGCCCAAACTTGACCAGAATTGGAATTTTTTCGACCCATCTCACCTCTACTTAATTGGTAAAATAAATTTCAGAAAAAAAGATTTGCAGACCAAATTCAGTAATTTAATAACAGGTTAATAATTATCAGAAGTTTCTTTATTCGATACTCCTTTTCATCATGTAATTGAAATTATATTGTATGAATCTTTTGACAAATCTTGCTGTATTATTCTGTATACACGACTCAATACATCTTTATGATAGGACAAACCTCTTCTGGCTGTTCAGTATCAGCATCTGATCCATGCGTATTATTAACTGGTTCTTTAATGATTGGGATATCCTTTACTGGACTTTCAGCATCCTTCCCTGACAACCAGAAGTCTAGGTCATCCTCCTGAAAGAACATTTTATTCAGTATTGCTTCACTGTCATTTAATATACCTATTCCTCCTGAAATAATATTTTATTCATTGTTTTCTTCACTGCCATTTAATATAGTATTCTCAACTGTTCACCAGTAGCCTGAGAACCTTGCTATCAAGTCTGATTACCTCACTTTAAAATGTGATTATTTCCTAATACCCTTTTCAAAATCCTAACTTCAGGCTCATAATAAAGATCTTCGATAGTACTATGTATGATTAGATGATATAATAAAAAGATTAAAGCCCTTGATAGATGTAATTGTTTTGGTTAGATTTGATAACAAAATCTAGTTACCTTTTTACTGCCATTTATATCCCCATTGACTTGAGGTACTTCTGGTGTAATGCCATTGGTTTCTATGTGAGGCTCCCCTGGGGTTTCCTCAACTGCAGACACTAGCAGGCTGGGACTTTCTTCTGGTTCTTCACTGTCAATGCGCTTTTTCTTTTTCTCTTTGCTCTGGTATTCATAAATAATATGATTAAAGAATTATAGTCTTGCTCAAAGACTGTATCCACCCCCCCTCTGTCACCTTAAGGATAAAGGGGTCTTAAACAGGGTCTTTTAAGCAAGACTAAAAGAATTATATTGGTTCAGATATTGTTCATCTTGATTTATTGGAGGCCTACAATTTATCAGGTATATCTTTGATTGTCCAATTTTAGGGAAATATAAAGAGGTACATCTGAAGAGCAGCATACTTGATCAATGGGCAGAAATTTTATGGTAAATATGTTTTTCAAGTAAACAAAACACTGTATTCTCACCTTCTCTTTCTTTTCTTTTTTCTTCTTTTCTTTTTTATGTTTCTTTTTAGGTTTATCTTCAAGTGTAGCTTCATCTTCCCTTGGTTCCAGACCAACTACCCGATGCTGTCTCACTGGCAACCTTTCATCATCTCGCAATGGCCTGAATAAGTGAAATAATTTTCTCAATTGAAAAAGATAACAGTAGAAGTACCTTTAAAGTATCAAATTTATCTTAATTGCCTTGTTACTTATTTTCTCCACAAGATCTTTTAAATCACTGATTTGAATTTGAAAATTGTAGTATCAAACTGATCGTTTAATCTTTGTCATTCTGAAGTCTACTTACTCATCAAGGTTCATATCTAACATGGCATATTGATCATTTCCTCTGTCAGTCTTGTCTTCTTTATCAGAGTCACCACCCTCTGGTTCATCTAGTACTGCACTAACATGGTGGACCACTGGGATATCATCTTCCTCCTCAGACTCTACAACCTAAACAATGCATTTTGGGATATCATCTACCTCCTTTGACTTTACAAGCTAAACAATGAATTCTGGGATATCATCTACCACGTCTGACTTTACATTTGGGTGATTGGTGCAATAACGGTCTTGAATAATCATGTTGGCTCCAGTGTCAATAGTCACAACTTGCTAATGACTGTTTCAAGGTGTTTTAGTTGTAACAATGAGAAAAATACAAAATTTCACCTAGTGTTATGTTGAATAATGATAAATGGAGCTCTTTGTTTAAAGATAATATCAACAATATGACCTCATATAAACCTTTTGGTTAAAGCATTTATTTTGGAAGGAGATTCATGAACCTTTCTTCATTATTTATAAGAAACGAAGACATCAAAATTCTGACTCGGTTTTTCATAATAAAGTTGAGATAAGTTTTCTTTGCTACTTGCAAGCACTATAAAATGCACAAAAATTTGTTTATTTACATGGCCCTTCTTGCTCCTTTTCTTCTTTTTCTTCTTGTCTTTCTTCTTCCTACTTGCTGCATTCATTTGTTCACGTTGCATCTTTATGTACTTGTCAGAAGATGGCAGACCTACAACAATCAGAAAGTGAACACAAACCTTTACAGTAACTAATTGATTGAATTTACATCTTCAATTTTTTGGAATTCAATGGAATATTATATTTCTATCTCAACTTTAATTTCTTTACATGATAATAATTTAGTTCTAGATATGGATGAGAATAATTTTGAAACAAAATTCAAAAAATTCTAGGCCACCCCCTCCTGCAAGGGTTGTTCCTATGGGGCAATTTTTGGGCATAGTTACTTTATTTAAAGAGTATTCTGTGATAATTTAGGGAATTTTCAAGATCTGTTTCACAAGCAGCGATTACTTTACACTATTTATCCTGCTATTTAACATGTTTAACTGAGAGGATGCCAAATAACAATTTTTTTATTATTTATTAAAATAGTTTATTATAGTGTCACTGGTTTACATTTGGTACAAATAAATACATATTCTAAAAACCACCAGCCGATGTCGGCTTATGAGACACTGGACTTTAAAGGTCAATAATAACAGTGTATAGATATGACATTCAACAATAAAACTACAATTCATCTACGTTAATGCATAGATTGATAAATATTAATAATTCCATCTATAAGTGATGATAAATGATTTACATCTTGTGAGATAATGACTAGATTCTTGACTACAAAATGGTGTGGAGGTTAGGCCCTCACTGCAATAAATACAATACATAGGAATAATATGGCAAATTATTATACTGCAGTCAACCGTTCCAGGTCAAATTGCCTTTTCATGAACATTTTGTACAACAGAGCAGCCCACTGTCTCTGAATTGATCTTGAATGCATTAGGCTTATAAATAAAAGTAACTCATTGTCAGTGTTTGTTCTTATATGTGGTGTTAAAATATCAGTTACAGTTCTATAAAAATATGTTCTCAAGTTGGAATAATGTTTACATTGGACAGCAAAATGAATTTCATCTTCAACAAAGTTACCATCACATAATTTACATGTACGATCATTTAGTGCTGTATTTGACCAACGACCTGTCTCAATGTGAAGTGGGAGGCTACCTGTTCTCAGTCTAGCAAGAATGGTTCTGTGATGCCTTGGAATGTATTCAGACACATATGGTCAATGCACTAAATTGGATTAGCTTGTAGCCTCGATAATAGATGTTCCACTTACCAGGAATATGTAATGGCACCTCTAATGCTAATTCTGCTACTTCTGGTACATCTTCATAAGCACCTCTGCTATTGACTAGTGTCTGCAAGTAAAACAGTGGATAATTATGACCAACAAGATACCTTGATAGTCTTCTGCTTAAGACATTTATTGTACAATTATCATTATCTTAAGTTTTTTATTGGATAATAAATCTCTATTTTGAAGTAGAAGATGAAACAACCAATGTCAGCTCATTCTGAGAAAATCTCCAACAAAATAATTTTTAATAACTAGAAAACAGCAACTCCACAGAGTAGCAAATTCCACTTAACAAAACATTTTGATAATAAGTGGCCATCTTGAAAGTTTCTTCTTGAACAGAACATATAAAATTACCAAATCCAGCCCACTGATACTTGAGTATCAAAGATTATGTTTTTTCTGAAAAATGGCAGCCGTTTTGATATTCAGCACCATCTTGAAAATTCTTTCTCAAACAGAGCTTCTGTGTCCCTGGGCATCAGCATATAAAATTTGACCCGAATTCGTTCACTGGTATTTGAGTTATCATTACGTTTTATTTTTACTAAAAATGGCCACCATTTTGAAATGTATCAGCCATCTTGAAAATCTCTTTGGACAGATTGCTTTCCTATATCCCTCTCGCACCTCGTTCGGTGGGATAAAAAGATAAGATTCCAGAGAATTAGCTGAAAATGTACCTTAGGTCTACTGGGCCCCTTCAGGTAGTTAGGATTGTTCTCTTGCTCCATTTTCCGTGCTTCCCTTTGCTAGAAACAACAAAAGTGTAAATACAGAAATAACTCCAAGAACCAGTCATGACAGAAATTAGAGAATACAGAGGACAAATTTATCATTATGCCCCCGTGTCTCATTATTAAAAGTCTTTGTTAAAAAAATCTGCAAGAATTTGTTTTCCCAAAATTGTATGTCAAGAAATAAAGTCAACAAACACAAGGCATTGGTTCTTTACAAGATTCTAAAATTAACTACATGGTATTTTCAGATACCCTGTATGAAGATTGGGATATGGCCCCTTACCTTAGATAATTCCTCTGCAGTAGGTTGATAAGACTTCTTCTCTTCAGACTGGAAGTTGGACCTGTGTTCATCTGATGGCATGAATATATTGGGAGTTGGCCCCTCATCTTCTGAGCTTTCTGAGGGCGGATCATTAATCCATTTGTCTAAATTTAACCTAAAAGTTCAAAACAATTCATTGGTTAAATCTACCATAAGACTGCCTGCAAATATGGTAAAATATATATAGGGCTTTCAAGCACTAATAGCAAGAGGACATTTATTGTGGACAGCTCATAATCATTTTGTTGTTTACAATAGGACTTCTTGCATATTCCTCACTGAACTATAATTTATTGAAATTTATGGGAGATTATTCAATGCATTCACAATGGCTAGAATAACAAGGCATTAACATGCAAAATGTCACCATCTGCCATTTATTACATACACCAAACACCAACCGCTGTTCACAAAAAGTTCGAGACCGACTATAACTTGATGGTAGTGGTAGTGACATAAAAATCTGAGAGTTAACAATGCCAAACCATACATTGATATCTTACCCTTCAGGGACTGGCACTTTCTTCTGTGCTTTTGCAGCTACGGGGTTTAGTTCCCCTGCAAAGAGTGCAGATACCTCTTCCCCTACAGCTACTCCCTTGTCTTGAAGCTTCACCACATACTTCATTAGTTGTAATATACAGCAAGCCTAAAACAGAAGTTCAAGTAAAATATGTGAACCAGCCAGTAAAATTGAAGCCACAAACAATGTATGAAAACAAACACAATCTTTTTTGTTCAGTTCCAGCTAGTCAAAGGAAATGATGGTCTGGCCCAGGGAAGTCTAGCTGACCTAGATGGGTGAATCAGATGTTTTTGAATGTCCTACTAATTTCAGAACCAATGGCATCTCAAATGTACATATTCCAGTCCACCCTGATCTATTTATAGTCATAATAGATTAAGACTCACCCTCTCCTGCACTTCTAAATCAGCACTCTGAACAAACAGGGGTAGTTTCTCTATAATAAGTTGTGCTGCCTCTTTAGAGTCATCGAGGTTCTCATCAGCTTCCCCCTTCACCAGGATGCTGGAGTATAGCTTGATGAGGTTCTGGACATAGATGCTCTGTATGTGACCTGGTAGCTGAGTCACCTTGGGCCGCAGCATGGATTCTAGTGTCTGCTTGGAGTTGGGCAGATGCCTGTTATGTAATGTTCACATATTACTGTCCTTGGAAATGATATTTCTAGTGGCTTCAAGTGAACACTTTAATCATTTGGGGTTCGAAATGGTAGTGTTCACAGAATATTCAAGATAACATTAAATTGAAGCTTGTCAGAATTTAACATAATAATGTCTTATGGTGCAACTATATTCTCTGAATTTGGCGCAAAATGATAATCTCATCTTTCATGATCATTCTAATTTCAACTGTTTCCAAATGACTTAAATTTGAAACTCTCAATTGATGTGCTCTGATCATATAGTATATAATCCCAGTACTTACTCTGAGAACTCTCCGCAGATCCAAGCTGCAGCATATAGAACTTCACATATACCATTCCTCTGGGAGTTGTTGGTCAGCAAGTGAGCATTGTCTAACAGTGTAGCCTGGAAGCAATGTAACTCTCATCAAAACAAGACAAAAACTGTATGCTAACATATTCAGCATGAGAAAGTTGATTCGGTGTAAATAAATGTGGACAATATACATCTACATGTAGTATATTGCACATCTTCATTGCTGTGATAAGGTCAATAGAAAGTACAATGTACTAAGTACTCAAGAACAGCTATCATTTATTGTATATAACTTGTGGTTGAATAAGCTAGGCTAATGGACATACCATTTGTGCAACAGCAAAGGGTCTGATGGCTTGTACACGTATGGCCACATCTAACATTTGTGAGGCTATGATCTTCCCATGTCTCGTACCTTCTAGTCTGGTTAGTTCTACCAACACACTCACATACCTATAAGTAATTACAGCAGAAGTTTTCAAAGAAATTAATGTCAATGTTGTGGTCGATGCTTACACTGTAACTCAGTGCACAACAAGAACAACTAAAATTGAAAAGATACAAACTTCCAAGTATTTCTCGTGTCAATTTGCCATATTTCAGAAAGTACAGGAGACTAATGCAGCATAGCAAACAACAATATTTAAATATTTTTCCAAATCCAAATTCCAAAAAATCTGAACAATTTAACTATTCCAGTTAAATACTCATGTGGCCACTCTGTAAACAACATATAATGTAACCTACCATTCGAAATTTGTTATAAACTGGTAGTTAGACTGACTGCATATCTCTATGATCTTAGCCAGCAGTTCATCTCTATAGTTAGAGCCCTCTGCTTTGTCCATATGGACCATCAACTTCTTCACTATTTCCATGAGGTTCTTCTTGGACACCTGAGCAAAACAAGAAATATTTTTTAGTACTGATACCTAGCGAAGCATTTGTATGGAAGTCAATGGAGCTGAAGGTCGGCTATGTATTCCTGTATGGCCACCAAACATTTTACCATGACAATCTTATGACGTCATGTTTCATTTCTTCCAAATTTCCCTCGCACACAGGCGTGTGACGTCATTGATATAATGTAGCCATGGAAATAAAAGGTATTCAGTCTGTTGTAATATATTGATGACAGACCTCAGGCATATATTCAATGATAGGGACAATCAACTGCTAAATTAATATGTTACTTCTGAAACTATAGTTCTCCACTAAATAGTTTAGAAGCTATTTTAAAGAGAAATGACTTCATATCTAATTCTTTATTTTGTTAAATAAATGAATTCAAGGACCCCTTTAGTAAAAATGTTACAGACCACAATTCCTGAATTTCAGGTAGTTCTCAAATATCAAAAGATACAATAGTCACAGTATTGCTGAGAAATGGCCACTATTGTAGCACTGTTGTGAGAAACATTTCAATTCATGATCTAAATTTGGTTTTTAACAAACATGAGTTTACGTCTACGTGAACTTACCATGCCATACAGAAGATCCAGGGCACGGAGGCGTATTGACTCATCTTTGTCATCAAGACATTGTAGGACTAGGTCTTTGTGAGCCTGAACACTCTTAGGATGAGTCTTCAGGATACGGGACATGGCCAGTAAACCAAGATACTTCACTATAATGTAACAATAATACATGTGGTTTTAAGGTGGGCTGGAAAGACAATGTGAGATGTAAGCTATTTACCAAGATTAATTAATTAACTTTGCCTCAGGCTGAAGAGTTGGATAACACAAATATTCATTTTGATTGAACACCCCCTCTCATTATTTCAGGAACATCTACATTACATGCAAGACAACTTCATCATTTTGATGGAACACAATTTTGATGCAACTGTCAAGGATGCTCTGTAGACTAATGTTGTCGCGATTTATCGATACATGTGATACTCATCGCCAAAAGTAATTCTGGCGATGCATCGATGTCTCAAACAAAACATCAATGTTTTTACTAAAAAATAAATCTGCTAAAATCACCTTTTCCTATCTCATTTTCATGCAAATGTCATACCTTTTTCATTCTTTAGTTCATCTTCCAATACTCTCTCACATGCTTTCACTTTAAAAATGTTTTAGCTTAGATTGAAATGAAACAATAACCTTCATTTTTACATTTATTTACACACGTGACCAACCCGAAGTATCGTACTATTATTTATTTGTTGTATTCAGAATTTCATTTATTTTATAATGCAGTAAATTTGGTCAGATTTTTCCCGATGTACATCGCAATGTGCATCGATCTTTACTATTGAAGTCGCGACAACACTTATGTTGACTGCAGACATGTGGAGATATAGTAAGGGAACATGGAGCAAAGCGGCCCTGTGGGGCAAAAAGGCCCATTGAAATATAATTCGAATGATTAAAAGATGGCTCTTCAAAAGTCACGTGATTGACCTTGAAAATTTGAGCCTCCTTTTCAACCGCCATTTTTAAACATAGGAGCATCTAGCCTTACGTAAGAGGTAATTATATTTTTTAACACTCTTTTTTGAAAATTACCCCTCCCACAAAAATCTCTGAAAAATTGTGCAACAATGGAGAATCATTTTAAATCAAGATTTAACATAGAGTATGTATATTTATTCCTTATTTGTCAAAATCTCAATATCCAAATCTTAGGGTAGTTAAAATGGCGTCTATTTGAAAAATCACGTGACAGTGGCCCTGTGGGCCGTTTTGCCCCACAGGGACGTTTTGGTATGAAAGAGGTATTTGAAATTCTTTGTTTAAACATGGGGTACATGGTTGTTTTTGAACTCGGAAGCAATTATTGACAAGAATTCATGTTTGCATTGTTGATTATACCATAGTCGATATTCACTTTTATTCAGACGTTATCAACCAGATTGTCTACAGCCGCTCCTTATAATATAATTGGACCATGTGACTAAATTCCATATACTGATATATCAGATCAGGAAAGTGTTTAAAGGGTGACGCATATCGTTTAGCAAATCGAACGCTCGTTTCTGGTGTTGCTCACCGTTTAGTATAAAAGGCCCGATCCCGGAATAATACTCAAGGGTTCACAGGTTCGAGCTCGTTGTGTCAACACCTCTAACTGTTATATAGCATAAGTATATTATAGATCGTCACACATTTATAAAAGGGTGATTTTTATTTTGACAAATCAATTCCACATTTATGGGTGAAGTTTCAGGATCTTCTATTTGTGTACAATAAGGAAAAATTGGCATCTAAATTTCCCCATAACGTAATAGCACACAGCTTGGCATATGAAATATCCTACAAATGAAACAAAGCAAGACAAACCGGTTTCTAATACAAGGATTTATATTGGCTGTTGTACATGTATTCTTTGAACGCAATCACTTTTTGGATAACGTTTTCAAAATCATTAAAAACGGATTACTTTATCTCAAAGACAATTTCAATAAACTGGATTTTACAGAACTCCCCTTATTTCTTAAAAATGGACTGATCCAGTTGATTCGCCTGGAGCCGCCATATTGTTTTTATACGGGATGCTAATCGGAACCCTTTAAGGAGTAAATAATAAACATTTATAACACATTTGCAATAACGCACATGCGAGTAGGTAGTTACCAGTTTCACCACTAGGTGGCTCGCTCGGGTCAGATAGCATGGCGGGTAAAGTAGAAAGTTCCCTTTAACTTAAATTAAATCTGTTTTAGTGGTTTGATTTTCATATCACCCTTATGTATCTAATAGTTATGCAAATTAAAATATCTCCAATAAAGGAAAATGATATCCGTCTAATACAAGAAAAATTATTTCAGTTTTTGTGATTTTGTAACATGGGGTCTATGGGGAATCAACCCGAACTAGAAAAAAAAATTAAATTTTCAAAGTTGATAAACAATTTTCGAAACCATATTTCTAGATGTACTTTTACATGTAGATTCCAAATATGACATCAATTTGACTGAATTTCGAATATTTAATGATGTAAGTAAAGATTATTTCTACTCACATCTACTCTATTGCTTATAGGGCTAGAGATGGTACATGAGTACAAAAGAAAAACAAATATAGGAGACCACGGGATAACCTTGCTAGAGCAGTACGGGCAATGAGACAAGGAATGGCAAGTCGTGTAGCATCACAAACCTTTAACATCCCAAGGATGACATTGAGAAGGTAACTATTTTATTCCATATTATCTGTTGTATTCCATACCTACTGTGGTTCTAGGTACATAATAACGAGCGGGAATATTTAGGGTAAGCCATCTTGGGAGCTATCGCCAAGGTCTGAACCAGGATGGACACAGGCTTTATCCATCCCAGTCCAGCTCCTGAAAGGTGAACTCTGTTTACGTTTTACTCAATTTAAAAACTATATTTCAAACTAATGCTACTTTTTCATGAAGTTCAAAAATTAAAAAAACGTACTTTCGCCTTGGGTACGCATTTTCTTAGTCTTAAAAAGTAGATTTTAAGTTTGTGAAATTTTCACAATCTTATATTGCTGGAGCAGATTAATGAATTGATATTTTCCCTGGAGATATAGAGATTATCCTATATGAGGTTCAGTATATTTCGATTATCCCGAGGACAATATAATATATCTGCCCGAGGGGCGTATGTACCTGAAACAAAATATGGGATAAGTAGATTTATCCCATACTTGGACGTGTTACAGGTACATAAAGCCGGTTTGTAAAAACTTATATTTTCATCAGCGGGCAGATATAGCTTTACGTCCCGCTCTGAGCAGGCAGATATAGTATATCTGCCTGCTACGTCATAATCACTGCTCGCATATTTGTTCATAATTTGTAACCTTCGTGTAATGACTGTAAACGACAATCTGGAGAAAACAAAGACAATAGAGATCTGTTTTATTGTTTAAGGAGCATCCACTTAATCAATCAAAAATTATAAAAATAATATGGGAATATTTGACAGAACAGGAAAATCCACCCACGGCCAAGAAAACAAAATTGGACATGAATATTCTAAAATATTTCCACGATTGAACAATGTGAACCAGATGACCAAGATTGGTATGGGATAAACATATTATCCTATAGTCGGTTCAGGATATTGGGATTATCCCTTGGCCAATATAATATATTTTCCCTCGGGACCTGCGACCCTCGGGCAAATATATTATATTTGCCTCTGTATAATCCCAATATCCTGAACCTCATATAGGATAATCTCTATATATCCCCAGGATAAACTCTATATCCAAAACCTCTTAAAAAATAACTCTTATATATTGCATACTAGGCCCTAGTATGCAATATATAAAAGTTATTTTCTAAGAGGTTTTGGATACAGAGGTTTTTCTGGGGATATATTTACTTATAGGGTAATTATTTGTAGCATAGACTTATCATTGAAAATACATTGTCACGTTATAAAGTGACATTTTGTATTAATTAGGGACTTTGTATCTTTCTATTTTCAGGCACAAAGCCTTGAATGTATCGACTCCTGGCTCAGTGACATCAGGGCGATTTATACCAGTGTTTCATCAATGATTTGAAGCTCAACTAGCGACCAATATCATAACTCTTCAACGACATCTCCATGGGATAACCCCTGTCCAGACGAGGGCGTTAGCCTTCGATTTGGCTGAACACAAGGGAATCCAACACCCGTTCAATAAAGAAAATAAGATGGCCGGGAGAGACTTGCTGGCGCGCTTTCTTTCACGCACCTCTCTGAGTATAAGGAAACCGCAGCCTACTTCTTTTAACAGAGCAAACGGGTTTACCAAGGAAGCTGTAAAGAACTTCTTCCAAATATATGAGGAAGAACTTCATGAACATCCAGAAATTCGCGCCGACCCTACACGAATCTATAACATGGATGAGAGTGGTATATCTATTGTACATCGGCCAGAATGTGTTCCCATGATGGGGTCACGGCAAGTGGAAAAGCTAACTTCTGGCGAGCAAGGCAGAACGGTTACTACAAGTGTTTATGAATGCCGCTGCACTGATTTACGGTCAGCGCAAAGCCATTCCACCAAGAATGATGATTGGTGCGCCAGCGAATACTCTGTTTTTGTGTAATGACAGTGGGTGGATGACAAAGGATTTGTTCCCTTTGGTGTTGGAGCAACACGCTCAGTACGCTAAGTCTACACCAGCGAGGAAAACAATCCTTATATGAGATGGACATGATCTCATATCAGTTTAGCGTCAATTCTGAAAGCCAGGGAATTGGGAATAGTGATGATAATGCTACCTCCACACACTACCCATAAAATGCAGCCTCTTGATCGAGTTTTCTTCGGGCCATTGAAAGCAAGATTAGACACCGAATGCGATAGGTTTATGGCAGACAATCCAGGCGTTCCAATTACACCTTATGAACTTGCTGCACTCTTTGGACAAGCTTACAGGAGAGTATCGACCCCCGATAAAGGCCCGAGCGGATTCCATGTAACAGGACTGTATCCCTACAATCCCAATATTTTTGAAGATGACAATTTTGCATACAACGATGATGCATATGTAGATGGCAATACCCCCCCCCCCCTAAAAAAACTTTCTACGGTGAAAGGTGTAATGCCTCCTGCTAAAGATGATAACGTTAGTGTCCACCAACATGATCTGTCATCAGTGAAAGGCGTAGTGTCTCCCGGAGCATCAAATGCATCCCCCTATCTAATTCTTTGCCCTGAGTTCCGGAGCCCCTGACAACAGCAATGATCAACACCATGCCTTCTATTGAAGAGAACTAACGTCACGCTACAAACAGAATCACTCCTTCAAATACGAGTCTGTCAGATGGCAAACAGCCGCATCAGTTTTCCTTCTTTAGAAACACCAGTCAAGAGAGCAATTCTTCCGGGATAAATACAAACGTGTTTTACAAGAAGGCCAACACCAACAAAGATGAAAACATCCATTTTGCAAGTGTTCTTGCTGATTTGTCACCTATACCGGCAAAACGAAAGCAATCTAAATACAGCGATAGGAGGGGAAAGGCGTTAATTGTCACGAGTTCGCCATTCAAAAAACAACGGGAAGAAAAGAAAGAAAAGAAAAAGTACAAGAAATGAACAAAGAACAAAGCGCAAAGAAGAAGCTTATGCTGAGCTCTAGCATAACGGATAAAGCTAGCACAACAGGGCACTGAGAAATACAGTGACCCACCAACTGAAGATTGAGTGCAGTGTCCCTCCTGTAAAGAATGGATGCATGAAGCATGCAAAGATCCAGACTCAATCTGTTGTGACTTTTGCAAAGTCTAGTTTGTGAGACTCAACCATGCATGATCAGCAGCATCGATACAATTCCATTACAAATTTGTTACAATAAATAATGTTTTGAATCCTGAACTGAAGTTTTAGTTGCTGGTTTGAAACACTCAGAATAGAACGAGGAGGTGACAGTTTAAAACCCCTGCAACATCTGACAACATTTCACTTATAAAATACTTTGCATCAAGGAGTGAAAAAACATATAATGGTAGTAATTCCTGGAAATATATAAGAACAAGTGATTTTCAAATACAAGGATTTAAACATTTGGTTTGTAGCTTATTCCCCTCCAACACGTATCATGACTAGTATTGTTGTTATGGTTAAGAATTCACTGCCTGTACGTTTAACTGTTTAGAAGTTAAGATAAGATTTGTGTGGACGAGTCGTATAATTGATTAATCTTGATTTTAAAACCCACGTATGAAAGGTGGGCCGTTTTGGCCCAACCATGGGCCTTTTTGCCCCACTCTCTAAATTATCTTTGATCGCTGAAATATTCAAGAAGTCTTAGACTCGTCTAGAACACTCGAAAAATGTAAAATACAACACAATGATAAAATGAGACATCAAGGAGCGCGATGACTGACGAATAAGAAATGCCTCTGAACGGAAGAAATTCGAATTTTATTTTGAGGGCAGCTTTGCCCCATGTTCCCTTACAGTGTAGTTAAGTTCAGGTACTTACAATTCTGGTCCGAGTCTTCAATGAGAATTCTCAACTTCTGAACACACAGCTAAAAGAAAACATAAAAATACTACTATAAACAATGGGGCACATCTCTGGCTCAATTAATGTACTTATACAAATATGTAATATATTTTGTAATTATCAATTTGAAAATCATGTATTTTGAATTCTTAAAAGAAGAAGTCATATTACAACTACTATTCTTAAGTTAACTATAATGTGCAAAATAAAGTCTAGTAAATACAACATATTGTTCAATATAGACTGCGGACTATTCTGTAGAAGTGCTCTAGAAATGGATCTCGCTTTTCATGGAAGGTCACACATTCCAACATATTTCAAACAATTTGTATGATTATAATAGACACTTTCTGGGTAGTTGGACTTTATGTAGGGGTGGCAGAAGGCCCTCAGGCCAATTTATACCCCTACCACAACAAAACCTTGGGGGTACTTTAATACCACCCAATAAAAATAATACTAATGCATATCAGATATTCATCGTTTTATAGTGGGTAGGGCATGCCATGGTTAGTCAGTGCCAGAAATTTCCAATCTCTGACTTATATGGTTACCATGGAAACAGTATTTATATCTCACAATCTTCTCAATTTGACCCCGTCCCAAATGTGTCCTTAAGTTCTCAAAGTGAAATATTTGCAAATCTGTTTGGATTTTGTGGCTGCAACTTTGTCAAAATTTGAATTAATATGTATGTATTCACACTATAGCACTAAAAACTTGATATAATGATCTCATAAATTATAATATTTATCAAATGTAGTCACACACAACTGCTTTTAGGGAAAAGTGGGCGTGGCACTTTTTGGTACCTGTGTAATTGTTGCAGCATTAAATGAAAAATACTTATTACACTAACAACAATTGACATTTAATTAGCATCTACTAACATTGTGTAACATTGTAGTATGTTCATTATCATTATTAGATACTTTAAATATTTTATATAAGTGTTATCATGACCCTTCCCTATCATAGGTCATTAAAACAAGGCATTAACATGACAAAATGTCACCACCTAAAACAATTTGGTCAATTTAAAGCAAGTTGGAAAATACCTTTTGACCTTAAGAAGGTTTGATTTGAACTTCTTAGAACATGTAGATGATTTTGAAAAAAAAATTCGTCAATTTGAAGCAAGTTGAAAAAATACCTCTTTGACTTTTTTTGACATTGAGAAGGTCATTGAAGGTCAAATGTAAAGTCAGATTTGAACTTCTGAGAACATTTAGATGATTTTGAAAAAAAAATTAAGTAAATTTGAATCAAGTTGAAAAAAGACTTTTTTGACCTTGAAAAGGTCATTGAAGGTCAAATGTCAAATCTAAAGTCAGATTTGAACTTCTGAGAACATGTAGATGATTTTGAAAAAAAATTAGTCAATCTGAAGCAAGTTGAAAAAAGACCTTTTTGACCTTGAGAAGGTCATTGAAGGTCAAAGGTCAAATCTAAAGTCAGATTTGAACTTCTGAGAACTTGTAAAGTCAAATTTGAACTTCTGAAAAGATGTAGATGATTTTGGAAAAAAAATTTGGTCAATTTGAAGCAAGTTGAAAACAGACCTTTTTGACCTTTTTTGACCTTGAGAAGGTCATTAAAGGTCAAATGTCAAACCTAAAGTCAGATTTGAAGTTCTGAGAACATGTAGATGATTTTGAAAAAAAAATTAGTCAATTTGAAGCAAGTTGAAAAAAGACCTTTTTGACCTTTTTTGACCTTGAGAAGGTCATTGAAGGTCAAATGTCAAATCTAAAGTCATATTTGAATTTCTGAGAACATGTAGATGATTTTGAAAAAAAATTTAGTCAATTTGAAGCAAGATGAAAAAATACCTTTTTGACCTTTTTTGACATTGAGAAGGTCATTGAAGGTCAAATGTCAAATCTAAAGTCAGATTTGAATTCCTGAGAACACGTAGATGATTTTGAAAAAATTTTTAGTCAATTTGAAGCAAGTTGAAAACAGACCTTTTTTGACCTTGAGAAGGTCATTGAAGGTCAAATGTCAAATCTTAAGTCAGATTTGAATTTCTGAGAACACGTAGATGATTTTGAAAAAAAATTTAGTCAATTTGAAGCAAGTTGAAAACAGACCTTTTTGACCTTTTTTGACCTTGAGAAGGTCATTAAAGGTCAAATGTCAAATCTAAAGTCAGATTTGAATTTCTGAGAACATGTAGATGATTTTGAAAAAAAGAATTAGTCAATTTAAAGCAAGTTGAAAAAAGACCTTTTTGACTTTTTTTTACCTTGAGAAGGTCATTGAAGGTCAAATGTCAAATCTTAAGTCAAATCTAAAGTCATATTTGAATTTCTGAGAACATGTAGATGATTTTGAAAAAAAAATTTAGTCAATTTGAAGCAAGATGAAAAAATACCTTTTTGACCTTTTTTGACATTGAGAAGGTCATTGAAGGTCAAATGTCAAATCTAAAGTCAGATTTGAATTTCTGAGAACATGTAGATGATTTTGAAAAAAAATTTTAGTCAATTTGAAGCAAGTTGAAAACAGACCTTTTTGACCTTTTTTGACCTTGAGAAGGTCATTGAAGGTCAAATGTCAAATCTAAAGTCAGATTTGAAGGTCAAATGTCAAATCTAAAGTCAGATTTGAATTTCTGAGAACATGTAGATGATTTTGAAAAAAAATTTAGTCAATGTGAAGCAAGTTGAAAAAAGACCTTTTTGACCTTGAGAAGGTCATTGAAGGTCAAATGTCAAATCTAAAGTCAGATTTGAACTTCTGAGAACATGTAGATGATTTAGAAAAAAATTGAAGTCAGTCTAAACAGTATTTGTTAAGTTATAGGAAGTTGTAAGAAATTGTTACAGACGCCAACCGCCGGACGCCAACCTCCAACCTCCAACCGCCGGACGCCGTCGCAAAAAAACGGAGACCATAACAATATGTCACCACTTTTGGTGGTGACATAATTAACTCTTAAGTCCTAGAGGTCCTTAGTCTTTTTAGCTTGTCAAAGTTGTATTCATTGACTTGAAGCTAGAATATAAATAGTTTCATTGATCAAGAGCTATGAGTTAAAATTGATTAATACATTTGTCAGGGTTAGAGCCATTTTATGCAATTGAAAAGTAATGGACCAACACTGATCAGTACCAAGTGAAGGTAACGGCCGTAACCTTCGCATCTAAGATGGCGGACAGTAATTGTCGATTTTGATATTTTTAATTTTCATTGAATTAAACTATTTTAGAGTTGATGTTATGCTTTGACATTTGCACCAAATCAGGCTTAAATGACATTGGAACCATAGATGTAGTAAACATGAATAAACGATATGTGAAATGTTATGCCCTGCCTTAATACATAACTAATATTTTCTCGGATAAATGGTGTCTTACAATTGACTAACTGATTCTATTATCAACATCAGGTAATGCATGATCTATCCAATGGATTAACGAAAATACTTGATTCCAATATGGCAAAATAAATTATTCCATATATGAATTGCATAGTGCATCATTTTGCAGATATTACATAATGCATTCATTGACTCATGGTCAACAAGGTACGGGTAAAACTCCTTTTAGTATTTCACAAAATAATGAAATATAAACAATTTACATATTTCTGAAATGATGTACCTTTAGTGATTCCTTCGACCTGGAAAGTGGTTTGTTATGTTAAAACTTAAAATAATATCTAAACAAATCTGTTTAGTGTATAAAAACAATAAAAGTTAATATTAAATATTATTAGACACATGAATATAACCTAAAATAAGAAATCTTGTTCTCGTATTCCATTTTAAAATTGGTTGAATGATTTTGGCACAGTAGAAATGATGGTCATGATTAAATATTATATGTAATATGCCCTGATGCTGTAACATCAATGGTCCTTTATAATCAGGTATGACTGAAATACTGGACAAGATCTTATAAGGTTACAGTTTCCATATAACGTATGTTCCATATTACTACCCCAAATCTCCATTGTGTAAGTTTATGAGTCATTATCCCTCATAGTTTATTATGGCAAATGCCTATCCTTGTCTAGAATATGTCATTTTATCAATTTTATAAACAAGTATACAATTACACGCCCCCCCCCCCCCTCCCACACCAAAATTCCATTTTCTTTATCAAATCTTTCTACCTCTATCTGTTATGATTCTCTGTCAGGCTTCCCCAATTTTCCATACTGTCAAGTAAACATCTAAATAGGATAGTTCTAGCTATTGCTGTTGTTTTGAAATGTTGACTTTTCTTGGGGAAATATTTTTTCAATTCTGACAGAAGTTTTTAGCCAATATCATTCAATTTATCAATATCCAAACGCAGGGTTTCAGAAAGTATGCATTTTGTTTGTGCCTGTATTTTCATCATGTGTACTTATTAAGACAGCTATATTTAAACGTAAATACATTAAAACATGATACATATAATCTTTTGACAATTTCTTCAGTAAAGTGGCCATTTTGAGAAATGATATATAGCTTGTACCTTTGTTTGATGCTCAACAAGATGTTCGACTGGATTTGCCTTTGTCTAATTCATATATGTACCAAATACGAGAATCTTAGAATCTTATTCTACAAAACGGGTGTTCATGGAAGTAGCACTAATTATTGCATCATTGCTATAAATCGTGTGATTTGATTGGCTAATTCAGAACCATGTGACTAAAAATACCAGCGTATTTCACAGCTCACTGAATTAATTCCATATTTAAAAGACGTATTGTCCAGCGTATTGCCCGCCTGGGGATTCTGACAACTGCACTTTCAATGATTTTTGCAACATGTATTACCATCGCCCTACGGGCTGCGGGCAATACATATTGCAAAAATCATTGAAAGATGAACAGGTATTGCCCTCCATAGAATGAAATATTTGCTTAACATTTCTTACTGTTTCGGGCTTAATATCAATTTTGTTATAAACTGAACAAAGCGGCACCTTTAACATGCAGCTAATTCTCCCATCTAACCAAGAGAGCCTCTTTTAATATATCGAAATTTAAAAATTGCCTCTGATTCAATTTGTTCAATCAAATCTAAAATGGTAATACCTTTTTACTGCTTCGAACTTCCTTATATTTTATACCATTGGGGTAGGATGTTTGTCTCTTTCAATTAATGCTTTCACCAGAAACATGGATATCACTAATTTTGATTCATATTTAAAATGGTGTGCATGAATAGACCTGTGTATTCTATACCAAATAGAGACACTTCCCTGGAGAGTTCTAAATCTCTATATGTTAACAGCCTAGTTCCAGCCTAGTTAACTATAAGTTAACAGGCTAAATTCTCATTGAGATAATTTTAAAGAATCTTAAACATTGACTTATTGTTTCAGTGGTCCTATTAAAGTTCATGTGTACACAATCTGAACAACATCAAGTTTCAAACACTTCTGATTATCATCAAGTTTCAAACACAATCTGAACATCATCAAATTCAATGCAAATGCAGTTTTACTTTAATCCAACAGAACGAATATGGTAAATCAATAGACTAAGTGACACATGTCAAGTCAATGGTAAATACTTGTATCTAGCCCAACTAGCACAAGTGCTGCCATCTACCGACTAGTATCAATCCATCTATCCATATACATAGCACCTAATGAGGTCACGACTTCAAGTAAAGCTTTTTCCCTTGTCTATGGTAAAAAATAAGTTAAACAGAAAAGTTAGTTTGACACCAATGGTGATGCCCACCTTGTATGGTATAGGGATAAAAGGAAAGTTCATGATAACACTTACATAAAATAATTTAAGTATCTAATAATGATAATGAACATATTACAATGTTACACAATGTTAGTAAATGATAATTAAATGTCAATTATTGTTAGTGTAATATGTATTTTTTGCTTAATGCTGCAACAATTACACAAGTTCCAAAAAGTGCCACGCCCACTTTCCCTAAAAGTAGTTGTGTGTGACTATATTTGATAGATATTATTGATTTATTGGAGCATTATATCAACTTTTTAGTGCTTTAGTGTGAATATATACATATTTATACAACTTTTGACAAAGTTGCAGCCACAAAATCCAAACAAATTTGCAAATATTTCACTTTGAGGGCGAAGGGACATATTTTGGAGGAGGTCAAATTGAGACGATTTTGAGATATAAATACTGTTTCCATGGTAACCATATAAGTTAGAGATTGGACATTTCTGGCACTGACTAACTATGGTATGCTCTGCCTACTATAAAACTATGAATATATGACATGCATTAGTATTCTTTTTATCAGGTGGTATTAAAGTACCCCCAAGGTTTTCTTAGGGTGGGGGTATGAATTGGCCTGAGGGCCGTCTGCCACCCCTACATGAAGTCCAACTACCCAGAAAGTGCCTAGCATAATCATACAGACTGTTTGAAATATGTTGGAATGTGTGACCTTCCATGAAAAATGGAAGTTGCAATTATCAGAGTAGTCCACAGTCTAATATTTAAGTTATATGTTTATTGAATCTGAAAGGTAATTATATTATAACAATTTTTAGTACAGCAGGGTGTTTATGTCATATAAGGACTTAACCCCTCCTCAAGCCAATGTATGAGTGCATGTGAAATCAAGTGTACTGAAGTTTTTAATGAATTTATGGTGATATGTTAAAGATGTTATTTTCAAAGTTATTTTCGACTGTAGACAAAATATCTTTAGAATATTAGAATGCATCAGTTTAGAAAGTTCACTTCATAAAGTTTTCCCTAAACATAAATTAAGAACAATAACAGATATTTGAAGAAGCATAATGCAGACTTGCTTGTTAACAATTCAGATTACGAGTTATTCAGTTGTTGGCTTGCTTTATGTTGATATTTGTTAGATAGAATTGAGCTTTTAGAAGGCATTTGATGAAACAAATGTAGTTCTATGACCAAGTTTAAAGTCTAATATCATATGACACTTAACTTTAGTTGAAGATTGACTTTGTTGACATCTGGTTGACCTATAGCTAATTAAGAAGAATTATGACTTTGCTAATTAAGAAGAATATTTGTAACATAAACACCCCGTCTTGTACATTTTTAAATATGACACGCTGTACAAATAAGCATATTTTGACATCGATTCAAATTTTGGTGCGATTTGTAGATATTAAGATTAGAACACATCATTTCAAAGTCTCACCATAAAGTTATAATTAATGAACTCATTAAGGGCAACCAAATCTAGTGAGAATAAAAATGTCAAAATATACATCATTCACAATGTGCCTGATATAATATCATAGTGCAATACTGCAGCTCAACAAAACTACCTTGGGTAAACTAATATCAAACAGACACAATATCATTCATACATGAGCCTTCAGTGGTTTTCAATATGAAGTCTACAATATCGCAAACTGATCTGTAAATGAGTCATTCTAAAATAAATAGAAGTGCCAAATAATAAAACTTAAAGAAATCATGTTCATCTTATTAATGGTTGAAATTTGTTTGAACGTAGAGCCCAAGGTAGGTGCTTAGTTATGTACTATGATGACAGTTCTGTATGGTTTTTCTGACTAAACCCCAGCCTACTCCACTTCAAAGGATTTAACCCCAGGATAGCTGAAGGAGGGGGGATGTAAAGTGGTACTTAAACTTAGTTCTATACATTTCATTACTTATAAATCATCTTCGGAATGGGCAAACAGGCAAATAATGCAAATGCTATAAATGAAGGAGAACTAATGACTTATGTAAGGACTTCGAGGTCTTATCACTAAACAGAGTCAGGATTGGTGCATGAGGCTCCTATATTGTGGAGAGGGCTTGGTCAGTGTAAACCATATACAAAATTGCTGTTGTTGACCAGCTAATATACCTGAATGGATGCGGAGTGACTGGGCACGCCTGAAGATATAGAAACAAGAACTGTAAGTGAAAGAGAAAACATGTGTCAGCTTATAGTGCATGGAATACTAGTACATTGTAGGGAGCTGGATGGGGAGGGCTTGTATACATAGAGCTATGGGAGGGCAACTTATAAGGTACAGCTCTGGCTAGCTTTACGAGGATCTTTCATTGAAGCTAAATCAAGATAACAACTGTCACAGCTGAGGATTCAGATCCAGATGGAAAGTCTTTTGTCTAAATGTCATCAGATATGGTAAGAAAAATTTTTTTTTTGATTTTACCGATCCCATTCCAAAAAAAAAAAAAAAGTTGAAAACATTCTCTAACCCTCCCCCTCTAACCCTCCCCCTTTCTACAAAAGTCAATACTTAATCAGTGACACACTAAAATTCATAAACTTCTGGATCAGCCCATAACTGTGACAGCATATAATAATAATGTTCATGCAGTGCTTGGTGATGTTCAACTATAATTCAAATTATCAAAGCCCCTAAAACACAATATAATGCAATTGATAAATGCTTATCATGGCTGACTTGCAGTGCTGCAATCCAATTGACTCAGCAACTACTGTTACATTAAGCTAATCGAAGCGTGGAATGAATACAACAATGGCCTAACAAATAACCTGAATGGTATATCGTATGTACTGTAAAAGCTTTCTAAGGTGTGAACATATATATTGGGAGTTTGAACAATGATTTCAATTGTGCAGTGATTCACTATTTGCATGGCCAACATGATCTTTCATGGACCAAACACAATCATGAGGGCCTAGAGCCTAGATCATTATATATTTACCATGGCACATATACCTCTGTCGGAGCCCTGAGCTAATGGTAAAGCAACTGAGCATGCCAAAAGAAAAGGAGTTAATAACTTTGAGCACAGAAACTGAATATGTGTGAGGTGTGTTAGTACAAGCACATTGATGTCGTACAAGGGGTCTTGATGTGTACAATAGCATTAATGAATTGTACAAGGGATTTGATAAAAAAACATCAATGTAGTAATAAGACATTTATATATCATACAAAAGCTTTGATGAAGTACAAGGGCATTGATACCTTGACAACACATTGATGATGTACAAAAGCATTGATGTAGTACATAAGCATTAATATTATATGAGGGAATGACTACTAAATGAGGGGAGGATAGGACTTCAACTTAATTTAAAGACCCATAAACCTGCCATTGAATGAATCATGACATTGTTGGTACAGAGAACAGTAAATATGCTGCTTGAACAAGCTATAATAGCAATATGATTTTTGTAGGTTAAAAGCACTTTATGATAAACTGAAGTGGCCTGAAGCATACCAAAGGTCAATATTAAGTTGAAATGTACATGTCTGTATATTGTTAGAGTACACACAGTTCATTATGTTAAAAAGGAAACAAACATACACGTACTTATTTATACTTAAATAGACAACAAATATCAACCAGTTGTATCGTCAACATGCATCAACCATAATACTTTCCAAAATAGTTGCAATTGATAATTAAGAAATTCTCTTTTACAGTATTGCTTAATATTAAATACACTTCTTAGTAAATCTCATAATATTGTTAAACGATTCCAGACTTCTGAACTATGAATTAGTTGACAGGTTAATGTATTATTTACCTGCAATGACTGTGTTGATGCATTCATACAGCAGAGACATGGCAGATGTGCTGCAAATAGAAGAGTGAATATTTATACACTAGTTTCTTGACATGGTTCTAGCCAGGATGATGCGCACTACTTTAATTATGCAACATTTTGTTCACTTATTTCAAGTATTTGTTGGTTCCTTCTCATCAAACTTCTGAGGACTATACAGTTTTCAAATATATTACGTATTCCTAATTTAACAGATAGATATTTTATAATAAATATTAATTTTGTTATATAGTATACCTGTGGATAAGATTAGTGAGAGGTTCAATCAGTTTCTTCCCTAATCTTGGCTCAAGAGGGGTGAGGGCACCAAACTGAAGAAAAACAAGACACACAGTGATAAATATTGCACTTTCAAGAGCAAAACGCCCACCATGTAATTCATATCACCCAACATACCAAAAACCTGATCAGATCGTGGCAAGTCTGCTCTTGCATGTGTAAAAAATTCAAGTTGAACAGGTTAGAAAATTTTCTGGAATTTTAAAGACAAGATTTGATTTATGTGGTGCCTGCCCATCTGCCTGCCAACCCATCCACCCACCAATTCGCACGAAGGCAATTTAGCACTTTTTGAAAGTGCAATAAAAATTATAAGAAATATATCCTGCAATGTAATTAAAGGTTAAAATCACAACATCAATATTTGTAACACAAAAATAATTTAATTTGGAGTGAGTCCATTCATAAGGGCTATTAAAATACTAATTTATTACCATTAATAAACTAAGTATATTTGTATTGATACTTACCAGTTTTATAATCTTTATAAGCACCCAGTTATTGCTGGAGGTTGTCATCAGTTTGAAGAATAGAGGAGCTAGTGACAGGTAATTCTTTGGGTTTTTCCTAGCAAGTTCACATATCACATTTACAACTGCTGATTGTACACCTAGGAAACACAGGGTAAGGTACTTCAGCATATATTGTGATAATCATTGTTTTTGACATAAAGCTGCAATAGATTGCATGTCAGTTTCGACTCCTTTAATTTGTGATCTTGAAGCTCAATTATTTATTCAGTACAGCTAAATTGCAAGTGTCACATCAAGAATTTTAATTTACACAAATGCCATACATGTAACAATTTTCCTTCTGGTTTTACATGAAAAAAATACCTGGATCTCCGTCTTCTAGTTTCTCCTTCAATCTTGGGAATGCTGGTCTGAGAGCCTCAGGGAATGCGAGGAACACTTTGTACATGATAAGGACAGCTTTCTTCCGAAGATATGGCTTCGTTGATGTCATCTGAATATAAATAATTTCACCATTTACTTTTATTATTCTATGTAATTTTTTGACTAATTAACGTAATACATCTTTGGGCTCTAATAAGTGCTTCTGTCAAGTCTTATCTCCATAATACTTTCATTTGTCAAAACCTTTTCCACTCTTACGAACATAAAAAAAAAAAAAAGTTCTTGACACCCAATGCTGATTTTAATAAAAATGTACCATAATTTCATTTACTCAAAAACAAAATTCTTTAAAAATGTATCAATGTCTTACAATGTTAGCCAAATCCTGTGCCAAATCTGACACAATTATTTAAACTTACAAGTGTCATAATATCATTGGCTAAGTCCCGAGCCAAGTCAGGTGTGATGAAGTTAGAGAGACCATTCAGTGCAACACCAGCATCATATAAATTCTGACTGTTCAAGTCCTGGAAGAAAAAACAAGTTTAACATAGAAGAAGTGAATGTATGAGCATACGTATATTGGCTTTATAAGCAAGAAAGACAGTCAAAAGGATATAAAACCATGGTATTGTTTAAAAAAAACATTTTACAGAACAATGGATGTAAATTGTATCTGCTATTTTATTTTTTTTATTCTATGCACTTGAAATTACAAAAAATCCTACAAAATAGGTCTCAAAGTTTGAGAGGTTTTTGTGCTAAACACACTTACTGATCGAAAAATTGCTTATTTTTTTATTAGTAATTTTAATTAATGACCCATGGGCCATATAAGGAAGAGATGTCATATTACGAGATAATCTTATACAAATTATTATGCTGTCCTCACTATATGATCCAATATTAGTTAATTATAAATGTATCTACTATATTTATATTGTTTGATAATTTGATCCATGAAACCATGCTAGGGAACTCTATATTTTCTGTATATCTATTACATACTCCCTTTAGGTCAGAACAAATAGGAAAACATAATTCATGTTTTTAATTGTGTGAACAAAAAATAAAAAATGTGTTTGATTGAGGAATGATGTTTCCTTACCTTTCTTATCATGTTAGTTGTAAGCATAATCACATCTGTGTCGTCATGGAAACACTGGGAAGCAGCAAGGTAGCCAATACGCTGCAATTAATAGAAATAGTGAAATACTGAAAATATTCAGTGTTCTCCACGAAATATTTGGGTGCCAAGTTCTCATTAGTTTCTGCTTCAGCTAAAGGGAAGATTGCTTCAGCATGAAGTTCACCAAATAAAATTGACAAAAGTATATGTAATACATTACAACTTGAAATAAATAAAAGACATTGTAATATGTTAAGATGTATTACTGTGAAAAGAGGGAAGATCGAGGACTACTTACTTTATGTGTGAACTTTGTAGAGCTCATAACTTCAATCATGTTGAATGCAGCCCAGCTAATGTCATAGCCCAACATTTGAATCTGAAAACAGCATAATACATGTCTGGATGGTTGGTATTTTTAAAAATCCAAAATCTGCTTGGAACTGTACCATTGGATTTCTATGGGAAATTCTAGGGATTAAGGAAGGTGTACCGTTACCATAATTTGAGAAATTATTGGCATACATGAAACCTATTTAAAACAGCTTTTATATTATTCAAAAGCATTGATTATCAATATCAATGATTCCCAGCCCTCTGAAGTTTGAAAAATAAAAACACTTGGGTGTTAATCCAGAGATAATCCTTGAAAATAAGAAATATTTTTGGAGATTATATGGTGCGATCTTATTGTCAATAAAATGTTTTACAGTGTATTGATGTTTTTTAGATGAAAAACATAAAGCGAAATGTATGAAAAAACTCCCCCGATTCATGCGACAAACAACTCTCCCTCCTTTAATTGAGTAAATATTGTTGAATAACAAAAACCATTCAGTTAACTGATCAACACTGACATAATCTTACTTTTGCATGATTCTGTACATGTATTTTAAGTGTAAACTTTGTCACATTTGTTTGGCCATTTATCAAAGTTTAAATAATTTCTCAAAAGTATTTTTCAATTCTATAATTTAATGATTATTGGGGGAGGGGAGAAGATGAGTGATAAAAGAACTTACATAAGTTAATTTTTGCACAGCATTAGCCTTGACAGCAACATTGTCTTGTCTCAGCTCTTCCTTGATCTCATCAATGCATTCTGCTATGTACTTGGCCTGGAACATAATAAGGTATTACAGTATAAAGATGGTGTGCTTGATCTATTCTATGCAGTTTTGAATGCATTTAGCCTGAAATGACAATATCAGGTGTTTTATTAGCAGTAGGCAACAGGCGATTTTCACCAGTTGTTTTCAGAAAATCATCTGTTGTTTTAGGGACTTTTCAACGTTTCCATAATTTATGTTTTCCATTAATTTTGCCTGTTGTTTTTATTTATTTAGCCTGTCGTGAGAAATTCTAGTGAAGCTCCTGTAACATATAAGCGCGGCCTACAGCATTCTTTCACTGACCTGACAACCATTTGTAGTTATATAAGGTTCAAATGGCTTTAATGTATAATGGTGAAATCTAAAAGTTAAAGCGTAATAAATGAATCTAAAAGATCATTGACAATGACGAAATTATAATATAATCAACAAGCTAAACAAAAGACAATTTTCAAACTAAGGTGGATTATATAAAGAGATGTCACGGTTTCCCAATATTAGACCGTGTTTTGGTCAAGATGGTTCAGTTTGCGATAATGGACAGAAAGGGTTAATATCAGGACTGTTAATATCAGAGCTGTCTTGGGATAAGCTGTCTTAGGGATGAGTTGTCTTAGGTATGAGTTGTCCTGTTACCATTATCAGTATGGTGTCCTGTCCTGTAAGCGCTATGTCCCGAGATCATTTGTACTGTTCCATCCCGTGACACGTCTAGGATCATATATAATTACTTTTGTGAATCTGCCACTGCTAAACTCAACATCATATTTTACATTGTTTATTTTACTATAGAATATGATGATCATTTCAGTAAAAATTGTGACCTTACCCTACGAAAATGGAAATAATGTTTCACAGCTAGTTTGGTACGCAATACTACATTACAGAGTCTCTAGGAAATTGATTATACTTTGTAAAGAAGACAATTATACACCTGTGGATAGAAGAGTTAAAAAGCCTTGGTGAACTAACCTCCTTTGTTTATCTTCGCCAAAATTATAAATTAAAGTAAAAAAGTTCATAACTTTCTAAAACTTCAATAATTAGGACTGATTAAACTTATTGGCTATGGGTATTATATTCTAACTTGTACACTAACTGACCAAGTCAGTGTCGTTCATTCGTAATTAGTGTTGTCTCGATTAATCGATACATCGCGATGTACATCGCCAAAGCTGATTCTGGCGATGCATCGATGTCTGAAACAAAACATCAATGTTTTTTTTTAAAAATTAATTTGCTAAAAATCACCCTTTCTTATCTTATTTTGACGCAAATCGCTTACCTTTCTCATGTCTTATTTCATTTTCCTTGATGTTTTCTGATAATCTTTCGCTTTAAAACTGTTTTAGCTAGTCGAAATGAACCATTAATCTAAAAAAAATAACTTACTTTCATTTCACCGTTACTAGAAGTTCCAGGATGTACCAGCGTACTCTTATTAATTTGTTATGTTCGGTATTTTAGTGCATTAGCGTTTCGGTATTTCAGTGCACTTTTCTCGGACATTTTCCAGCGATGTACATCGCGATGTACATCGATGTTTACTACTAAAAATTGCCGATACATTGCGACAACACTATTCGTAATAACCTTATTCACCAGTAAAAGACATTTAATCCAAAGCCACATGTTACCAAGAAATGCCTCATGCATAAGATATCTCCGTGGATGAGCCATTCTGTGGTAATTCAAATAAAGGACCCACAGTGCTGTGCTCACACAGTGTTTGTGCAGCCGATGATGATTGACTTTATACATGAGAAAGTTCCCTGAAAATGACAGTCCTACTTTTTGTCAAATTTTATAGAGTAAACATGAAAAACTGTAACAAAGTGTATAGTTATTACAGAAAATTTGACTTTTTGACGTCAAAATCAGCAATATCTCGGAAACTGGGCGAACTTGGGAAATGGCGATAATAGGTCAAATATGCATTAGAATGTGGATATGACTAAAACCTAATGTTGACGGACGGTCCAACGGACCGATAGACGCCTGTTCGATCCCATAGGCTCACAAACCATTAAAAAAAAGGGCTCCATTACAAGCGTATTAAAGGCCACACTGTGGCCAAAGAATAAGGTAACATGTACCCTACATCCCTATTCCATACAAGCCTGACATAACACATATTAGATAAATTTCTAGAGTAATTGGAGGAATATGCGTGGAAGTTAAACCTATCACAGGTCACAAGATATGTCAGATAATAAATAAGGTGCAGACATAGATCCCGGCCAGATTCTTTTGTAGTAGAATCAGTAGCTCAATAATATTTCCTCAAGATGAGACACCTCAGAAAATTTCAAATTTTAAAATGACGATTCTGGAGCCATTTCTGAAAAATATGAGACAAATCATACCTCATTCGAAGGGTCTTGTTATTCTTTACCTTTATTATCACCAATGGCCGTTATTCAAGCAATACTGCGTTGATAAGAGGCCAAAACAGTGATATTTTATCGCCGGACTCTTGTCTGTCCAAATCTGAATGTTGCTCCCATGGTTCTAGAAATGTGACGTCATCATTACAATGATATTTGGACACACAAGAGTCCGGATTTCGTGAAAAATATTCACCGTATTGAAAGTCAAATAACTGCATCCATAGGTAATTTACTCGAACCAAACAAGTAGAAATAGAAAGATGAAGATCTCAGCTATAAAATAAGTGCAAAATCTGTCACAGGGAAACAGGTACCATTTTGTATAAGGAACGTTTTGAAAGGTAGTCAGTTTTTTTTCGAAATTTTCCAATTTAGTGTCGTATCTTCTGTATTATTCTTTGAGCCTATGATCCTACTACAAAACGATCTGGCCAATATCTGTGGGTGCAGACTAGGTTTACTTGTTGAACTGCTGTAGACTTCCTGCTCAGTCTCAGTCTCACACACTTATTTTCCATTTTAATTTTTGACATAACCGGACATAATGAGATTTGGAGTATTATGGTAAGATCCATAAGCCCAAACTATATAGACACCAATCTACAACATGCAACACCTAACGGTTTTGGCTATCGAGTTTACATACAGTTTCAACAATTCAATCGAAGTCATATTGAAAAATTGCCCCACCTCAGATTCTCTGTGGTTTCTGATCCCGCGAACCAGATCTTGAAGGTTCTTGTCCAGGACACGCTCCAAAGTTCCTTTCACTTTTTTCAGTGCCATCACTTCTTCTAACTAATGGGATTATGTATGTCACCTACACATCGATGAGACAGTAGTCAAATAATCATACTTTGACGTAAAGGTTGACAAATTTTCACAGCTTTCAAAACCAATATGGCTGCCAAAATTGTATGGTCATGTGACCTGACGTGTGGCACTATAGGTTTACACTGACATCTATTATTCTTTCTTCACTTCATTCTGCGTTCCGATACTCATCGCTTCTGTTCTCCCGTTTCCCTCCTGCCGGTGTGAAAGAAATTATGGTCCCCCAGGGATTATGGTCCCCCTTTTAAAGGCCCTTATTGGCCCTGATTGTGTATATGATAATAAGGGAAAGAGCACAAAGAGGTCACCATATAAATCAATGGAGAGTAGGACCATAAATTAATAGGACCTCCTACCCTTTTACACCTCGGTTAATGGTATCGGGGCTCTAATAATATTATCACTGGCGGATCCAGAGAGGCCCATGGGGCCACCCCCCCCCCCCCATCCCTGGGAGGGCCCAGAATGTTTTTGCATTACTCGGCCTTTTTTGGGCGTTTTTAGGTCGGTGAAAATATTTTTGACAAAAAATTAGGGGCTCGGAAATTGTTTAGGACCCCTTGTTAGCGTCTGGACCCACCAGAGATTATGCCCTATATTCTAGGCTAGTAACCAAAATCCTAGGCGGGGCTACCAGGGCACGCCTTAAGCGTCGGACAGCTGGTCATTATCTGGTTACTTTTGATACTGACCAGTTGATTTTTTCACTAGGTATAGGAAAATAACATTGCAACTGGTCAGTAATGCCTTTTTGACCAGCAGCTCTGGAATCCTTAGGGCATACACTGGGGGCTACCCTCCCCTATAATGACTTTGACTATATCGTAGTTTTAATAGTCCTGGGGCAATGACAAATCTCAGATATAAAGCCCCCAGAGACGCAATGCACATGCACACCAAAACCCCAGAAAACATGTCATGTTGAAGAAGCAAGGGGCAAGTCAAGAATTATTTGAGAGTACTTTTAAAGAAACAATCACCGAATCAAATTTATCATCATTATAGCCTACGAATGTCAGAATAAAATAAAATAAAGGGTGCCTAGTATTGTAATCATCATGTTACTGTTAGACAATAAACTCGATTTTAGTAGACCTAGCCTAGTTTTCTTTTTTTATGAACTTTCTCAGTATTGCACTTTTTTTATCTGGTTATCATCACATTTTTTCTAGTAGGGAAAATCAAAAGCAACTTTTCACCTTAAATAGATAGGCCAAATGTTTTCGTTCATTGTTTTAACAACTAAATGATATCTAATTATTGTCAAGATTACAATACCTGTTTTACCTATGGAAAGTGAGTCGTGTTCCACAAACATAGGCCTAATCAGTCAGTGGAACGATTTCCAATATCGATTTCTAATCACAAGTCAAACCGACCAAACATGACCTTTTTGGGGCAATGACCTTGTCAATCAATCGGATGTTCAAATGGAACTCCAATAATACCGATTTCTGATTAGAATAAGTCATAACGACCCAAACAAGGACATGATTTAACCAGTGTGAACCATAGTGTGTGTCAATCAGTATTGTAAATATGAGTCCAATTATTGGGAATATGTCTCTCAAGTCGATGGTTTCATAGCATCCTAAGGTTGCAGTGACCGTGAATTCTTATTTCCACATCTCACGCGTGTATCTGTCAGTTTGAAACACCGCAGTATTCAACCGGCACGTAAACATGCATGGGCGTAGCCAGGGGGGGGGGACCCATTGCCCCCCCCCCCACCCACACCAAAAAGAATACGGCAATTTTGTAAAATTTGTCGAAAAAAACAAGTTGACAAATTAAAGTTTGAAATGCTTAAAAATAAAATGCACCATATACACCCTATGCAGACAGAGCCTGTGGGAAATATTGGGTGCGGCGCAAATGAGCGGGGGTGCGGAGCTAACAGTCATTTTTGAATTTAAAATTGGGATATTTCTGAAACTAAGCCGTTTTGGGACTTCAAATATACCAAGATAGGTTTATTTGACACCAAATATCAATAAAATTGTGAAAATAGTAGTGCAATTCATTTTATAGCGACGCAGATGCAAATTATTTTTGCATCTTGGAAGCCAGGCAGTATCTATGTGATTTTATAAAAATTCGGAAATGTTCTTCAGATATGAGCCCCCTCTAAATATTGGGTGCGGAGGTACGTTTATGGAGCTCCTCCGCACCCAATATTTAGAGGGGGCTCATATCTGAAAAACATTTCCGAATTTTTATAAAATCACACAGATACTGCCTGGCTTCCAAGATGCAAAAATAATTTGTATAGATAGTGTACCTTGAACACCATTTTTTATGAATGCTGGGGACTCAGTATTAAAAGGATAATTTCAAAATATATAGGTCTGGAAAAGGTTTAAGGCACACTGCGTCGCTATAGAATGAATTGCGCTACTATTTTCACAATTGTATTGGTATTTGGTGTCAAATACACATATCTTGGTATATTTGAAGTCCCAAAACGGCTTAGTTTCAGAAATATCCCAAATTTAAATTCAAAAATGACCGTTAGCTCCGCACCCTCCGCTCATTTGCTCCGCACCCAATATTTCCCACAGGCTCTGTCTGCATAGGGTGATATACAACACCGTCGGATCCAGAAGCTAACAAGGGGCACATTTCAAATAGATCAGAAAATAATTTTTGGGTCCCTAAATCCAAAATTGGAGCTAAATTTTGAAAATTTGAGGCCAATTCTTGATGATATAGCCTAAAAGTTATGTCCAAAAAAGCCCACTAAGGCCTAATTGAGTTTGACGTCCTATAAAAATTTCGGCCATGCCATGGATCCGCCAGTGTAAAATGTAAATTCCCGGAATGAACACCGTACCCGGGACTCCTACCCCTTTTGGGGGACTCGCTTCACTTGCATTGCACACCCCTAAAATCGGCACCCCTTGACATTTGCTGGCCATATTTTTGTGAGTTACTTCAGTTTTTTGGTGCAATATATACATGGTAGATGAATATACTTTAATGTCAACAAGATATATGCAATTCCTAGTTGTATATATTTGTACTTGGCGAGAATTCGAAATGATCGAGAAAGTGGTATCGAATTGATTTTTCTTGGACAATATACAATAAACTATATATTGGCATAAAGGCATTGTTGTAACCGGAGACTCTTTCAGACTGAGAGAGTAAAAAAAACATTGGGAATCATTCCCCTATTTGATTTATATTCACAAGTGCTGTTGCATTAATAAGAATCGTTAATTATTTCCATAATTTTCTAGCTCGTAAAACCTAATGGATTTTCATTTGAAATGAGTAAATACATGAAATAAAAGATCAACTTGCAGGATTTATATGCATTTCCTTTTATTTGTTTCTAGTTCTCAATCGAGCTCTCCATAATTTCCCGAGTTTTGTTTTGTTATTGAATATTGTAGTTTTAACATAAGTTCAATGGGACCCTTTGCTGATCAGCGTAATTCAATTCCACAATGTTTCCTTTTGCAGTTCCTTTTGCCAGATTTGTACGTACATCTTTATAGAAATCCCATCAAACCAATTGTATGGTCTTTCTACAGGGTAGGCCTAGTCCAAAAAATCGGAACATTTGTTAATTGTTTGCATCGAACATTTATTTCTCCTCAAAAATGCATCAAAATTTTACTATGCATTGTTAAGTCAATTTTTATATGCGATAAAGTTTATAGCTCCTATCCACAAAGTGTTAATGTTCCAATTTAAGGACCGCCCTGTTTAAAGATGGTTGACGATACTTGTTTTCAATCTAAATCGATTGGTTGTTCATTAATGAATTCCATTTTCTTTGTACAAATGTCATATGAACAAAAATATTTTCCTACCCAAAAATCGAAGTAATGAATGGATTTCTAAACGTAACAAAAAGGTCGGTCACCATCTTTGATTCTTTATCAATTAAGTAGATGTTGGCCATGGGAAATATGGTCAATTCCCTCGGGCCAAAGATCAGATTATTGAATGTTCTTGTCAACATTGGACGGATACGCCATTTCCCCATTTTTAGAAAAAAATTCTGATACCAATTCCACAAAACACTTTCTTTTGTACTAGAATTAAAAATATGGAAGATCTTAGGCTGCATTTTTTTATTGATACGTTCCATTTCACTTCACCTTTCCTGACTAATTACATTTATTTAAACGAATTTCCGCCTTACACTGTATTAGCTTTAAGTGACAGCTTCAAACTCTCAGGGGATGGTAAATCATGTAATGCGATCCTAAGTTAATACAGTCAGACAATCATCAACCCAATTTTTTTTAATTGCTTTTGGATGACAAAAAGAAATCTTCATTGCATCGAAAACTACAAAATATCACATGCGACTACCAGATCATTGTCGTTGAAAACATTAACAAGAATAGAGCGTTAAAGGAGGAACAAATTAGTTCTTTAACGTTCGGTTTCCAACCATTATCAATAAATGGATTAATTGGGCAACGGACAACTGTAGAGACGGAGTCGAAGGAATAAGAATATCAAACTTGGGTGCAATTGATTTAAAATAGATAAATGCATACTCCGATAGTCAATACTACATAAGCAAACAATGTCATTGGAATTAATGTATCGTATGATTAACGTATTTTACATCTATTCAGTCAATAGAGGAGTTCATTAATTGGTTTAGTTTCGGCGTGTAAGGACGTTGGTTTTACACGTTTGATGCCATTTGCGTTCTGACATAAGCAACAGAGGACTTAGCTAGAGCTGTCGCACGGATCATCGCACGTAGAAAAAAGCCTTGAAACTCTGAAATTAATTAAGCGATGACAATCTAATTTATTTAGATATTAAGCCATGACAGACGCCAAAGTGACACTCGGTTTAATGTTCGTCATGATCTTGTCCAAATCTACCAGAGGAAACGAGGTGAGAGAATCTGTGACACCCATGGTGACATACGAAGACCCAGTCGGGATTACTTTATGGCAGGCTAAAGTAATTATGATATTACCCGAGACAATATCAAATTGGAAAATGGTGATCTATATGACTGAAAGAATCAGAGACATAAGAATTGTGAGTATATATTCTACTAACTTTAAGCTAAAAAAATTTCAAAAACATATACTCTTGGGAAAAATGATTACTTGATTTATTTCTTATTGGATAAAGGTTTTACGAGATTACTGAAACATTTGAATCTCATTTGGATCGATTAGAAATATTTTAAAAAGTACAGTTGAATTAATATCATCCTAGCAACAAGGGTATATAGTATTTTATATATTTTTTATTTTGAATTTAAGCATATTAATGAAGTCCTTTGAAGGAGAAAGAGTAAACATGATACCTCATTACTTAGTGAACAGAGCACTGGATTTCAAAATTTGACAGGTTTATAATATCGCTGCCAGCCTGACATCATGTTCTTGAACTGAAAATCTAAAACTGTCATTTTGAATTCTGACGCCTGCGCGCTTTTGATCATTTTCGCTCTTCTTGCAATGTCAAGTTCATGTAATCTAACAGCAATGTTTGGCCTCATGTGTCCCAACAGCAACGATTTACGCTCGTGTATTTGGACGCAAAGTTCACACCCCCTGTATCAACAGCAAAGGTTTACGTTCGTGTATTTGGACAGCAAAGGATTCATGCCTTCCTGTGTATCAACAGCAACGGTTTACGCTCGTGAATTTGGACAGCAAAGTTCATGCCCCCCTGTGTATCAACAGCAAAGGTTTACGCTAATGTATTTGGACAGCAAAGTTTGAAAGGTTGACACTAATGCATTTGGACAGCAAAGTTCATGCCCTCCCGTGTTTCTACAGCGAAGTTCAACACTATCCCTGCTCAGCTTCTTTTAGTTAAGCACGATTATCAGATTGAATATTATTAATAATATCGCTATATTTCAGGTGAACTATGCTGGTAAGGCAGGGGAAGTATGTAACAGCACTGTAAATGGGACTGCAGATCACTTTGTTCTTGAGCCCTACAACATTCACGTGGCCGCTCTAAACACTGGTAGTACATTACAGTTGGATTTTACCGTAGCTCTGGTGGGTACTCTTACACCCAGTGCAGAGGCAGTTCTAGTGCCTAATCCGATGTCTGCTAGTTTGTGCAATAATGTATCTTTGACTGAATCAACAGTTAGTGTTATGTCGACAAATTCAGTTATAATGTCAACTGCAAGTGCTGCTTCATCAGCTATAACTTTATCAAATACGATAACTTCAGAATTGTCAACAGTTATACTATCAACATCAACTCTTTCAATCCCAATAACGTCACAACCTTCAACAGATTCTGTTGTTATAACAAGTACAATCGTACCAATGGGTACCTTATCAAGTACACTTGCAACACAAACTCCAGAAACTGTACAAACCACGAGCACAATAGAATCAACGAATACCCTTTCAACCACCGCACAAACCTCAACAACTGTACTAACTGGGAGCACAATAGAACCGACGAGTACCGTATCAAGTAACACCAACGCTTCAGCAACAGTACCGACTGCGATATTACCAACGAGTACACTATCAGGTACAATCATTGTACAAACTTCAACTATAGTACCGACTGTGAGCGCAATAGTACAAACGAGTACACTATCAGGTACAATCAGTGTACAGACTTCAACAACAGTACCGACTGCGAGCGCAATAGTACCAACGAGTACCCTATCAGGTACAACCATCGCACAAACTTCAACAACAGTACCGACTGCGAGCACAATAGTACCAACAAGTACATTATCAAGAACAACTACCGCACAATCTTTAGAAACTGTACCAACTGCAAGCAGAACAGTACCAATGAGTTCCTTAATCACCACAAACCCCTCAACAATTGCAACGGTGCAAAGATCTACGACACTTTCCCGAACAAGTATACACTATTTCAGCAGTACAACAATTTCTTATAAATACAAACGTCCGAAACCTCGACATTTCGCTCCTTCGGAAGCTAAATTGGCATATCTGCTTGGTAGTATGGCAACATTACTCATGGTGGCAGCACTTGTATTCATAGTTGTACTTGACTCAAGACGCCTTTTTCGGAACACTCGCTGGGGGTGCTATAACTTAAGATATGGAATACGACGTTTGCTCAAATACGAATTAGATGATATAGATATAAAGTGGTACAAAAAATTATCGACACGAAGAATAAAAAAGGAACTTCATTAAATAAATTCACGTGTAGGTAGACAAGGCTCAAAGCCAATAGAAACACTTACACGTCGCACGAAACTGGGGACAATTAGCGTAACATATGGCGTCAAAAAACCAAGACAAAACAATGAGCAGCATCGCATAGGGCGCAAACAGCCTTACAACGTCAAAAACGACAAGCGTCACATTTTTGTCAAGTTTAGTCAACCTAAAAATAAAATACTTTATCCTTATCTAATCATAACAAAATTCACAGGGTAGCAAGATCTCGAGGACAGTATTTCTAAAATGTTTTTGAATTTTGAAAAACGGTCAAGAAATCCACTTGGGGTGTTTGTAAAAATTGATATGTATGGAATTTGTGGTAGAAAATCGATGCGTCACATTTTTTTCAAGTCTCGAAAACCAGCTCTTATTTTAATATTATTTGCAAAATAAACAAACTGGTTATTAGAAACAAGTCAAATTCTTTACTTCAGAGAATATTTTTAATTTATTGAGACTTTCGACTAATATCCCTTAGTCTTTTTCAAAATATAATAGCATGTATACATTTATGTGACGTCATAAACAGAAAAACTGGTTTTTGTTTTGTAAATTTCGCCATGACAATATTGTGCAGTTAATTTTTCTTTCAAATCAGACTTGAATTGGAAGGTTAAATGAAGGTAAACTTATTGCTCGTCCCATTCGCCTTCAAAACCTTACACAATTTTGAAAATTTTAAAAGCGTTCATATACGATAATTTGAACTGTAGCCGTTAAGCAATTGTGACGTCATAAATGAACAAGTTCCATTGAATAAATTGTGAAAGTTTAGTGGGATTTTGATCATTATTTCAAAAGTTATCCCAATTTCAACGAGCCCTGTAAGTGTAAAGTGTTACGTCTTACAGCGTATTTGACGATTTTGGGATATGTTTAACTTTAAAAATATGTTGGATCCCATCAAAATTTTGAAGAAAAAATAATTTCACTGAAATGCGAATAAAAAATACTTCAAAATGATATATAAAACACATAGCTAGCTTTTTAAATAAGGCAGAGATTATCAGCCCGTATTTCCCGAATTGTCCCCAGGTCCGTGCACGTCATAACTACATATGGCACACGTGGTGGAGCTGCCGCATGGATGATGCTCTATAATGAAGTATAATTGCAATTCAGTCACAAACCACTGACTGTATATTGAATGACCCTTCATTTAAGTAAGTTTTCTAGATGAAATGAACAAACTATATGAACCACAGTTGGTATGCAGTGCAAGCCCAAATCATTAGTCTATCATTCTTCTTTCCACTTGCAAAGAAGAAAGTATAGATCATGATTGGGGCTTGCCAACTGTGGTATGAACTAAGAATTCACTCTTCAATATTGGAGGCAAAAAGATACAATTAAGTACAATACAATACAATACAAAACATTTCACAAAAACAGATACTATTATGTCTTTCACATATATTTCAACTTCGATGATTGTTCTTGTTCTATCTTGTCGGTGTAACAATTTTCTTCAGTCTTACTTTGGTAACTTCTCGGGGATGACGCCCGGAGATGACGATGCTTTATTCACTCATAAATGGATTATTCAATAACTTCTTTTAATTTTTCGTTACATTTTCATGTCACCACAAGAAGTGGTTATGGTCTCCAACTTTTTTTGTGGACGGCGTCCGGCGGTTGGAATTGGGCGTTCGGCGTCTATAACAAATGGCAGGTATTGACATTTTGCATGTTAATGCCTTGTAACGTACAGAGTGTCTGTGTCAGACATGCACGAGCCCCCTCTAAATATTTGGTGCGGCAAAGCTCGATAAACATAAAAACTTTGTCGTTCGATGATATTATGATAGTTTGTGTTGTGTTGTGTTGTCACTTTTTTCTCAATTTTATTGATATTAGGTGTCAACTTCACAAATATGAATAGGCCTAGTTAACCAAAATGGTTAGTTTCAGAAATGTCAAAAATGACCGTTAAATCCGCACCATCCGCTCATTCATGCCGCACCCAATATTTCTCATAGGCTCCGTCTGCATAGTGTAATCTAGTCTATTATGGGAACGATACTCAAGTCGTGTGGTAATGCCAAAAACACGATACAAAGATAATACTAAAATGTGTGATTATTAAAATGCTATAACTTTTTTAATTTTTGATAGTAAATCATAATTTGCATACCAAATGAAACTTGAGGTTGTTATCTAGCCATTGATCATGAATTATACACTTTTACTTGAATAAAATATGTCAACTAAAGCTGGCAATTAAGACAGGTTGAAAAAAACTTAGCTAACAATTCACTGATACTGCAATATCAGCAAGGCGACTAAAGCTAAAATTTATCATCAATTAGGGTGGCGGACCAATTGAACTCCCCTTTTCGATCAAATATAATCCAAGTTGAAGGACTTGTTACATTATATTATTACTAAGAACCCTTGGCACTATATAACAAAAGGGGTATGTAGGTTGGAAAATAAAAAGTTGTAGTGTCTTGAAAAAAAAGTGGCGATTTTTTTGGCCCACCCTGTATAGTTACCATCCCTTAAGCGGTGGAAGATATCGTTGAACTAGGGCGCCTATGCATGATATATGAACAAATGATCGTACTCCAGAGTTTCCATGTCATATAAGTCGGATTGAGTTCAAATATCAAAGCAATTTGTCAACTATATAGTAGTCTAATTCGATGAAAACTAAAAATATCGAAATCGATATCCGTCCGTCATCTTTGATGCGTAGGTGACGGCCGTTACCTTCGCTTGATACTGACCAGTGAATAAATGGAAGACCCCCTAATGGGAGTTTAGAAAATGAAAGAAATTACAAAATGTCCACATCACTGCAACGTACAAATCGAAGGGAAAATAATAGAGATGTTAATAGATGGCAACATTGGTCGTTGAACCAAGTTCTGTATTAAACGCCCATAAAAAGTACAATGGTAATACTTCATGTTAATTTAATAATTCATCACCATGCTTTGAGCACTAAAAGCCAAGGAATCATATGTAAATAGTTATCTGTGGTGAATACGTGGATAATATGATTGGAATATTTGGCTAAAGGCAGCCATTTAAGAAAATTACGGCCATCATATATGTGTTATTTTACGTTTCGCTTGGAAAGTAGTGGAGCGATTAAGATTTTATATATGAATATTTAGAAGAGTATACACTGTCTCGTGACAGTTTCAAAACAGATTCCTGGCATTTTCAAAAATGGTAGCCAAAAGGTAGCAGTTCGATGGGACTTGCTACGTCTTGGCGTTGCTGTTATCTATTTGCAAATTCGTTCTTACTGAATATTTTGACTTTTTGAGGTGGCAATGAATTCAACATAATATGACACCATAAACCTAGTATTTAGAGCAACTTGTTATAGGATATCTCCATTTCCAGTGAATAATCCATGCCTTGATTCGATTTTGTTTTAACTGGATGTACAGCACTACATGTAAATACATTCAGATTAGAACACCTGAAAGATATCGAACCAAAGCATGCACATGTACATGCATAGATCATTTAATGGAGACCCGCTTCCCACGTTCTACTTACCTTTTTTATTGTATTTGTATTCTTATTCATGGATGAGTTAATAGTCACTTCCTTTTCTTTTTATTAACTTAAGTCAAGAGTCATTAAATACTCTTTGAGCTCCACTTAGGTAGCAACACAGTAGAATGAACATTGGTTCATTTGAAAGAATATACAGCTGTAACAAAGAAGAGTGTATTCTTTTTCTATTATTTTTTATAATTGACATTTTGCGTCATATTAAGTAGAATTCATTGCCACCTCAAAAAGTCAAAATATTCAGTATGAGTAAGAACGGATTTGCAACTAGATAACAGCGTCAACGTCACATTTGTGTTTTATGATTCTTTTTCCTGATCATATTATCATTTTGTTTGGCACTCCATCATCTGTTCCTATTACACATAAGCATACATTCTTGGTGGATCTAGATCTTGACCAGAGATACAAAGTCGACCTAATAAAACCGTTGCTGTCCATCTCTTAGATTGCTGATAGCATTGACTTCCAGCCGAGTCTCATCTCTATTGTATGTTGAACTTCCAACAAAGATTGTTTTCATGTGTTCATTAAGGTAGAAGTGTCAAGGGCTTTATCAGGTGAATGTGGGATGTTGTACACTGAAAAGGTTTAGTGTCAAGACACTCCATGCCATTGTAAAATTTGTTTTCTTTGCTTTGTGAATAGGTGCATCGTGGAGGTGCAATATTGAATTTCCTATTAATCCAGCGACTTTTTTCTAAGCTGTTGTATAATATATGTCTTTGATTACGGTTAGTGACATTACTGTACATAGTTCTGATTTGTACCAAGGACACTGTGAATGGCATAATTATACAAAAGAGAATACTGTGGAAAAATAATTCAATATTGGACAAAGAAAGACATTGATAGAAAATACAATAAGAAACACTGTTTTTTATTTGAAATTTATTAAATGGATACATTTTAGCAATTTATGACATTTTAGCAATGATCTGGAACTGCTCCGCATACCTCTCACCACTGTTACCATGACAACGTAACTTTAACACCTTTAAACTTTATGTGATGAAAAGTCGGAGATATATTGTAAAATGTGTGTGCTCTATAAGGGGTGATATGAGAAATAAATGAATTAATTAATTGAACAAATATCTACCTTACTCAATATTATATTCTCATCTAAAATATTCCATATTCCATATACTGATTTTCGGTACTGAAAAGTTAACTATTTTCCATAGTGATCGGCCATTTTTCAATTTTTATTATTGTCATTTTTGAAATCTACATATTCATATTATGATAGTCAGGTATGATTCATGCGGTTGCAATCTATCTTAATTAAGGTCAACAAATAAGGGCTTTTTGCTGGATCTCCCATTCGCCTATAGTAAAGTAAATTGATAAAAGTTTAAAGGCTACAGGAGGGAATCACTTATTAATTGTAGATCTGATTCAAGTTTTGGGTTTTTGGTTGTCATAATCTCAAGCAGATTATTTTCATTTTTCTGGACAACATCATGATTATTCATCAAGGAGTCCCCCGTCAATGTAAGTCAGTGCAAACTTCAGAAGCTTTTATCTCAAAAGTGCATTAAATGAAGTTAAAACAGAACTGATTCCAATAGTATGAAGATATATTTTATGTTATTTGTGTTGAACAAATAAAACCTAATGCAACCAATGACATCATCAACTGTAGATTCACTGAAATCTAAGCTCTCTATGAAATAGAATACCGCGTGTTTATGAATAAATATTATAACTGAAACATCATATTAGTATGGCTTGATGAGAGTTGATTTCCGATACCAAGGTACAGTACTGAGGCCCGGGTATACAATCATTAATAAAAAATCAGTATTATTCTTATTCAATGTAAGTAATCTCTAATAAAAGAATATACATGTATACACCACGCATTACCAACTCAGTACTAGGGTGGTCCAAAATATGGCGAAAAACCAACTTTGTTTCAGATCATCTTCCTCATTTCACTTACTGTTGTCCATGACCTAAAACACCTGCACACCAAATTTTAAGACCCAAATCACATGGGAAATTTACCCACGCTTCGACTGAAAATTCGGTTATTTCATGATCTTTTGCTATTTTCGATAAATTGTCATCTCCCTTTTCCTGGTATAATATGTTTCTATTTTTTCATAATAAACATTTTTGTAGGACTCTTTATTACTTCATAATACTAGGAACCCATACACCAAATGTTGAGACCCAAATCCCATGGGAAATTTACCCACGCTTCGACTGAAAAATTCGGTTATTTCATGATTTTTTGCTATTTTCGATAAATTGCCATCTCCATTTTCCTGGTATAAAATGGTAGATGTCTTTTCATAATAAATATTTTTGAATGACTCTTTATTACTTCATAATACTTAGGAACCCATACATCAAATTTTGAGACCCAAATCCCATGGGAAATTTACCCACGCTTCGACTGAAAAATTGGGTTATTTCATATACAATACAATACATCTCTATTTTCCTGGTATTATATGTTTCTATTTTTTATAATAAATATTTTGGGAGGACTCTTTATTACTTCATAATACGAGGAACCCATGCCCCAAATATGCACCAAACTTTGAGACCCTGGCCCCATGAGAAATTAATTCATGCTTCCACCAAAAAATTGTGATTTTCTGTGAATTTTCTCCTATTTTCAATAGGTCAACATTAATCTTATATTTAGTTTTTAAACATTTTAGGAGGACATTAATACGTTCTTAATACTAGGAACCCATACATTTAATATGTACCAAATGTTTAGACCTGAACCCCATGGGAAATTCACGTTTGCTTTGATCATATACTTTTGATTTTTGTCGTTTAGAGCACCATATCATTGTTGTGTGATGTGCAATTTGTAATAAATTGTATTACACGTTGTCTTAATTATCCTGTTTGGCCTTACATACGTTACATCGTGAAAGATGGTTATATAGTACTTTAAGGTAATTCCTTATTTTCAGTTTTAATGGCTTCCTAATTGGAGCCCCGTGTTTTTTCAGGAACACATAACTCATTCCATTCAGATGCACAAACAGTGTATAAACATAGCACATAGTACATTATAGAAAATTACTAACCATCAACTAATAATCTAAATACATATTTGAACTCAGTGTAAAATTGAAAGAGCTGACCAAGTATGGAATGAGTTCCAGAAATAACATTGGACTCCACTTAAAATTTCTGAACATACAGAATTACCTTAAGTGTTTCTCATTGCTCTTCCTATCTTCTACATTGTGTACTTTCAGGGCATGAACATTTTCAGAGAAATGACAACGCTCAGTGGAAGCTCGAATCCCTTGAAGATTTGGTACAGGCTTACTGGTTAAAACAGAGACCATGCCATTGATACATTGATCAATCAAAAAATCATTTCTCCAAAGAAAATCAGATTTGATATTTGACCTTACCCTGCAAAGATGTGAGAAAGAATATGACATCTCACACAAATCCAAACAAAGTCCTGTGATGTATCCCTACTGAAACCAACAAACCAAATCTTCAAGGCATTTGAGTTGCTGTCGAGTCATCACTTCTTAATATTAACCACAGTATATAAATGTACAAGTAAAAGATCCTAAATTTTCCCCAAACTACTGAATTTGTCGCCTTTCAATAAGACTTAAAGTCTTGATATTTAGGTGTTTCTTTGGATTAAGAAGGAATTGCCATAATGTTTATTAACATATTATGCCCCTAAAACAGACATCATAAGCTATCATAAGCACCAGTTTTCAGTCAAAGCATGGGTAACGTTCTCATTGGATTTGGGTCTTAAAATTTGGTGGATATTTGGTGTATGGGTTTTTAGTATTATGAACGTAATAAAGAGTCCTCAAAAATGTTTATTATAAAAACATATCGTACCAGGAAAATGGAGACAGCAATTTATTGAAAATCGGAAAAAATTTGAAAATCACAATTTTTCAGTCAAACCATGGGTAAATTTCCCATGGGATTTGGGTCTCAAAATTTGGTGTTTGGGCTCCTAGTATTATGAAGTAATAAAGAGTCATCCAAAAATATTTATTATGAAAAATAGAAACATATTATACCAGGAAAATGGAGACAGTAATCTATTGAAAATCGGACAAAACTGTGAAAATCACAATTTTTCAGTCAAAGCATGGGTAAATTTCACATGGGATTTGGGTCTCAAAATTTGGTGTTTGGGCTCCTAGTATTATTAAGTAATAAAGAGTCCTACAAAAATGTTTATTATGAAAAAATAGAAACATTTTATACCAGGAAAAAGGAGATGGCAATTTATCGAAAATAGCAAAAAATCATGAAATAACTGAATTTTTCTTATAGGTTATGATACAGAATGTAGCATCCATTCTAGACAGAGGAAACCCCAGTCTCATGACTAGTAACGGGTCCATCCTTGGTCCGAGGATAGGTCTATTTCACTTCTTTTTATCCCAAACATGAATTTAAGCATATATCATAAATGCTGTCCTTTGGAGAAGGATGCAACGGGTCGAACATTTCAATAGTCACCAGGAAGACTAATGTCTGGTTTAAAAAATGACTCTATATAGCAGGCCCGGGCGGAGGGAGCAAAAATCCCTCCCCCCCTTGTCAAAAGCTGCCCCTTGGTAAAACCGCCCCCCCCCCCCCCCTAGTAAATCCTGGCTACGGGCCTTTATATAGACAAACCTCTAGCTCTATTTTGTTTGTCTACGACGATTGAAATGCAGTCATCAATTCTTTAATCATTTATTGATCACGTGGCCAACGGAAACAAGATGAACAATTCAAAGGACGATTCTCCTGGGCTAATAATTTTTTTCATGAAAAATATAGAAATATTACCCAAATTAAACTATGAATATTCAAAAGAGGACATTTAAATCTACAAGATGTAAAAATAACAAATTGGTCAGAAGCAGGGATAACGCTCAATTAGACCGATTCAATAAAATACAAGTCTCGATTTGGGAAAAGAAGTTCATCAGTGTACTGCGCTAATATTTTTTTGCGAAAAATCTATCTATATTACCCAAATTAAATTATAACTATTCAAAAGAAGACATTCAAATCTATGTTATGTAAAAAATTCAAATTTGTCCAAAGCAGGGATAATGCTCATTTAGATTGATGAACTTCGTTCTCCAAACCGAGAATCGTCCTTTCGAATAAAAACTCTATTTATAATTTACTTTTAAATAAAACTGCCAGTTTTACGGGAGTAACTATTCAAACCTACTCCTGACAAAATCAATTCTCTTGATGATGTCCCCGTATTATAAAACTGAAAAAATAAGGAGAAATTAATATAATTTGGCATATGTCTGGTTGGTAGTTACCCAGTACCGCTTTAGATGAGAGTTAGGAAGGATGTTAATGATGGGGAAAATAGTACACTGAGTATGACGGTTTATGGGACCTATTGATTAGCTTTAAGTTTTAATCCATTGTAATATACGGCATAGCAGCAAAGCGGCAGCGGCAACTGCTTGCCAAAGGGCGTGAGTTTTTGCTCCAGATTGAAGCTTCTCTCATCGATGAACAGGAAGAACATTGTTTTACAATCCATAAGCGTACTGCACTTCGTTAAATGCAACTCATTTAAGCAAATAGCAAAACCAGGAGAGGTACGAAATTACTACATATCAAAATGGACATAATATTAGCTTGACAAACCACAAACCTTGACTCAATTTTGAGCAATCATAAAAAATATTTGCATACTATCCAATATGCTAGGCTTACTTCAAATTATGGCGTCCTGTGGACTGTTCTTTACTGGGACTTGTACTGAAGTGACTGACACAGTTATACATCAGGGGGAATACACAAGCGGTGGCGTTTTCCACTGGCAGGGTAAAGTGGACATGTCAATACCAACTGACCTGCCAGAGGCTATAACGAACTGGAAGATGGTCATATACCTTGAGGACGGAAGGGAAATCACAAGTGTGACGCAGGTAAGAGGGAATGTCTAAATGGTATTAAGTACAGAACTATAATTTGCAGTCATTAGTATTAATTTAAACTGATTAAATTACATGTAAACTTAAATCAGAGACATGTCTCTGATTAAATACAATTATCTGATTATAAAATGTCACCACCTTCTTACAAACAGTACAAGAGCGACTAATTATTTTAATGATAATCATTTAATTCATGGCAACTGGTAATGTCTAATTAAATCAGAAGATGTCTATATGCCAGTCAAAAAATAGAGGTGACCTAAAGCAAACATTCCAGCAATATTTGGTCCGGCATAGAAATTAGACAACGTTGACTAATTAGCTTATTACAATATTTTTAGTTTCACCATTCATAACTGTTTAATATTGTCAAAATATCAAAATATATAACACATCTATGTAATGTGTGTACGCGGTAAAAATGTCAAGTCAAACAATTTGAACACTACTATAACCTTAACTAGTTAATGGACGCAAAGGATAATAATTGCCGACCACGACCCGCTTAATGTCAGGCACAAAAGGGTGGATGATATGACAATGTGTCACATCTTAACCATGATATAAAAAGACACACTTGAAAAACAAAAGCCAAGTGTTATTCTATTTTTCCCCAAGAGAGGTACATGTGTTATATATCGGAAAGCACTTAATAAGTCATTTGTTTTATCAAATAAAGGAGATGATGCAATTTAAAATCTTGCTAATTGACAATGTCACCATGACAACGATATCAGTGATTTCTTGAGTTAATTAGAACAGAAAATTGACATCTAAAATAATCGAAAATTATTGCTGGAACTTTCTCCAGCCCCAATGTTATTTCAGTGGGAGTTTTATCAAAAATTGATAAACCTTTCGCTAATTCTGATAATTTTGTCTAAATCTGGAAAATATGTTTTCAATGGACCCCATGTGATTTGAGTATTATCGCTAATAGCGATAATTTTACTTAATTCACTAAAACTTTGGGGTCTAGAGCAACTGTTCCGAAGAAAAGGGCCCAAGTGAAATTAGCATTAGCTGATAATATCAGCTAAATTTGATAATTATCAAAACTATCGCTTTTATCGCTAAACATTTTGGGTCTGGAGTCAATGTTACGAAGAAAAGGGTACCAGTGAAATTTAAAATTGATAAAATCAAAACTATCACTTTTATCGCTAAAAGTTTAGGTCTGGTTAGGTGAGTTTTAGGTTTAGCAGCTAATGCTAATTTCATGTGTGCCAAGTATCAAAATTATCAAATTTATCGATAATTGACAAAAGTATCGCTTTTATTGCTAAAACATTTTCGGTCTGGAGTAAATGTCACGAAGAATAGGGCATAAGTGAAATTAGCATTACAGTGTAGCTGATAATATCAGCTAAAATTGATAATTATCAAATTTATCGCTAATTGATAAAAATTACCGATAAATGATAATTATCAAATTTATCGCTAATTGATAAAAGTGAGTTACCGCACCTAAATGATTTTGAGGCCAAAATAATCAGTTAATAAGTGGGTTCGTATTTCGTCTTACGGATTCCAAACCTATGATATGAAAAAATCACATTAAAACATAATGCTATGACCTTCGTTTTATCAGAACCATTTTGAGGTCAAAATAATCAGTTAATAATTGGGTTCGTAATGCAAAATTGCAGGTATTAATACAATAGAAACCTCTTTGGAATACCTAATCATAACAGAGGTAGATTCGAAAATAATGCATTTCTTTAAGCAGATCGATTGAGTCTTCTCCGAGGCGAAATATCCGTCGATATGTCGGTCTGCCGTGTGAATATTTGTATTCGCCTTCTTTGTAAAAAAGTCAATTTTTGTTATAATAAAGAAAACATTCCGATACACATCACACCTTTCTTTGACAAAGAAAAGTCGACTTGTTGTGGTAACATACAAGAATTATTGGCACATTAGTCCTATTTGCACTAAACAAAGCATTCCAAGACGGTCTGGCTGAGCTCTTACAAAATTATGCCTCAGTAATATCTGATCTACGGCAACCGTACAACGGCCGTAGCTTGCTAAAATCGAGAGAAATAAACAGTATACAACATAGACAAGCAGTATTCTATATCGATTTTGTGAAGTTACAGCCGTCGCAAACGTCTACTGCGACCGTAGTCTTCCGTAGAAATTATAACTTGGAGTTATAACTTACTTCTACTACCGTCACCGTAGAAATTAAGAGGCCGTAGTTAGACTGCAGAAAGATTCCACGATGGCCGCACGTCGGGCGTACGGTCAACTTGTATCTGCGGTATCGATTTGTTTGTTTCAATTGACCTTTTCGAACAATAGGATCGCCGTGAGTTCCCTCTGCGGCTGCCTTGGTTTTTGTCAAGAAAAACTACGGGCCGCTACATACGCTTACGGTGCGTCATAATTTATCAGCCGTATAGCAACCGTAGTTTTTATGTGTCCTAAAAGTCAAAGTTGCCGTACGGCTGCCGTAGCAAATGTGACTGCTAGATACCGCAGAAGGCGACCGTATAAATGTACGAGCTGACAAAATAGAAGACGAGGGGAAATCAATGTCTTGGAAAACGTTAAGTACTTCATCAAATATACAAAGGTTTTGAGCTGTAGTCTTACTTTTCAAATGCCTAATAGGAAATGCATTCAATAAATACTAATTACGGGAGACTGGTTCAAAGTAAATATTTCGAAATTTATCAATTTTCAAAGGTTTTTGCTTCGGCAAGGATAGAACATTTTCAGCATTGGAAAATATACAACATACTCATGTATTTCAATATCATTTTTGTCGATTGCTGATAAGAGATATTGTACCAAGCTTAAACCTCGGTGAAAATAGGAGGGAGTAGCAAATCCAACCGAACAATGCCATCTTGAAAAGGAGTGGTATCGATATGGAGAACTGAATTCAATGATGTTTTTCTCTTAAACCAATCATTGAAAAATACACGGTATTTTATGTAATGTTGACTGATTGACAACAATTTAATGCGAAAATTATTTAGAAATGTTTTATATAACTGTTTTTGTTAACATTTTTTGTTTTTAGTGCAATTGTTTTTGCTCCTTTCTACCAATTCTTGAGAATGAAATAAAATGTCTTTCCGAAACTTGTTGGAACAAAATAACATGTACATTTTTAGACCTCTCAATATTATAGTTATACAAAGGAATTTTTGGTTGATTTTAAAAAAGTATTCAAAAAATGAAAACAAAATCCCCCCAAAATAGATAAAAATCAAGATAAAACTTTTATTTCATTTACAAGATACTTTTTTAAAATCAACCAAAATTTCCTTTGTACAATTGCAATATTGAGAGACCTACACATTGTTGTGTTTATGTCGTTTTGTTCCGATGAGGTTCGAAAAGATGTTTCATTCCACTCTGGAAACATGATACCAAGAACAAAACAAGTGTTTGATGTGTTTTCTAAAACAATATAGATGAAGGTATATACAATATATATATTTTCAAATTATACTGTTTCCATTCAAAAGATGACCATTAAATTGACGATGTGTTTTTTAGATTTTTTATGACTGGTTTAAGAGAAACGTGTTTAAAAAGTTCTCCATATCGCTAACACTCCTTTCTTCTTGAACCCAAGGTCTTGAACCAACAAGGAGAATTGGCTCCTAAAGAGGCAACTCCATATCCGACCTTGTCCTTGATCGATATGTCAACATTAAAAATATCCTCAATGTCGTTAATTTCTGACATTATGACTTGAACAAAATGAAACCTTAGGTTTGGTATTCGGGAAGTTCCTCCATTTTGTGACGTTTACGTTACATCAAAGTAACTAATTGTGGAACAGATTTTCCTCGGTACCCCATGAACTATATTGGCCTTAATTAAAATCCCATTCAGTTGGTATTTGTAGTTTATTTTATTGGCAATTTCGAATTTTCAAAAATACAAAGCTGAGACTCGGATCAAATATGTACAATTGTAAATTTATAGTATTGCTAGATAACTTAAAATCGGAAAATTATCTTGAAATAAAGTTGGAACTGTTAGAGGTTTTAGGAAATAGGTTAAAAGGCAGGAGCTCTCAATTCGTCTCCATCTCTCCGTCGAAGGTGTTTCACCTTCTACTCTCTAGGATATTCGCATTATTCAGCTCGATGGGGTCACCTCTTGAGAACCAAACGAAGTACCTCTTTCCCGGAATCTTTGTCTTTTGAATAAATCTCCTTGTCTAGAAATGGGAAAGGTTTAGGACTACTTATTTAGTTTTCATTTATGTTCTATGATTTTCAGGTCAATTATGCCGGAGCTTTTCACAGCATCTGTCCCATCGATCCCACAGAAACTACGGCGAACTACTTTATCCTGAAGCCATACAATGCTGGGGCCCGTGCTATTAGCCCCGGTGCAACTCTACAATTAGATTTTACAGTGAAGGTCGTGGGTAATACTCGACCACAAGCTAGAGCGGTTCTACTTGTAAACCCAACTAGTGCTTTAGATCCCCTCTGTACAAGTCAAGCTCCAGCAGATTCATTAACCACCACAGAAACAACAGACGCCCCAACCACTACAGCAACAGACGCTCCAGCTACCATAACAACAAGAGACCCTTCAACATTTATAACAATAACAGGTACCATGGTAACAATATCAAGTTATTCAACAACAGACGCTCAAACAACTACAGTAACAACAGAAACTGTACACACTAGTAGTCAACCAACAACCATCACTACCCAGACAACTGCTACTTCAAATGAGTTAGACAGCTCAAGTTCTTCGGAAGAAAACACCGAATCTACACAAAGTGCAACGTCCGAATCGACAACGTTGGTATTCGATGATACAACTGACACAATAATATCAGATGCAACGACTGTGCCTGTATCTACAAGGACACTGTTACCCTCTGTGTATCGTTATAGTTACAGGCGTCCCAAAGCTCTTCAAATGGAGCCAGACGAAGCAGAGAACGCTGCGACGGTGGGAATCATAATGTCAATTTTAGCAATATTGCTTATATTGGCCATAGCTTCGGTAGACATTGATGCACTAATAAGAGACATCAAATGGGCACGTTATAACGTAAGATATGGATTTCGGAGATTAGCTAATATACCTATAGATGCATCGGATCATTACGAACAACGTCGAACAAAATCAAAACGACGAAAAAGCAAAATGAAAGCTTCAGTAGAAGACAATAGGTCCCCAGTACAGACATTGCTTTGGGAGAACAATAATGATAGAAGAGTCGGTAGACTGGGTAGTTTCAGCGACTATAGACTAAGTATTATCCCAAATCAAGTATCACCCGATGAGGATAATACTTAGCAATTTCACAATTCAGATTCCGAGCAACAATAGGCTAGCGACCGAATCACGAAATCAATCGACAAAGTAAACTATATATAATGCATCATATATTACCTATATTGTATTAGCCTGTAAAGTACTTTACCTGCCATTATATACTTTTATACAATTCATTGTATTTTTTCACTGAGTAAAAAGTGTAATAAAATCAATTTTATTTCTTTAGATTTCCGTACACATAGAATTTAAATTAATCCCCAGAGAGCATACAATTACATCTCCATTATCGACCAGACATTCATCTTGTTCAGGTTGACATTATAATATAATGTACGCACCCACCCTGAGAGACGATAATCTTGATATGATTATCTGGAATGTCACACATCGATCCAACAGGTAAACAATGTATATTTTATATGAATTGAAGAACAGCTACAATTACCAGTGATTCAATACAAGTTCAAGGAAATAACAAAACCGATCCCGGTGATATATGCTCGATTGCGCCCGTGACAACGTTTGATTCTGTGTCGCCCCTGGGTTCACGTTTGAATGTGCCATCCCGAATCAAAACGTTTTAACAATGAATTGCCACGTACTCTTATTTGTCGAGGTCATCTCTCGATTTCTCGTAAGCTTTTAACATCTCTTCATCTCTGGATAAGGAGTTTCGATATGAAACACAAAGGCGACGCAAAATACATAATGTAGCTTGTATTCGCGAATGCAACTAACGGCTGTGGGTTACCGGATTGAGATACTTTTTGGAATAACTCTCTCAATAATTAAGGAATCTTCATGATTTTCTATGTGTAGATAGTAAGTCTTATTCAATGGAGAAAAGATTGCTATGCTCGCATATCATCAACCCGGGAGCATCAACAACTTGTAAATTAAGAGAATCTCACTTTCCGTGGAGGCATGCTCCGACGCAAAATCACTCAATATTGTTGATTAGAAAATCTCTTTCTTAAAATTGATCTAATAAGCCAGTCAGTTCATCAAATTTGACAAGATTATTTAAAGGAAAATGGATAGACATGACATATTTTTGATTTTTTTGTGTGAAAGCAATCCAAAAGTGCCTCAAATGATGGCTTTTTGATGATTTCACCGAGAGCATGCGTCGACGGAATGTGATATCTCTAAATCTGAAAGTCGTTGATGCTATCCAAGTACAACAATCTATGTTCCATTGAACACTCTATCTACACAAAAGATCACGTAGATTCCTTATTATTGAGAGTTATTCCAAAATTAGTGCGTGGTTTTTTTGGGTCACCCTGCACCTGCCACTATTCCATTCATATTTAAATAAGTTGGTCATAAAATGGTAGGTTAATCCGGTAGCCGTTAGTTGCATTCGCGATTAACTTTTATTCGCAAATGCAAATAGCGGCTACCGGATCAACCTTCTATTTCATGGGCAACTCATTAAAATATGAATAGTACATGCCACTATTCCATTTATATTTAAATAAGTTGGTCATAAAATGGTAGGTTAATCCGGTAGCCGTTAGTTGCATTCACGATTAACTTTTATTCGCGAATGCAAATAGCGGCTACCGGATCAACCTTCTATTTCATGGGCAACTCATTAAAATATGAATAGTACCTGCCACTATTCCATTCATATTGGAATGAGTTGGTCATAAAATAGTAGGTTAATCCGATAGCCGACAACCGGCATATGCATTCACGAATACAAGCTCTATTTCAGTGTGCCACCCAGAAAAATGAAAAAGGTGTACTTGGGTAGGGGTATCAGTGAGTGTAAGCTTAAATTGCCATCACAATTGCAATTGCTATGCAGGCAGGAATCGTAATTCCATTTGAATGTCATTATGAAGTCTATTGTTATTACTTAATTAATGGCATTTAAATTATGCATTTGAACGCACTTTATGACAAAGGTAGACAGATAGGGAATATATCATAACACATAAACTCATTAATCAGAGCGTATATTACAGTATTATCACTTATGATGATTGTAACTAGATTTATAAAAGATTCATATACAACTTACTTTAGTCTTTGAATTTGATGTCAGGCTTGAATGTTTTAACTGCTGTACTATTTTAGTATTAACCAAGCTTGTATTCGCAAATGCAACTAACGCCTGTCGGCTACCAGATTAACCTACTATATTTCCATTTAAATATGAATAGTACTGCCACTATTCCATTATATATTTAAATGAGTTGGTCGTGATGATATGATGTTTTAAAATTGAATTCAATTTTGCCCTATAAAATATACTATAAACGTACAATATACCAACGTCTGAAAACGGCCAAAATTCGTGGAGGGGAGATATATATAATATGGGAGATAAATATAATATATCTGCAAGATTTATTTTTCCATGAGATTCTAATATACAAAATTTAATAATCAAATGAAGATCTAGGAGACGCGAGATGGTAAAATCAGTGTTATGTCATGTTTTAAATTTTTAACTGTTACGCATATGTAGGCATGTATGCTTCTAACCTAAAGAATGAGATTTATTGGAAAAGACTGATCGCCACCATCATAGACGTAGCCAGTACGGGCGAAAATATAACCATTAGATAGAGGAAGAAAAGAGCTTTAAAGTCCCCGATAAATCGGGCTACGTATACCGCCGTGTTTACATAAGGGGATTAGAAGAGTTTATTTTTTATTTAGGTATGCAAGCTATATCAATATTAGGCCTTCATGCATGTACCCGTGTGTACAATTAGCATGCCCTTCAATATTATTAAACCAGGCTATTCAAGTACTAACATAATGTATACTATTTATGTGTGTACTACATGGGAATACAGTTCCCTGGGAAACAAAACACAAATACTTTTTATATGTTCAAAATGAGCCATTTGACCGATGCATACACTTAATAGCTTCATAAACAATATCTACAAAGTATATCTAATAGTAATTTTCAATTTCAATGGTGAAACTTGCCTGGTTACGATAATACGGGAAATCACCACGGGACGATGATTGCTCACCTGCCTGGCTTACCTCTGAAGCCTGTACCCTGTAATCTCTTTATATAGGTTAGCGAGAGCGCTGCGCCTGCGCAGTTTTAAACTTTGGCGCACACTTTAAAATGCTATTTATTTGAATCTTCTAGTAGTCCCCGATCTGATTTCCAAAAGGGCTCTAGAAAAGGGGTTTTGTTGTCCGGTACTTTCCCACATAAAATGATTGTACCGTTTGAAAGAACAGACTTCCCTCTTAAAGAAAACACCTCTTCTATTGATGTAAACAGGGGCAAAAGGCACCAAAACGGGGTTAGACAACACTGGCGGATTAGGGGGGGGGGGGGGGGGCTGGGGGCCCGGGCCCCCCCCCCCTTGGGTGGGCCCAGAAAAAAAAATTGGGCCCAAAAAAAATTTGGGCCAAAAAAGGCCTTAAGGCTCCCAAAAAGTCGGCCTTTTTGGTCATTACTGGGCCTTTTAAGGCCTTATTTTTTAAATTCAGGCCAAATTTTGAAGAAAATTGGCCTCAAAATTTCAAAATTTGGGCCCACTTTTGCGTTTTAGGGGCCCAAAATTTTTTTCCACGCAAGCGCGGACTTTTTTTCTCTGACCTGAAATTTGGGCCCCCCCCTTGTTGGTTCCCAGATCCGCCCCTGGACAAGGTGGCATTCTGAAGTCTCACTTTCTTGTCATCACGATTCCAGGTAAACCATAAGACGGATTTACTTCAAATTTTCACACATGTTACATGGTAAGAAGTTCTAGAGCTGATTAACTTTGCGGCGGCCATCTTGCATTCTGGCGGCCATCTTGGAATTTTTTTCAGATAAATATTGTCATCGCGATTCCACAAAAACCACATAACAGATTTACTTCAAATGTTCACACATGTAACATGGTAAAAAGTCCTAGACCTCATTATTTTTTCACACATATTACATGGTAAGAAGTTCTAGAGCTAATTAACCTTTCGGTGGCCATCTTGCATTCTGGCGGCCATCTTGGAAGTTTTTTGGATAAATCTTGTCATTGTGATTCCAGGAAAACCACTTTACTGATTTTCTTGAAACATTTACACATGTTACAAGGAAGGTTACATGCTACCTTTTATATTGATATAAACAGGGGCAAAAGGCAGTAAAGTGGGGTTACACAGGGTGGTATTCTAAGGAGAATGTTATCTATATTTCTGTATTTTAAACCACATAATTTGACATAAATGCATATTTGGTACATATGATATCATGTTTTATATTGATAGAAACATGGGCAAGAGGCGCTACAATGGGGTAACACATGGTGATATTCTAAAATACATATTTTTACTCTGCTTCTGTACTTTATACCACTTAAATGCATTTTGTGTATGACATCGATTGATTTTTAGAATAAATAACTACATTTCATCAAAAAGAAAAAAGATTATTGAAAACGTCAAACATTTCTTTGAAATCCATTATTGCACAGTGATTTTTGAGAGCGAAATGTATGCTAAATTGGCCTTGATCTGAGTATATAACAGAATTAAAGCTCTTTTAAACGAAAATGTAAATGTGTGGAAAACCTTTCACTGTGCATCATGTCAACAAAATGTTCTTCATGCAGTTGAATTATCTTCTGGACAGGTGATCACACAGAAGGAGAGACCTGCGTATCATATCCTTACTAAATATAATAAAAAATGACAAATGAGAAAGGAAAAAAGGGTAAAGCAACCTAGTGGGAAAAGCAAACTGTAAAGTGTAAAACTGGCAAACAAAAATCAAACCTGAATATCCCAAGACAATAATCTAATATGGGAATAAACAGCATCCACACCGTTCAATGACCAATTCCTCATCAACGACCACAACTCCGAGGGACATTCCATTCATACTGAAGTCATTAAAATACATGTTGAAGAAAAATTGAAAATAATGATAACCAATACTCATAAGATCAAAAATAGTTGTAGATACTAGTTCTCACAAAAGCTGCAGACAACGTTTCTTCATCGGGAAAGCAAGCTGTCTCTTAGTCAGATATTAACTAACGAGCTGGTTCAGAGCACCAGCATGTCAAACTATGTGAATGGGCTCTGTATCCACAATGTTGCGAGTTCGAGATACATGTGCTCTTTGTTTTTAATAATCAACAAAAATCACTTAAACCTGCACTAAAACTGTGTGTCAGATCGATATAAGTATAGGGTTTGGAAACTAATTGTACCAACAAAAAGAACTTAAAAAACACTGCTACAATATCAACATAAGCTTTCAATAGTAGTGACGATGCAGAAACATGCAAAATGTCACCACACCTCGTTAAGTATACAGTACACATTAACTACTGAACAGTGTCAAGATAAACGTTCGAAGCTATTACAATATGTCACCCAATCACTAGTGGTGGTGACATAAAAATAATGTATAGAAAAATCTACTGAACCAAAATAAACTTTGTGATAGAAGAACTGATTGTTTACTCTAAGTTTTCAACTAAATATATTTCTAATAAGCAATGTTTTATCGAAAAGAAAAAATAATTTCATGTTATATAAAATCAAATAAATTAATTATATTTTTTTCGTTGTGTTATTTACACCAGTAATAATAAACCTGTTTATAAAGTGGTGTTAACTAGACTATATAATTTAACAGTCATAAAAGTAATAATAAACCTGTTTATAAAGTGGTCTTAACAAGACTATAGAATTTAACAGTCATAAAACCTAAAAAAATATACCAGGAAGGGACCATTGTGAATGTAAATGTATAAAGCATGGAGTATAGATCATGATATAACATGACATAGTATGCCTTACAACTCATCCTCCCTAACATTATTAAAGACTACTAAAGTATATTATAGTGATCCACTCGATTATGCTGGTTACCTAAACGGTTTGTTTTGGTAACAAAATGTGGGAACATCGAAGGTATGATTTTTCCTTTTTCCTTTCACACTTTGTAGGCAGAATTCCCACGACATTTTTTCTCACAAACGTGTATCAGTATCATATGTTTAAGAAAATGTTCATATTTGCAAACAAATAGTTCAGAAGACAACATAATCGTACATTTAATTCCTCACTTAAGTTACATAAACGGTATTTCGAAAAAACAGTTCAGATCTGCACTTTTAACCCAAACCTTTATGTAACTTAAGTTAGGAATTAAATCGACGATTCTGTCGTCTTCTGAGCTATTTTTCGCAAACATGTACATTTTCTAAGACATATGATACTGATTCACGTTTGTGAGAAAAAACGTCGAGAGGATTCTGCCTACAACGCATGAAATAAGGAATAAGGACAAATCGTACCTGTAATCGAGCGGATCACCAGTGTATATACAGGGTGAGATAATTCATATTATGGCATCAACTTTGACAAGTTGGTTCATCCAGTTGTCAGGTAAGGGATTTTCAGGTAATTCATTTTCTTCCTGATCTTCAACGTTTGGTGTAATGGTGTCATCAACTGGTTCAAATTCATTGTCGCTCTCATCAACATCATCGTGCTGATGGGTTGGACAGTTCTCACACACACCTTTGCGGCACTTACATGAACTTCCACAAATGAGATCCTGTTTCTTACAACTACATCTCATTGAGTCACACGCTCCTTTACAACTACAAGCAACAAGCTCCATTATTTCTTGTGGGCCAGGATCGTTTTCCATCCACTTAATTTGTAGTTTATTCCCTTTGAATGTCCAACCATGTAATGTGGGGGATTGATAATCAATCATTGATTTGCCTGCGTTTCGCCAAATATAGGCCTGATAGTTGGCTCTATTTATATGGAGAATGAGAGCATCCTTTGTTGGTGGTAAATGCTTTGACTGTATTTTATATTTATCTACAAACTTCCAAGATGGCCGCCAGAATGCAAGATGGCTATCGGAAAGTTAATCAGCTCTATAACTTCTTACCATGTAACATGTGTGAAAATTTGAAGTAAAACTGTTACGTGGTTTTCATGGAATCGTGATGACAAGATTTATCTAAAAACTTCCAAGATGGCCGACGGAATAAAACATGGGCACCGAAAAGTTAGTCAGCTCTAGAACTTCATACCATGTAACATGTGTGAAAATTCGAAGGAAAACTGTGAAGTGGTTTTTCTGGAATCGTAATTACAAGATTTATCTATAAACCTTCCAAAATGGCCGCCAGAATGCAAGATGGCCACTGAAAAGTTAATCAGCTCTAGAACTTCATACCATGTAACATGTGTGAAAATTTGAAGTTAATCTGTTAGGTTGTTTTCCTGGAATCACGATGACAAGATTTATCCCAAAATTCCAAGATGGCCACCAGAATGCAAGATGGCTGCCGAAAAGTTATTCACCTCTATATTTTCTTACCATGTAACATGTGTGGAAATTTGAAGTAAATCCGTTTGGATTTCCTGAAATCGTGATGACAAGATTTATCTTAAAACTTCAAAGATGGCTGCCAGAATGCAAGATGGCCACCGAAAAAATAATGAGGTGTAGGACTTTTTACCATGTAACATGTGTGAACATTTGAAGTACATCTGTTATGTGGTTTTTGTGGAATCGTGATGACAATATTTATCTGAAAAAAATTCCAAGATGGCCGCCAGAATGCAAGATGGCCGCCGCAAAGTTAATCAGCTCTAGAACTTCTTACCATGTAACATGTGTGAAAACTTGAAGTAAATCCGTCTGATGGTTTACCTGGAATCGTGATGACAAGAAAGTGAGACTTCAGAATGCCACCTTGTCTAACCCCGTTTTGGTGCCTTTTGCCCCTGTTTACATCAATAGAAGAGGTGTTTTCTTTATGAGGGAAGTCTGTTCTTTCAAACGGTACAATCATTTTATGTGGGAAAGTACCGGACAACAAAACTTTTTTTCAGAGGGTCCAGATCAGGGACTATAGCTCATTTTGAAGGAAGTTACATAATTTTGTAAAATTCAAAACAAATCTTAATCTTTTGTGGGATGCTTATGCCACGATCACAACCGCTGGCTGAAAACCGAAAAAAATCTTGCAAAAGTTAAATACAACACACTGAATTTTTATTATGAACATATCTACACAGTAATAACTGCCTTCTTTATGAAATAAACCACAATGTAGATGTTTCATATACATGAGAAGTGATTGGGGTAAAAGTTTTAAAATTACATCAATGATTGTTCAATCTAAAAATTGGTGTCTTTGGATAGGTATTTTTCATTGTAGTTTAGTCTTAGGCTGTAGTAATTCAATTCTATGTTATTCAAACACTTTTATTCCATGCAGCTCTATTTGTACAAAAACTGGTCTTCCTAGAGGCGCAGTGATAATTTACAATTATTTACAATACTAGTATGCACAATTAATACAAACACATCAAGTTTGTTCCGAAGAAGTAAACCATTGTATGAAATGCTATTCTTATAAATATCTCAAAGTTAACATAATTTCCTTCGGTGGAAGGTCGGAAGGATGAACCTTCTTTCCTATCATACACAGATTATTTTGATCCATCAACATATTACAAACCTTGATGTATATGACCAGTTCCCTTTTGACTGAAGGAAAAACACTGATTTAGCTGAGTATGCCACATGTAGATTACACTTATTTTTCTCTCAAAATGGATAATCTGTGCTAAAATCATACACATATAATTCAGAAACCTTTAATTTATTTACCCTTGCCTTAGTCGATGTTCCTAAGTGAATGGTCTCAGACAATATGATTGTCAGTGCAGTATTACACTGTAGCTATTCCAGCACATCAGATAAGTACTGAACGAACAAATAATCCTGGCTGATATCCTGTCCTATGGTCCAACTATACACATTTTGATTCAAAAAGTTTTCAAAGTAAATCTACGAGACATGTTCCTTATACTTTTGACGTGTGGTTTAATTTGCTGAATGAATAAATAAATGAAAGCCATTCTCTGACCTCATAACAATCTCTGGTTTGTAAATTGGTTGATTGTCCTCATCAATTTCAAATCGAAACCTGCAAAACAATACAATCATTATATCTAAGCGCTACACTCTTAATGAACAGTAAAAGCTGCAACTTCACTTTCTAGATTATCATGTCCTTAACTTGTATCAAATTAACTTGTAATGTCCTCTTTTGACAGTTTGAAAATCAAAAATCACGCGGAAACTTACTTGTGGATAAGCCTAGCTGTAATGACCTTCAGCTCATTCAGAGCAAAGTTCTTTCCTATGCAATTTCTGGAAAAAACAAAAATTAAATATGCTACCACAAGAAAGAAACACAATGTACAGGGGGAAATTAAATCTTAGCTATACTACTCAAAAAACAATAGTAAGATCCAGCTATACAAAAATATCAGGATTTATATTTGTAAAGGTGTGTGAATAGATGGATGGAGTTTCATTGAGAATACATAATATGGAGTGTTATTTGGTTAACAAAAAATATAAAAGCTAACCTAGACCCAGCAGAAAAAGGCACATAGGCAAATGGATCAAGCTGCTGGACCTCTTTTGTTAAGAATCTCTCTGGCTTGAATTCCTGAAAGAAAACATTAATGTGATAGAACATATATTTTACCGAGGGCCTGTACATGCTATCCTTTCAATCTTGCTCAATAAGTTCATCTAAGGGAACATTTATTTCGCAGCCTCTTTTATAAGTCAACATCATTGGACAAATTGTTTTTGTGATCAAGAGGGACAAAGGGTTTTATACAGTTAGAGTCTATAGAACTGAAACATTTTAATTTGTAACAAAAGATACCAGTACTGTAAAATCAACATCAGTAACAAAATCCATCTTTCAAGCAGAATTTCTCTCTATGGGAAAAATTGTTCATCTGCCACTCTTGCAAATAATGTAAACATGCTTTTTTTTTTTTTTTTTTTTTATAATTTTTTTATTTCAAAGAATAAGCATGTTAAAGCAACTGCAAAAAACAATTACAGTACAGTTACATGTAATCCTACATTTAACAATTTTACAATACAGTACAGTGGTTAAATATTTCGTCTTAAGAGACGTTATACCATTGGCATTTTTTTTATTTATTTAAAGGAAAAAATCATCAGTTTCATTTGTTTAATTTTGTTTCCATGATTTTCCACTTATCGCCTCTGCCAACCCGTTTGTCCATAATAAAATATTCCTTCACATTACTTATAAAACCTTTAAGTGTTGGTTTTAGCATAGAATATTTGCACAAATAAACATACCTTTTAAAAATACATAGCATATTATTTAAGATGATTGTCTTCTCATTTATACTCTCAGGTCCTATCAATACATTTTGTTTAGTGCATAGCAATGTGAGCTCTAAAGGAAGCCATTGTTTAATGTCATTTAATACGGCACTTACAATAGTACATTCATACAGAAGATGGCAAATCGTTTCAGGATTTGCTTTACAAAAAGTGCAAATGTTTGACTCTACGAGTCCACACATTTTTAAGTATGTATTAGTTGCTAAAAATCTGTGAAGGACTTTATAAGTGAAGGATGATAACTTAGGTTCATAGTTACTCAGTTTGTTAAGTTTATTTATCTTCTTCCAATCATTTTGATTGAGTGACAAATTCAGATCTTTATTCCATCCTTCTATATATTTTGAATTCTTTTCTAAATTCTGAACAAATTCCCAGTATATTATTTTACTAATCTTTGACTGAGTAAGGAACTTTTGTACGTGTGCTTTATTTCTTGTGTGGAGTCAATAAGGGGAGGCATCGAAAGATCGATGTCAGTTTAGAAATTTAACTAATTAAGTTTGGGGTTGGGGTTTCAATACATTGAACTTTTGATGCCTCCTTTAACATACCATGGCATCATCCCCCCATGTTTTCTTATTATGATGTAAGGTATAAAGCCTCAGGTCCAGGAGTGTGTCAGGAAGTATTTCTACACCATTGACCATCATCTTCTCCTTGACAATCCTGCTTATGGCCACAGCAGGTGTATGCATTCGTAGCACCTCTTTCACAACAAGAGACAAGGTTGTCAGCTTGCCTACATCTTCCCTACAAAAAATACAAAAGTACAATGTATACACTATTACGCATGTCCTCTGCCTTGCCCAAGGTATTTTTTACTTATCCTGATCTGGTCATAATAGAAATCAGGATGAGTAAAAGAGGCCGACTTGGGCAAGGCTAGCATGCAGGGTGACTTTTAACTTTCTTTTGCCATTGTTCTGATGTTTTACAAATATTCTGAATTCTAATATTTTTTATTTACTCAAGATCATCAACATCAAAGGTAGTACTCATGTCTTAGTACTCACGTCTTACAGAAGTGTAATTTTGTATATTTTACAGAGTAAGCCAAAATGTTGACCCTTTTTAATCTGACAAGGCATTAACATGCAAAATGTCACCACCTGCCATTTGTTACAGATGCTGACTGCCAAATGCTGTTACTTGTGGTGGGGACATAATAACTTTAAAAGTATAAATGACATCTACTTAATTTATTAGTGGGTTTATTGGCAGATATATTGTACAAAATTTTATAAAACCAAGAGCAAGTGAGCATTCATCAGTAGTATTCATTAACCACCTATCACATTTGTGTGGATTTCTGTGAAATCATGGATCATCGACCTGTGAAATGAAACCAATACCAAAAATATACTTGTAAAGTAATTTGAAATAATTTGAGGTCAACTTTTCAGATCACCCTGTACATACTGATTACAAAAGGAAAAAATCAACAAATTGAAAATAATAGTCTGTAATATATTGAAAGGTATCATGTTTTATTAATATACTGATTAGTAAGAGGTAAGTGATAGTGTTGAATCTAGGATAAGGTTAAATGCTGAACAATCCAAAGCAATCTAAAACCAATAATATCACAATTCAAGGTTCAACAAGGATATTCTACCAAGTAATTTCATCACTGCCAGTGGATGCCAGAATGTTTGAGACCTCCTCTCGTACTTTGTCCTGCCAAACTTGGTTGCCAGCTAAACTGTGTAGGGTCCAACAGACAGCAGATGTGGTTGTGTCATGACCTATACCATATAACAGAAAATTGTTGTGTAATGATTTTAAATCCCCTCAGGGGCATCAAAGTTTCAGAATTATGTGAGGCAAGTTTAAATAGGCAAGGCAAAACTAGCCAAAGAAGATATATAATACTTTTATGTGATAATAATTGAATTTTGATATTTGTCTGCCTCATAACCTGCAGCATTTAAAAAAAGGCATCAATTATTAAAAATGCAAAATGTCACTAACTTACAGACACTGACCGCCGAATGCTGACAACCCAAAGCCAAACACCAACCACCAAATACTGTCAACAATAAATTTTGAGATTATAAAATATGTGACATTAAAACGATAGGTTACCTGCAAATAAAAATGTGTCAACTTGATGTCTTATTTCTTCATCAGAGAGTCCATTGCTATCATCATCTCTGGCTGAGAGCATAATGTCCAGGAAATCCAGATGTTTCTTGGTGGACTCACCTTCAGTTGATGCTTCTAACATCTTGAACAAACGGATGAGTAATTAATCCATGTCTCACTGTGCACAATTTGCATATTCATTTGGATAATAAGTAAAAGGTAACTAGACAACAGCAACGCCAAAGTGTAGCAAATCCCATCAAATAGCCATGGCTGGGATTTTTAGAAACGAAGTATATAATAAACATCGTAAAATAGCATATAATAAATGGCCACCATTTTCAAAATGGCCGCCTACTACCAAAAGTGTCATTAGACAATGTGCCATGCTTATAATATTCACATACCAAATATGAACAAAATCGCAAAATATGAACAAAATCAAAAAATCGGGCCAATGGTATTTGAGTTATCACCCAGACAGACGGACAGACAGACGGATGAAGAGAATTACGGACAGAGGGAGGCATTTCCCTATATCCCTCCGAACTTCGTTTGATGGGATAATAAAGCAAGTGACAGGTAATAAGGCATGTAACAGGTAAGAAAGCAAGTGACAGCTGGTAATAAAGCAAGTGACAGGTAATAAAGCAACTAGAGGGTAATAAAGCATGGACCAAGTAATAAAACAAGAAACAGGTAATAAAGCAAGTGACGTGTGATAAAGAAAGTGACAGGTAATAAAGCATGTAACAGGTAAGAAAGCAAGTGACATGTAATAAAGCAACTAGAGGGTAATAAAGCATGTTATAACTAATAAAACAAGTAACGGGTAATAAAGCAAGTGACAGGTAATAAAGCAAGTGATGTGTTATAAAGAAAGTGACTGGTAATAAAGCAAGTGACCCATAATAAAATTGACAGATAATAAAATAAATGATGGATAATAAAGCATGTAACAAGTAATAAAGCAAGTGACATGTAATAAAGCAAGTGCCAAGCAATAAAACAAGTAACAGGTAAGATATGTGTAACAAAGCAAATAGCAGATAATAATGCAATAAAGTTTGATAGGTCTGAGAAAGCTAGGACAATACCAGAGTTAGATACAAGAGTACATCACATTGGTTAATTAAGAGATAAAGTCTTGCATCAGACCTACCTGTGCATCTCTTCTCTGTTTGATTAAATCCTCAGCAAACTGATGGACATAGTCACAATATTTCCTGAATAATCTGCCATCTGAACTGAGATTGTATATTGTGTCACTGTAGTGGAATATGTTGCTGCAATAAATTGCATTGAATGAAATTGCAAATAAATCAAAGATAAAGCACAGTAGCCAAAGGAGAACCCCAAAATGCATGAGAGAAATATCTAAAAAAAGGAAGATCAAAAGGCAGAAATGGTTAATAAGGAGAAAAACCAAATGTCCAAACAAATTATCATGCATACAAATGAGAATAGTGCATGTTACAGTGCATGTTGCAACGCTCCTCCTCCCCACTGAAGACATTACAATACATGTTGAAGATTAAGATGAAGATTAGATTTCTATATGAAACAGTATTTGAAAAATTTGAAAACTGAACTGTTGATGTTTTTAAATTACTTACAATGCTCTTTTGATGGACAATCTCCCCAGTTCCTCCAATGCATACACATATGGGTGAATGCCTCTGAAAAGCATATGTCAAACATTCAGCATATATCGTTAAATGCAATATTATTCATATAACCCAGATTTGGTTGAGAATAAACAACTTTAACTCGGCAGACAGAAACCATGGCTGCTTTAAAGTATCTTACCTTCATTTAACATCAGACTTTCATAAAAGGCCTTGAAAGGCTTGAATACTAATTGTAAAAGTCAAAAAGATTGTATGTTAAACATCCAAACACTTCTCAATTTGAACACTTTCATCCATGCCTATCTTTTAATCTACAACTAGATAACGGCAACTCCGCGGAGTAGCAAATCCCAACGAACAAAATATCAATTACCGAATTTCAATCAATTATACTCATTACTTTGGTTAAAATTGAAAAAATTAGATTTTAGAATTGCGAATTCCTGCAAAGCAGCCATTATGAATTTTCTGAGGTACAAATCTGAAAAATAATACCATAATTGTGATCTACTCCAAAAATCCTTCAATTTGAGTATAATATAGCCATACTTTGAAGGGATCGAAAAATTATTGCGAAATCGTACATTAGACGGCCATTTTGAATTTTACGAGGCTCGAATCAGAAAAAAGATACAATATTTGCAATCTACTCTTAATTGCCTTTCATTTGAGTATAATAAAGCTATACTTCAGAAAGATCTAAAAATTAGCGAAAATTTCTGTTTTCCTGACCCCCAAACACGGCCCCTGGGGGTCAGGATGAAAAACACGGAATATGTGTGAAATAGATAAATGTTGTGAATATACTACCAAAATTTCAAACAATAATATTAATTACTTTGGTTTGGAATGAAAAATTTATGATTTTTGCGAAAAAGTCCCGTCATTTTTAAAGTGGCGGCCATCTTGCGTAAAACTATTCACCAATATACATCTTTCCACTAAATATGGAGAAAATCCGTCTACTAGTATTCGAGTTATCTTCCGGACGGACAGACCGACGGATGGACGGACTGACGGACTGACTGACGGACGGAGGGCTTCACTATATCCCTACCGAACTTCGTTCGTTGGGATAATAAACTTCCATGTTAAAAACCTCCAAATGTGAACACCTGCCAATCTGAACACTAATGGCCAGACCCAGTGGTTAGACAGGTTTTACTGTATGACTATAGTTGATGGAATTCAAGGGTGAAATGCATGCACAGCGTTTATGTCATGTTAAGCACTCTTTATCTTTCTCTAGAGATCCAAATCAAATATGCACAAAAGTACACTAACCATGCAGTACTTATCCGGACTCAATTTATTGGAACTTACTTCGTCTGTTGAATAGCATCATCCTCATAAGAGACAAGACATCTGAGTAAAGAGTCTAATGTGGCCAGGCCTATCAACTCAGTCACATCAAAACTCTTGCCAGTATCACAATTGCGATTCAGGTTTGTCGATAAGATTGTTGCAACTTCATTATATATTTTAACATAGGGTTTCAGGACTCCAAAGTGAAATGCTGGTGTGAGAAGTCTTCTGTTCCTGAACCATTTTGGACCATTTGAAGTCAATAAACCATGACCTGAAATAAGCAAAGCAGTGCGGTTTTTCTTAAAGAGTAAGTTTCAAATTCATTAAGGGATCAATGCTAAAACCTGTTTATGTACAACTAAACTATTAGGAAATTGCTTAAAGGCAGAATCAGATCTATAGGGGGTGACAAAATTACAAGCAACTTGTATTTAATTGACCTACCAATCTATTCCTTACAATATCAAATACAATATCTCCCAAAAGATTCACAATATGTTATAAATTGGTTAAGTTATTAATGATTCAAAGTGCAAAAATGGGTGAAAAATGTTTAGATTCTCTCAAATAATAAGAATGGTAACCATTCTTATAGAAAAATAATACATTATTGTAAAAATCTTTGGTTTTCCTTGAATAAAGTATGCACTTTTGTGATTTTCAGAAAATAGACATGACAAGGAATGACATGAGCCAAAAATATTCTAAAATTGAAACAATTTTTTGTTTAGTCCATTCGCTATATCTGATTCTCTCTTTAATGTGCAGTTGATCCATTTTTAATACAGTAAAACCTGTCTTAGTGAACACCTCTCTCAAGTGAACACCTGTCCCTAGTGGACACTCTTCTTCTGCACATACTGTACTCTACTGACTTCTTCATAAAGTATCCCCTCTGTAATGAACACCTATAGCACATAGAGTGAACACATTTTTGTGGCTCCATGACCATAGGTGTTCACTGTACACACGTTTTACTGTAATTATGTTTTGACAATTAAATAACCTAAATTCATATGTGTTTACATCTTTGAATTTGAATATTTTGTGATCTCTTGGTAATAAAAATAAAGCTAAATATAAAAACCAGTATTTTATAACTTCTCATATGAAATATTACATACCTATCCATGGTACTACAATTTCATAGCCTGGAATTATCATTGGTTTCTCAGTGGTGTCAGTGTTCAGTATATCACGTATAGAGAGGTGGTTGAAAATGGCGACAATTGCTTGAAATGGGCCGGCCCATACCTTGACCCCTACTGCATCCTTCCAGGTGTGGGCAAGCCTCAGGTACCATTTCAAGCCTTCAGCATTTAAACCAGGGTGCTGGAAAATATGTAGCCAATGTAGGGTATACAAAATTCTGAGCTGTCATACCAACAGGACCGTTAACTCAAAACTGCCTGAAATGGTTGCGATTGGTCTGAGAAAAAGTTGTAATTTGATTGTTGAATGAACTGACAGCCCTGAGTAATATGGGTAATAGAAAATGAACAGTGCCAAAACTGATATGACGGGTACCAAGAGAATGAGATGGCAGGAACCAAATACTGAGAAGAGACACTAATTTTCAAACTTTTGCCAGTAGGGGCGCAGCAAGGTCTATAGGACCATGGGCTCTACCACCTGATAGAGCCCATGATAGGACTGAGATGGTACTGATGTTGAACCAACGTGATGGGCATCTTCGATATTTAAAGGTACAATGCAGCGATACCTTTTGGGATCAATTTCAATGACTGCATCCCACACTCTAGACTATATCCTCTAGTCTGATTTTTTTTGAAAGTCAGATATACTATCCCACACTCCTTGCAAAAATATTTATGAAGTATCTGTACCAATCTGTTTGCAAACCCCCTAGGTACTGTACAGTATAACTTCAAGGTAATTTCTTACCTGATGAACATTTCCAAATAAGATGTGTGACTTTGGAAATGCTGATGGAACTTGCTCCATTGATTTGTAGAGTGCCCTGAGAGTTTGACATTTTGACAGCAAACTCTTCATTAGCAATAGTCCAAATATGACTATCAGTGCATATATAACATGTGTCACATTCATGATCACTATGATGATGTTTTACCTAAAATCAAATGAGATTGTGAAGTTTGCTTTTTGCTAATAATAGTAGATCTAGATCTAGTATAGAAAACTCTTTAAAATTTAGGTCATAGAATTTAGAAATGAACATTGCTTTCAAGAGACAATTGAATTTTACAACTTAAATAAACAAAGCTCTACTTTACTGGCAATGTTAATACAAAGCCACACCTACTATGGCTATATTCTCTAGATTTCTCCAGCCACGGAACACTGCATGACTGATACTTAGTCTGGCTAAAGTTTTGTAGTATTACTGTAGAGCTAATTTGAAATGATTTGGGGCGTGTCATGTTTACATTGACTCGCTTTCGAAACAGGAAGTTAAAATGTAGGTAAAATTCTATCTTGTTTTTCTCTTATAGTTGATGTTTATTGTGTTCATAGAATGTTTTCAATGATATTTCTTGAAAAATTTTGATATTGACATGCCAACGGAGTCAATAGGTGATGTATGAAATGCTGATTTTGAGTATACCAGCACGTACCATTGTCACTGTGTACTTATTTTTTTTGAGCTCTCTGTCTCTTGAAGTTAGAGAGGAGATAGGGGCATTCTCGGCCACGGGGCATTCCCGGACAAACCCTTGGTATCAGGTGCAAATCTGGGACAAAGTTAGAATTTTTACAATATATAGCACCACATCTATAATATGATGTGTCTAATACAAAGTTTCAATAAAGAAACCATATAAAACAAAGAATTATTGAAGATCGTCCGACAATGCCCCATGTCCGAGATTACCCCTATTTCCTCGTTGAATCTCTTTTTCCACAAAATCACAGACTGGATATTGGACTTAGAGCAGGCAGAGTTTCCAAGACTGAGATTATTCTAGGGATATCCGTCAAATATCATCCAGTCGACCACCCTTCAGTTTTAGTATCGAGACCATCTCTACGTTCTGATGTTGGGCACATACAATTGTCATCTTTTAGCAAATCTGGTAAGAGGTCAAAGGGAAATTTTGATATTTCACGCTTTTTTCAAATTTTCTTTTTAAGTTTCCAGACAACACAGGAGCTACCATTGACCTGTTTCCAGGTTTACTTATAGTAGACAGTGTAATGATACTTTCTTAAAAAAAGCATGGAAATACATGCCTTCATACTTAATTACCCAAATGCGAGTAGGTAGTTACCAGTTTCACCACCAGGTGGCTGATTCGGGTCAATTAACATGGCAGGTATATAAGAAAGTTCCCTTAAACTTGAATATTATCAATTTAAGTGGCTCAATTTTCATATAACCCTTATGTGACTGATATTTATACTAATGAAAATATGTCCAATAAAGCAAAATATTATCTGTCCACCTAAAGAAAAGATATTTCATTTTTTGTGATTTTATAGCATGGGGTCTATGGGGAATCTCCCCGAGCTAGAAGTCACATTTTCAAAGAAAATTTATTTTTCAAAGTTGATAAACACTTTTTAAAACCACACTTCTAGATGTAATTTTACATGTAGATTTCAAATATGATATTACTTTGACTGAATTTTGAATTTTTAATGACGTAAATCAAGATTATTTCTACTCGCATCTGGGTTATTTTGTACCAGAAAATAACATGTGCATATGGCAGTTTTTCCCCAAAATGTTGTTTTCCAGTTGTACCTTAATCTTTAAATTGGCTATATAGTCCAATTCAAAATTCTATTGAATACTTTGAATTTAAAAAATAAGCTAACAAATCCCCATGTTGAAACATAATATGAAAAAATAGAAACAATGAGTTTCACTTTATAATTATACTTGGTACTCTCTCTTAGATGTTTCCTTGTTTCAGATTGTTTATTTTACAGTATTTACATACATTATCTATCTGTTGTTTTTTAATGTTATTACAGTCTCTTTGTTTTCTTTATATACTCCATTAGATATGATCTAATGTTTGTATTCTGTTCTCTAGTAAGAGATTTATTCATTCCAGATAGTTAAAAGTATAATGTGCAGCAAAGCTGTAGCTTTTTGTTGTTTAGGGGAGGCATCAAAAGTTCGATGTCGGATCGGAAACTAAATAAATCTAGTTTTGACTCTGACCCCCCCTCCCCCCAAAAACTAAATACCATGAAAGTTGATCGCTGACTTCCGGTTCGAGAATTTGAAAAATTATTGCAAAACACGATCTAGTTTTTGTTAATTCCTATCGTAATTTGCGGCTTTTAACAACTATTGATAGAATAGAATCGATTGGAATGATCTTGACAAAGAAACCATCAGGTAAAATCTTTATTTTTAAACCATTCCAAGGTATTCTGAGTCGAAATTGCCAAAAATTTGAAATGTTGAAATTTGTCGGATAGCAAACTGAAATGGGTTTGAACCCCCTCCCCCCCTAACTAGATTTATTTAGTTTTCTATCCGACATCGAACTTTTGATGCCTCCCCTTAGGGAGTTTGGCCATGTTAATATTTTTGAAAATAACATGGCAGAGAAGCATGAAAATATAAGATATTTTGATATATGATAATCAAACTACAAAACAAACCAAAATATACAAAAGTTACGCCTTGTATGAATGTTTCTATTTTTACATACTGTTTCAATATGGTCCTTTCCTTGCTTATTTTAAGTACTCAGTAGAATTATGAATCTGACCTAAGTATTTCAGTATACCTGCCATCAACTTGGGTTATTGTTTCCGAATACATTACGAGCATTTTAACCTCAATAGATTCTATATGCAAGTGGGATGTCGTTTGTCAACACTAAAATCTGTCAAGCCCCTTAACAACAACCCTTGTCAAAATAAACTTTTTTTTTTTGATTTTCAGGAAAACCATGTCTCCAGCATCTTCTATCTATTATACTGTATAGCTATGACTTGACTTACTTCATTTAACATTCATCACTCAGGAAAAGATGTCAGAGCAGAACGGACATTTAATAACTGTAGGCAATAACAAAAATCAACAATGTCGCCAGATTTCATATTTGAAAAACAATGTTGTAAACATCAAGCTTTGTGATTCAGAGGGGGATGCAAACACGGGCGATGACTGCCCTGAGTGTACATCTTCCCCTACATCTGCCCCTACATCACCGTACCTACCAAGACAGAGCATAACTAGTATTATAACATCTGGTGACAGAGTAGGTGTCAGAAATCCAGCATTGTCTAAGATCAGTGTGAGTAATGAGGAGGTAGCAGCTATAGATAATGGTAGCACAACCAATATGCCGCCCCCTCTACTAAGGCGAGCTGTTTCCCTAGAGAAAAGAACTGATTCTGATGTGATTAGTTCTGTTGACCCAAGGAAAGCTAAATCAGTGCCTGTATCACCAGATGTCTCCGTGCGTGGGGTGACATTCAGTGATGGTGTTACTGTGAATGGGGGACCTGTTAATGAGGCACATATACAAAGAGAAGCCTCACACAATAGCATGAGTGCACATGACAGTTTCAGAGCTTCAACATTCATTAAACAAAATTTTGATTTTCTCGATGAAGAAGATGATGATGATATAAGCAGTAGGGATGGAATAATTGATGATCTCCATGGTCCTGATAAAGATGTGAATGAAATTATACATACCAACAGCACCATCGAACAACCCACACCAGGAGTGTCAACATATAGCAATTCACAAACTGATGAGCAAAATACAAACCATAGTAACTCAAATAATGAAGCCATAGAAAATGTAAATAATGATAATGACATTAAGGATACTACAGTAGTGATTAGACAAAGGAAGCCACAGTCGGCAGATACGCGTAAAGTGAGCCAGATGGTGGAAGGATTTGAAAACCGGGCCTCATCAGAAGTCTCCCCCAGGTCTTCCACATCAAGTGCTAATTCAAGTAGAGACCCTAGTATGTCTCCTGTGATGCGTACTAAGAAGATAGGGTCTCCACGGATGCGGGCTGAATCGCCTAGTAAGAGTGAAGAAGATGAAGATGATGATGAAGATGCAGGTAAAACTATTTCCTAATGTTATCTCAAAACTTCTATTCTTCAGGGGTTTTATTAGCAGGCAAAAACAGTCAATTTCCCCAGATATTATTTATTACCAAAATCACATTGTTTTAGGAAACTGTTTCCATGAAAAATTATGATTCTGTCTTGTTTCCATTTTTGTGACTGTTGTCCTGAATTCTAATTTCTATTAAAACCCCTGGACTTTTTACTTCATATGACCATTCTGAGTCCATGTCTATCTTAAAATTATAATATTTACTGGAAGTGGTAAGAAAATTATTTCAGAAATGCATCGGTAGGTATATTATTCATGTTCCTTGGTTTCATCATGGGCTTTCAACATCTTTTGATAGCCCATGGTTTCATCCTAGATTATTTACAAATGGTAATACGTGTACTAAGATTATGAGGATGGTCTAATACAAAATACAGCTTTGCATTAGGCCACTCTATATCTCTGCCCGAGAAAAGGGTTCTTGTGTTATTATATTTTCTTTAAGATCTGAGGGATGAACCTTTAAATCTGAATAAAGGCACTGACCTTTTCTGAGTTGTCACTATTCCCCATCATGATAAACCATGACATCTCAAATCTTCTCAGCCCTGAGATGCCATGATATAATGAGCTCGATTTGGCGATCCACGAGAGCCCAAAATTGAGGATTTTCGAGATCTTTCATCCCAGCTCATATTTCATCTAATTGAGGTCATAAAACTTGTGTAACTGTGCCTGTTGTAATATCTGCGGTTAAATACAATGCCTATTATGGAATGTATTGACATTAGGCAGATGATTACATGATAACAATCACACTTCTTGACAGTTATAACTCTTCCCATCTGATGTGCTCAGATCACAGAATATGCCTCATAATATCAGAGCATGTTTCAGGTAAAACAGAAAGATGCTATGAGTATCAGAATGACTATTCCCTGAAATGTATTCAACTGGTTAGATCCATCATATTGATTCATAATGTTTCCGTAGCTTTAGCTTCACCTTGATATCTCTGTCAGAAAATAAATCCCATCAATTGATTGAGCAAACAAAATACAAAAGATATCAAACTTGTTGAAGCGTATTATGATTCTGTGAGACAAACATCAATAGCTTACCTTCTTTCAAAAGAAACTTCATCAAGGGCAATAAAATTGCCTTCCAAATGGGCATTGGCCATGGTGAAGCTAAAAAAATGAATGCAAGTATGGCAAAAAACTTAAATCCTATCATTCCAAAGGTAAAGACATATCAACCCTATTTAGTATTTATCATATTAAATAATGAAATTTGACATGTGTAGGTATATATGCGGAGACTCACAGGAGGTCAACATGGCTGTTTATGGGAGATGAGGGGCATGAAGGCCAATCTGAGTCAGTTGATGGTGCGGAAAGTCTCATTGACAATATCTCTGAGACAGGAGAGGATGAAGGTAAGGAAATTTTTAAAAGTACAAGTATATATTTTTAGTTGTCAATTTGTGAATGTTGGACAAGAGGTAGGTTTTGTTGTGAGTTTGAAAAGGATATATCTGTGACAAAAAGCTAGAAAGAGGCAGTAGTAATAAATGGGCTTGACTTTATACTCTTAAACAGACAGTTGTATTGTACACATCACCCAAAGTCTCCATTGACTAACCATATTACCCTCTTTAAAGATGATTTTACAGTTTAATGCTCATAAGATTTTGGCTGTCTCATTTAGCATCAATGGCATTTTAATACAAGTTTGAACGTGATCTATAGATGTTTTTTTATAGCATATGCCATCATTACATATTCTTATATTAAATCAAAAAATCTTAGATGCAGTAAAATTATAGATAAATATATGATAAAATTAGGTAGAACTGTTATTATATAGTCTGAAACATATTATTCAGGAATTCCAATGGCTGAATGGATGCTTACATTGAGTGGGAATTATGTTCAAAATTTTGTAAATGATGTATTCAATACTTGTAAATGAATGAATGTTTTTTATTTATGTTTATTCATTTCATTTTGAAGTGGTTTTATTTATTAAACCTCAAGCAGAACTTATTCAATATTTACTGAATGAAATCAATAAAAAATACCTTTCTTTTTAACTGCAACTTGTACATTTCTATATTTAATTTTTGAAATATTTTAAATGACCAAACTGCTTATTAGTATTCTTAAACTTGTACATGCAGTTTTAGAAACCAAAATTTAATCCAACATGAAATATACTTTACATTAAAAGCAGTTGACACCATTTATTGTCTTATTTTAAAACCCTCTCTAGAGTACAAACTTATCCTACAGTTTCAATGGTGTTAAAACTACGGTGTAAATTCAGACTTGTTATTTGAGTGCATGTATCTAAATATGGGCATGTATGCACTTTGAATATTCAAGTTTAAGTCAATTGACATTTGTTTTCTTCCCAGATATAGTAATATTGGCTTCAAGTGAAGTTTACATCCTAGAATAGCAATGAAGATCTAATTGTATGCAACAATATCATTAATTATGTCACCACCACGAGTATTGAGTGTTTGTTGACATACTGTTATAGTCTCCAACTTTTTTTGAATGGTGTTTGGCATCTGGCAGTCGGCAGTCAGCATTTGTCTTCTGTATTGCATTGTATTTTGTTCACCACCATTGAAGGTAAGCAATACCTCTTTGGTATATCCTGTATATGTGCAGTTGTAATTTCCAAAATTAATCATGTAAGACAGACTCATTGAAGGGGAGGAGTCCTTTGTTCTTCTATATCCACCCATGCATTGTCTTACATACCACAGCCTATACTGTACGAATTGTGGACCACTCAAACACCCTCAAGTATTTTTATGGTAGTTTACACAAACAAGGAAATTAAGTATTGCCTGAACTGGGATCGAATCTGGGACCTATTGCGTAATTTGTACACATGCTACCACTGAGCTATACGGGTAACAAATGGCAGTTGGTGACAATTTGCATGTTAATGTCTTGTACAATTTGTTTTCAGAGGATGCCTTTGACCCTGAGAGTCTTGAAAGTCAGGGAAGCAAGTATGCTAAATCCCATGAGAGGAAGGAATCTACGGGGACCACATATTCAGAAATGGAGTATCGAAATCAGGTGCAACAACGAAAACGATATCAAGCGGTATCAAGGAAGGTGATCAAACGAATGGATAGCCAGCCTGAGATGTGGCAGAGAGATTCAATGAGATTCTTTGGTGAGTACTGAACTGTGTACAAGCTAGTTAATGTTAGGCCAAGAAAATAAGCTTCGTTTCTCTGGGCTAGTCACAAAATATCAAGAAAAAAGAGTTAGCTGAATTTGTGGGTCCCTTTTGAAGTGGCAGTTGAGAATCTTGGAAATGCTTATTTAAATGGGGCTATTATAATAATTTCCTATTTCTGAAATACACGTACATGAAAATTTGAAGTCAGAATACTGAATAAGCTTGAAATTGCACCATTAATAGGCTTGCAAACTTTTTTTTCCATTTAGTCACATTCACTCACATTGCTTGCCTTTAAATGAGTATTTGCATGTGTATAGGCATTTGTGTGAATAAGCCTTTAAATGAGCATTTGTGCTTAAGTGCCATTTTAATATTAATACATTATATTTAATGTACTTTATGGAACATTTCTGTAAATGTTACTTCCTCATACTCAATGGTAATCCTTTTTCATTCAAAGTTGGATTTCTTCATCTGATGGCCAAATAAAAAGTCATTCATGCTCAAAGTGCAAGAATATTTGAACAACGAGGCTTTCTTTGTTTACTTTCAATATGGCACACCCAGTAGCAATTTTGAAAAGTTTATAATGTGTAAGGTTAACGTGTTCTTATGGTTGTTTAAATATAACTGTTATTTTGATATGAGATGCATGTTATCTGAAGAGTGAGTTAACAGAGACATGTCCATAAAATGTACTAGAGATAATTCCTGTAAAATTTGAAGTGTGAAATGCCATCATTCTTTGGATGTGTGTGTGTGTGGGGGGGGGGGGTTACAGGTTAAAAAATAAAGATGGTAATTAATAAAATGATGAAATCGCCTGATTTTGATTTTTACTCAACATTGCTTCATGCCAATGTATAGTGTAAAACCTGTTACTGGATGAGCTCAGACCCAATTTTGGCTTATGGTATTGCATTTTTCGAATTATGTTAATTATATGTAGTATATCATTTCTCAATGATTTTGAAAATAATAGGGTCTAGTTTTTCAGCCTCTTCGAATTATTGCCATTTATACCCCCCTGGCTACTTTTATGAGGGGGTACTAGAATAAGCATTAATAATTTCTGTCATATCCCTCCAATCACATTTATATTTCTAGGGATCATGTATCTATGTATAGGTAGTTGCCATGACAAATCTAATCATGATTGGTCTTGTCGTTGCCATGGCAACAAAACTTAAGTGCGAAAAACTGTAAATATTTCAAATAAATCCATCAGATCTTTAAAAGGTAAATGGCTGCTTATCTCTTCAGATTGGACCAACTGATATAAAGTTGACTTTAAAAACATATTTAACGAGTTATCAATAGGACAACATAATAAAAATGATAAGGTAAATGAAATCTACGACTCTAGTCCGTAGTCATATTTTGTCACTACCATTCACAATACTCAAAAGTGGGCGTGGCACTTTCAGGTAACAATCCTAAGTAACTTCTGTTATCTACCTCCTATCACATTCATACTTTCAGGGAGTATGTATGTGTATATAGTTAATTGATACAGCAAGTTTGATCATGTTTGGTGAAATGGTTGCTATGGCAACACAACTTATATGCAAAAATGTAGTTATTTCGAAATGACAAGTAAATTACTACTAATCTCTTAAACCAATCAAAATAAAGTTGTGTTTTCTATAAAACAACATGATTCGAATGATTAGTTAATGGTAAATGGTTGCTATGGTAACATAAATGAATGGCTTTGTTAATATACTATTTTTGGCTTGTGTACTGTAAGTATTGATTTATAGATATATAGTTCATTTGGATTGATTTTTGCATTGTTCATTGCTTTTCTTCCAAATCCAGTTTTAATGCCTATGCTACGTACTACATTTACAACATTATGTCCTTAACTAATTATCTTAACTACATATTAATATCTAAAGGTAACTGAACGAGTAACTTAATGACATGTTTCATCATATGTCAGTTATTTAGACTTCTGTACTCAAAGCCTTCAACATAAGCAACTACTGATTTAATAGACTGCAAAGAAATCAGTTTACTCACTTAATACATCAACTGTATTGATGGACTCATCAGCATCATTGATGTTCTCATTTGCTTTACCAAGTGCTTCAGCAGCAATCTGATCAGCAAGTATGTCAATCAGCTCATTTGGTATAATGGGCTGAGATGACCAACTAGGTTGCAGCCCTTCGTTGGTCTCCTTCCACCCGTGAGCATTGGGATTTTCAATATCTGGTTTTGCTATATGAGCACTCTTCCATATGTAGGTTTGGTAGTTTGCACGATGTGTATGTTGCATTGGGGAATCTTTGCATGGTGGCAAAAGGGATAAGTCTGTCCCTTCATATGATATTGTCACATTTGATTTGGGGGTGTACCGCTGTTGGAACAGAGAACAACGTAACTTGTTAATATTCCTTAGCTTAGTTTTCTTGTCATACATAAGACATATGAAATGTTCAAGCTTATCCATCTGTTCTTTGGTTAACTCTAGAGTTGTTCCTAGAGAAATGAACAGGTGCAGGAATACTTTCTCACTTTTCATGAGGCGCAGCGGCAAGCAAAGGCACTGGTTCAGTCACAATCAGGAAATGCATGGAATCCTGGAAGGGCCTCACCTTTTGTCACTTGTTCCAACATCCATCAGTAATTTCTGTTTTAGGCCTATGTGACTCGAATATTTCATCAGGAGTAGGAAAACATCTCTATAAACAGAACGAACAACTAGTGGTTTATCAGAGTGTCCAGCAGAATAGATAGTATGGAGGATGACTTTGGTGTCTGTTTAATCACTTACCTGAATTAATCACTTACCTGAATTAATCACTTACCTGCACCTATCAAAATCACTAACCTGCACCTTTCAGCTCTTCAATAAGATCTGCAATAACCTCAATCTGTTATGTCAGCTATGGGTGCTTCTATACAATTTGCACAGAAGGAAAAGTATGTAAAAATTCATCAATAAAGAAACACAGTATTACATAATATGTTAGTGAATATAATTAGCATTTTCCCTTTATTAGTAGGTATATAAATACTTTCAAACGTTCAATATGAAAAAGAAACGTTATTAACGTTTTGTTAGTCATAATTGCTAAATTTGATACAAAAAATAAATTATTTTTACATCTTATTTAGTTAATAACATGAATTCTTATATTATGGATGTTGACATCATTACAGCAATAAAGTTTTGAAAAATCAATCATTTTATCAATTGTGTTCTAACTTACCTAAATGGAATATCTTATATGTACACGTGTTAACTGTGTTGATATAGTTGATACTGATAGTGCCTTATTAAATAAGATGGTTGGTTTTTGTTACCTGAATGTACCACGCCCACTATACACAGTTGTTAACATTAAAAATCAATCTTGAGATGGTAACATTGACTTACAGATGATTTCAACCATGCTTACTTATACACAACGACCTAAATATGTTTTCAAACTTACTGTGCAATATGAAATCATTGGTGGTGGATCTATCAAAATGTTTGCACTTCTTTGCACATAAGTTGTGATGCTATGGCAACGATTTCACCAAACATGATCAAACTTGCTGTATCAATTAACTACATACACATACATACTCCCTGAAAGTATGAATGTGATAGGAGGTAGATAACAGAAGTTACTTAAGATTGTTACCTGAAAGTGCCACGCCCACTTTTGAGTATTGTGAATGGTAGTGACAAAATATGACCACGGACTAGAGTCGTAGATTTCATTTACCTTATCATTTTTATTATGTTGTCCTATTGATAACTCCTTAAATATGTTTTTAAAGTCAACTTTATGTCAGTTGGTCCAATCTGAAGAGATAAGCAGCCATTTACCTTTTAAAGATCTGATGGATTTATTTGAAATATTTACAGTTTTTCGCACTTAAGTTTTGTTGCCATGGCAACCACTTGACCAATCATGGTGAGATTTGTCATGGCAACTAGTTATACATAGATACATGATCACTAGAAATATAAATGTGATTGGAGGGATATGACAGAAATTATTAATGCTTATTCTAGTACCCCCTCATAAAAGTAGCCAGGGGGGTATAAATGGCAATAATTCGAAGAGGCTGAAAAGCTAGACCCTATTATTTTCAAAATCAATGAGAATTGATATACTAAATATAATTAACATAATTCGAAAAATGCAATACCGTAAGCTAAAATTGGGTCTGAGCTCATCCAGTATGTGTCTGAACACCTCTTTCTAATATGAACACCTCTCATGTGAACATTCTTTAAATCTGCAATATGTTAATAAAACTCAATTATTGAAACCAGCCAATCTGAATATGTTTTGTCAGTCGAAATGACATTTGAATGTGACAGGTTTTACTGTACTGTATAACATTTAGGTGTATTATAAGAACTTTTGAATGCCTAAAGGATAAAAACATTATTGTAAACTTCAGTTGAATGAATGTAACACATCTCATCTAATTTTTTAGTTTCAATTGCAAGATTGATATTTTTATCATATTTGACTGACTATTTTATATTTCTGATTTACAGAGGCTGATAGGTCTATTACCATTCAGAAGGGTCCAAATGACAAAGGGTTTGGTTTCCATATTAAGGGTACTTGTCCAACCATCATTAGTACAGTGAACAAAGGTATGTTATACATTTATCCCGAACTTCAAAGCCAAATATGTTATTGCTAACTTACTTATATTTGCAGCAATATGGCTGTAGTATAATTTCAAGAAAAAAATTCATTTGAAAACAAAATTCATTTGTTGCACTTGGTGCACTTGTTTCAACTGGGTACACCCCAGTTCTCCGAAACCCAGTTGTCCGAAACCCAGTTGTCCGAAACCCAATTCCCCGAAACCCAGTTGTCCGAAACCCATTACTCCGAAAAATAAAGTCATAATTTACCAGAGAAAGGGGGGGGGGGCGTAGCTTACTTAAGCTTACGTCAGTTTCATGCCATGTATTTGGCCAAATTAATGGCATGGACGCATTCTGATATTCATAAATCTCGCTCTCACTTTGAATTGCATCCATTGCATGGCGTTACCAGAATGGCAGGAACGGGAGATTTATTTTACATTGTGATTCTAAAAAAGGTTATTAAAACACAATATATATTACGGAACAGTTTATCTTATCTTCTTCAATCTCTTTTATATAGGCAAAATAAAATGAAACATTTTGAAACAATTAAAATAAGTTATCGCATAGAACTTTAAGAATAAAACAGTATACAAATTACGTTCATTTTGTCAAAATATTTCGTCGCATTTAATTTCTTAGTCTCGCGGTCTCTTATCAAATCGTAAAAGAATAAAACATTCTAAACTTAATCACTTGGGATTTATGTTTCGGCATTCGTTTCAGGCATTTGTTTTTTATGTTCTTCTCCTGAAATGTATTTGTTTGACAATAATCAGAGAAAGTGCGTATACGTAGGCTATAAATATGCCACGCAAACAAACGGGTGTGACTTCAATTTCTTGTCTGTCTGAGGACGTACTGGGAACGAGGTAGAATTAAAGAATTCTTATGAACGAGTCATGCAAGATACTAGAACTAGTAAAGTAATGTATTGGATAAGTTAATTTCTGATGGATCTGGATAAAATATATTTCAAAACTTTGTCAACACTAATTAACTTCATTTAGGCAGATATAGTATCTTGATATATTTGGCTATCATGCGTTTAAAATACGTTCCTAAAACTATGAAGACGTTAGGTGAGAAATATTGCTATTGTACGTTCGAAAAGTATTTGGTTGTATTTTGTAGTTCTCAAGTTACCCATGAACTTTCGTGGGCTAATTAACGTCTTGACTTCGCATATTTAGCCTAATTTTGCAATGATGTCATGTCAACGTGATTCAAATGTTATGCTGTCGTGATTCGCAGAGGTTGCGACAAGATTCGTTTTAAAAAAAATGTATTTTTTGATAAGATCCCCTTATTTTCGGAGAACTGGGTTTCGGACAACTGGGTTTCGGAGAATTGGGTTTCGGACAACTGGGTTTCGGACAACTGGGTTGACCCCGTTTCAACTTGCAAATAATTCATCCCCATTAGGCTGACAATCTCACACTTAAAGCAAGAGACATACCAACATTTTATCTGTATTTTAAAACCCCTAAAAATAATAGATATGAATATGTGTCATATAAAAAGAGATTGCGAAAATTTAATTTTGTTCAAAAATTAAGAAAAATTAAAAAACGTTTGACTCAACTGGATTCAAATCTGCTCCGTCAAAACTGTTTAGAATCTTGCAGAGTTGCTTTATCTAATGCACTGTGTACATGTTTAATGGTGTTTTAAAGGTGGGGCTGCTGAGAGGTCAGGGGTATTGGTTGGAGATGTGCTGGTCACATGTAATGCTATAAATGTAACAGCTGCCTCACATAGAGAAATACAGCAACAAATATCTGGTGAGCCTCATATTTATTCTGCTGCTTGTATTACATTCTGGCCTTGAATTAAAACATTTAGAGGCTGGGTCCAAATATCAACACTTTTTGTAAAAGCTAATTCAGTGACCTCCTTTTGTTGGTTTAAACTTGTCAAACATTAAAGTTATCCCGGACATCATTTTCAATGCTTTTCAATGGAGAAACTTGACTTACCTGCCCAGTATTCATTGAATTGGTTTGACAAAAACTCATTTGATTGATTGAATCCTTCATTGTTAGGTTCGGAGAGTCTGGAGATTGAGGTAACATCCTCCAGTGTTCTCCAGGCAGAGCCTGATGAGGTGATCATGTCAGGCTATCTGACCAAGCAGAGTGCAGGCACCTTCAAGCTGCTCAGGAGGAGGTACTTTGTACTCAAACAGGACCATTGTATCTACTACTATAAGACAGATAACTTCAAGGTACATACAAACTTACAACAACCTCCATTGAAAATGAGACATACATTTATTATAAAGTATGAATTTGTAATGATTTTTTTAATTGCCAGTATTATAATCTAAATGATGGATCTTGAAGAATCGATTTGTAGAATACCCTGCTTTTCCCTTTACCATAGTATATTAAATTCTTCAACATCATATGATTGAAAAGGAATAGATTTCTGCAACTTCTAATGTCTCTCTTTGGATATAAACATTTCCGGATTGATTGATTGGATTTTCATATGTAACCACTGTTGTCTCTGTAGGATGAGGACCCTTTGGGAGCCATACCCCTACTGAACTATACAATTACCAAGGCAACAGAAATCAACAAAAAGTTTGCCTTCAAAGCTACTAAATATGGTGCACGGACCTATGTTCTCATTGCTGATAATGAAAATGATATGAATAGGTATGGGTTGTAGAATGATGGTACTGAATAAATCTCAACAGAATTTGTAATTGCAAAATAACTTAATAGCTGCAAAATAAGTAGTACACGGATAGTGATATTTTCACATGAAAATTTGTTAACAAAAAATACCTCACTTGACCTTTTAGTACAATAAATGGACTAATTTTTATCTAAAAACAAAAGTTATAGTACTTTAGTGTGGAAAATGGAAACAATGTAGTTTAATTGTATATTTTCAGCTGGGCAAATGCGATGAATCAGGCTGCAGTAGCTACTAAAAACAAAAAGGTGAATACCTTAATTCAATAAAGTACCCTTAATTAGCAGTGATTTAGTACACAAGTGAAACCTGTAAAGTGGAACACTTCTAGAAGTGGAATGTCTCTGTTAGTGGAACACTTTTCAGAGCCCCAAGGCCAACTGACTAAAAGTTAAAACACCTCCCAAGTAGAAGTTAGAACACTTTTTAGATTTACCAAAAGTGCTGTACTTAGACATGTTTTACTGTATTATTCTTCAGTGCTGTTTTTTCTTGTTATTCATATATAAATACTGGTTTGGATGATAGCTCAATTGTTTAACTGAATAACAATTAATATTATGTTTTGAACATGGTCCCCTCTAAAGGTTGAGTCAATGTCTGACCTTATCATTTATTTTAATCATATCAATGTGTTTGACATTTTATCAAATGTTAACTAAAGTTATATACATGCTATCAATGTTAAACATTCTATGGGAAATTAGTAACCGCTGTAAACCTTTGACATTTTATAGAATGAGACATGGCTTGATGTTAGCTCCCATAATGTAGGTCTCCCAGCTCTGTCCATTAAGAACCCTGAGTGCCATGGTATACTCTTCAAAATGGCAAACAGACGAAAGACATACCAGAAGCGATATTGTGTGCTAAAAGATGCATGTCTGTACTACTACCTTGGTGTTAACTCAACAACAGCTCAGGGTATTTCATATATTTTTATATATGCATATTAAATACTATTAAATACAATATGTGCTCCAAATATACAATGTGGTCTATACAGTATTTACAAAATATCTTCTATACATATAAACTCTATCTATATTTAGACAATATATACTAAATAATAAATAATATTTATGTGAATAGATAATTGCTCACACATCCCTGGTTTTTGTCAAATGTTCCACTTGTTAAGTGTGACATTAAATGTCAAACGACTACTTCAAAATGATACTTAACACGATAAGTTGGTGTGTCGTGACTTTTGCTTGTATATTTATCACTAATTGGAAGTTCAAGTTAACATTAAAGTAGGTATGATTTATAATTTTATTACTCAAATTAAACTTCAATTGTTCAACCTTCGCAATAATGTTAAAAAGATAGTGGGTTTTGTACTGAATAGTGGAATATTTGATGATTAAGAAAATGCAACTTTTATTTGAAAAATGGCAGAATATTTGAGTACCGAAGAAATAAAAAACTGACATTTTCCCCCAAATTTCTTTTTCAAAAATCTCTAGAATAACCTTCAAAGTCATGGAAAGTAGTAAATGGATGGCCTTTGACACTTTTAAACAGACACCAAATATACCCCACACATAGACTGAACATTTTATATCATCCGGTTACCTGTTCCAAAGTTATCCTCAAAGTGAGAAAACCAGAAATTATTCCTTCTTTCCGTATTTGATTTCCTGATTTGTTTGCCAATTAACACTTCAATGACATTTAAAACAAGACTACCTGAACATGTTTAGTAAGGTTACTGTGACATGTAATGGAAATGCTTTATCTACGAGTTCTACACATTTTCAAGAGGCACTTGTTGAATTATCTATTTGATTTATGACTGTGTAAATTTGAATGTATGTTTCATTTGGGAGGGAGGGGGTCAACGTTAATTGATATATATGATGTTAGAGATACAAGGTGGAGGTGTTGAGGGTCTTCATTAAATTCATTTCTCAAAACATATATGCATTATTATGTCACTACCATAAGTAGTGACATATTATTATAGTCTCAAACTTATTCTTGGACAGTGTTCTGCAGTTGGTGTTGGGAGTTTGTGGTGTTCAGCATTTGGCAGTTGGACTCTGTAACAAATGGCAGGTGGTGATATTTTGCCTCGTTAATTTTGATGTACCCCTCCTCTAACTGCCACATGAATAAATACATATTCAACTTTCAAGCTATCCAGAAATAACAAGTTGTTAATGTTGTACATTATGTTATCATGTCACCATCAGAAATTGTACATATTGTTATAGTCTCCAACTTTTTTATGGACAGTTTGGCGGTTGGTGTTCTCTGTTCAGGTGTTGTTGCTGTAACAAATGGCAGGTGATGACATTTGCATGTTGATAACTTGTTACAGTTTGTGTTGTTGTTGTCTTATTTCAGGTGTAGCCCATCTACAGGGTTATAAACTAGAACAGTTGACAGTCTCCAAGAAGAGATATTTGTTTGCCTTGACACCACCGGAGCCTAAAATGAGAGCATTCCAGTTTTACACTGACCATGAATTTGACTATAACAGGTATGGTTTCCTTTCTTTGTTGATATTCAAAATTCTATAAATCATTATTCTCCCACTCAGTTAAACGAGGAAGATATTTCTATTGATCTTTAGATCTCTTGATATTCATTCCAGTACCAAAAAGTACAAATACAGTACATTCATAAGCAAGAAGCGTTCCAAATGTTTGACAATACAAAGATTGTAACAAATATCTTAGAATTATTGATACAGTATAACCTGTGTATTCTAACACCTCTGTCATCTGAACACCTCTCAATGAATACTTTTTTATAATCTCCCATTGCTCCCCATATTAAGAAACCTTAACATATGAACAGTCTCAGTGGCAATTAGATTAGACAGGTTTTACGGGACATGTAATTAACTCATCCCATCAACCTGGATAAATGTTTGGTTTTGTAGGTGGGCAACCGCACTGACACAGTCCATTGGCAGGTGGAAGAAAATGGAAGATTAACATTTTGCGGTGGATTAATAGACACATTATATTATTTTCGAGATTACTCTACAGTACTGCATCAGATTGATGAAATCACAAGATGTAACTTTTATAAAATATTTAATGATGTCTGAACATTTATTTTCTATTTGGAGAAACCTAATTATTTTTATATTCATTTTTGAAAAAAATGTTTTGATATGCATTTTGAATCTATTTCGATGCCATGCTGATTTGTATAAATGTAAGATTTTTTGCAAATGTAGTGGATTAAATGATTGTTTCATTGCAATGAGCTTCCATTATTGAATATTTAATATTTTAATGTGTTTAATATTAAGATGTTGATGGAGCTGTGTTAAAATGCTTCTTGTCCTTTTGTTTGTGATTATTTATTGTAACTTACATTTTTAAAACGTGTACATGTATTTAAAATATGAATTGATTCATTCCATGGAATGGCATACTTGAAGAATACTTAAACTAAAGGCTTCATGTGTATCTTATATGTGTTTTATCCCGAGGAACAAAGTTGGTAGGGATATTATGGCTTATGTTCAGAGATTATCAAAATCTCTATTCTACATGAATGGATATAAAATGGCATGAAAAATGAATGAGAAATGTAAGACAAAGAATATACCAATGAGATTTTTATTAACCTGACCTCTATTGGTGGGATTATGTGAAATACATATACAGGTTATTTGAAAATGTCAAAAGGGAATGCTTTAAAATATCATCCTCCTAAGCCGCTGTCCAGAATCCGTACCTCCTTCTTCCCCCTGCTATAAGCAGTTAGCATTTCCCCGATTAAGAACTCACAGTTTGATTCGCTGTCACAACAGTGCGACAGCAATCATGTATACGTCATTGGCGCCTAATTAGATCACATGTTTCAGTTTAATCGGGCGCTTCCAACTTGGTTATACTAGGGGGTAAAAAGAAAGAAGATATTCTGAGTTTTGAAACCCTGTGATCTGAGGATGTAAATTATCGAAGCTCTTGATTCCCACATGAAAAAAAGCCTTTAAGTAAAAAATGTTTATGCTACGCTGGGGAATGACTCGATTTGACCCCTGATGAATAGAAGTCTAGAGGCTTAATGCAAGGATGAAATTTGTAATCATATTTAGAAATTTTAGTTCAATTTTCATAAGTGCAGTTACTGAACACAGTGCCATGACTTTTAAACATTAGAAATATACCCTAAAGTATATGTATGACATTTAATGTAAGACTTTACATACTCATTAGCTGTATTAGACTAATTTGGAGTTTGAATGTTTTGTTCAAACGATAATTGATGTAGATTTTTCTATAAAAATGATGTTGTAATGATGAATGCCATATTTTTGAGATTTAAATTCCTCTTGGCCAAAGCTTATGGTATTTAATAGTAATGTATAATGTAAATTCAATCATACGTTGTGTAGTTGTATCTGACTAAAGTATATATTAATGTATGCATAATGGTACCTTGTAAATGTTTTGACATTATGATTTTTCTTTTTGGGATTTAAGCGCTGATTATTCTTATAGGTGTGTTCAAAAGATCTTTCTGATAAATCCTGCCACCTTTTGATCCATCAGAGAAACTATATATTGTCTAGCTTGACGATGTCATGGGTTGTAATTTTAAAATTAGCAATAAGTTAATCTTATTTTTGCTTGGTCAGATTTCTACCTACAACCACTGACATCATCAATTTAGTCAATACATGTGTATCAGAGTTTTTTTAATAAATTGAAAGGTGGCATGATTTAAAAAAACAATCTATTCCTGATAAACAGTGTACAATGTAGGATCAGAGTAAAACTATACAGTAAAACCTGTCTTAGTGAACATCTCTCTCTAGTGCACACCTGTCTCTAGTCGACACCCTTCCTCCCATACTCTACTGACTTCTGTATAAAACACCCTCTCTGTATTGAACACTTACCTACAGTGAACACAGTATTGAACACTTACCTACAGTGAATTCATGGTGTCCATTGTAAACAGGTTTTACTGTATTTTCAGTATTATGGTTTATACTCTAACAGTGTAACATTCAGGCAATGCATTTTAATGATGTATTTGTCACAACCACGTCTATTGCCCATCAAAAATGTAATGCCTTTTCAGTTCTCTATTTTATGTGTCCCATTAACAGATCAATTATAGGCTATGTAATGTCAGAGGATCTGTTAAACATTAAAAGATTTGATCAATATGAATAAAATGTAGGTACTTAAGACATGTTCCTTGTACAGTAAAATCAGTCATATTGGCACATTTCGATCATTTGATGATATAATAATTGAGTTTGTGCAGTAAATCATCATCTACTCGTATAACAGAAAAATCACAGAATGAGTATTAGAGTATGAATGAATGAATGAACTGGTGTATATTGAGTTATTATTTGGTGCAATGAGGTAACATATTTTATTTGATCAAACTTATCATGATTATTTAAAAATATAATTATCTTCAATAATATGAATATTCATGGGTGTATTATCTCTGGGAACTGATAGGTGCATTTCTAATGTAAAGTGATACCCGTGACAATAAATATACTCGTATGCTGTAGTATTCTAGTATATTCAGCACAGTATTACTGTTAAGATCAACAATAAATTGAGTTATAATGTGGAGGTGTACAATTTATCGAAACAGGCAAATCACATCAGGGTGTATGAGGCTGTATAAAAGGCCCATTGGCACGACATTCTATGTTAAACCTTGTTTTGTCACCCCCTCAAGTGGTAACATATTTTATAGTCTCCAACTTTTTGTGGATGACTTTCGCCGGTTGGTGTTCTGTGGTCAGCGTTTGGTGGCCAGTTTCTGTAACAGATGGTGATGACATTTTGCCTATAAATGCTTGTATGGGCTTTGTAACTGCATTATAACTTGGAAGAGCAATTGGTTAGACAGTAAACAAGGTATTCACAGGCAGTATCCATGCCTTTTCATAGCATGTGCAACAATTTGGTATTGCTACAAGGGGTTTCTCCATATGTAACTTCTACAACTACATGTAATTATCCCACCGAACGAAGTTCGAGGGGGATATAGAAAAGCCGTCCGTCCGTTTGTCCGTCCGTCCGTTCGTCCGTCTGTCCGTTCTTCCGTCCGTCCGTTCGTGTGTCCGGGCAATAACTCAAATACCGGTTGACGGATTTCATTCAAATTTTATAGGTCTATGCCTTATGGGTGTAGGACCTCTGCTCGAGAAGGAATTTTCAATATGGCCGCTTAATTAAAAAAGGCGGCCATTTTTCGGAAAAAATATAATCTTTAATAACTCAAATACTCTTGGATGGATTTGGTTAAAATTTTATATGCTGTTGCCTGGGTACAAAGGATCCTTGCTCAAGAAGACATTTTCAAGATGGCAACCAAATTTCAAAATGGCGGCCATTTTTCGTAAAAAAAACATTATCTTTGATAACTCAAATACCATTGAATGGATTTGGTTCAAATTTTAGATGCTGATGCTTAGGGACATAGGAGCTCTGCTCGAGAAAGGATTTTCAAGATGGCAGCTAAATTTCAAAATGGCAGCCATTTTTCGTAAAAAAAAACATCTTTGATAACTCAATTACCATTGAATGGATTTGGTTCAAATTTTACATGATGATGCCTAGGGACACAGGAGCTCTGCTCGAGAAGGGATTTTCAAGGTGGTAGCTAAATTTCAAAATGGCCGCCATTTTTCATAAAAGAAAGTAACCTTCGATAACTCAAATACCAAATGACGGATTTGGTTCAAATTCTATATGCTGATGCCTAGAGACAAAGAAGTTCTGCTCAAAAATAAATTTTCAAGATGGCCACTGAATTTCAAAATGGCAACCATGTTTCATAAAAACATAATCTTTGATAATTCAAATACCAGTGGATGAATTTGGCTCAAATTTTTTATCAAAACATGTTTTGTTCGGTGGGATTTGCTACTCCGTGGAGTTGCTGTTTTTCTAGTTGTAATATAACTATGCCACCATATTGTTGCACATGGTATGTTATGTACTCGTATGTTTCTTCTTGATCTGAAAGGTGTTCAACTAAATGAGAAAGCTAATATATACTGGACATACCATATGCATATATATAGGTAATATAATATGGTTTATTTTAGTAAAAAATCAAGGTGTACAATTCATTAAAAACAATTATTTACATTTTAGTGATAGACATGAAGATTATATTTACATTTGTATTCATATGAAATGGAGTGATAAGCTTAGATTATTTACATTGGAAAATTAGAAAAATATTTAGAATGTTATAAATAAATGTACTGGTAGATGTACAAACTTAAGGTGAGCCTTTGTTGCTTGGTTGAACTTTAGGTAGGCACAATTCCTCTGCCATATTTCTCCTGTTGGTCTCTAGGCTCAATAAAACTCATTATTTCATTGAGCCTACCATCAATGGAGACTGGATCTGTCTAGGGGTCTGTGAAGGTAGGCAGAGTTGGATGAATTTAAGACTTCAAATGCATGGTTTTTATAGTTGATTTGTCATACCATTCATTCTTCTCCGCTTACCTTAACCATTGAAATTAGATTCACATCTATCTACTGTAATCATTCCACTTTGGATCTGAACCCTATCTTGCACAAAAGTCAGAAAATAAACTATACAAGACATATGGATAATTAACAGTTACATCATAATGCTTTGATAATACATATATATCATATTATATATATCATTTAGTACATAGTACCAATTTTGCATAATTATAACATTATTTAACAAAATTGAAATGTTCACTCGAAGGCAGACTTGTCTGTTTCTGAAGCCATTTAGAAACAAATATTTGCGGAGAAAATATTTCAATGTATTTCCCAAAGGGGCCATTACCAGAGGATTTCATGAATTCATGATGCTAATTAACTGTGTCCATTCTCATATCGTTCCAAATAGCTTAGCATAGGAAGAGAACAATACGACATATTTTATGTGATGAATGAAGATACAAGGATTTGTGCCTAAACATCATTTTAAAATTTGAGATGGAATTTAATTGAACTGATAGAAACAGAGAGAATAAACCTTTGATTTTTAACTTTACAATCTTTACTTAGTACATTACAAAATGAATGATTCAACCATATTCACGGCATACTTTAAAGATAATATAAAGGGAGAATCAGATCCACTGAGGGTGACAAAATTGCAAGCAACGTGTACAGTTGACCTCAAATATATTCCTTACAATGTCAAATATAATATCTCCCAAAATATCCATGATATGTTATGAAGTTGTGAAGTTATTAAGGATTCAAAGTGCCAAAATGGGGAAAAATTCTCCCAAATAATACAATTGGTAACCATAAAACAGAAAAATGAATGTGTTCTTGTAAACATCCTTAGTTTTCCTCAAATATAGTATTGGTTACCATGGAAACGGGCGTTTTAGACACATTCGGCCCACATTTCGTAATTGCTAACAAGTGGATCTCAAATCTAGGCACCACAAGCTTTCCAACGGTACCAAATTCGAGAATATGTTGCAACTGTACATTAAAAAGTACTTTCCTGGCACTTTTGAGCCATCATTCCGACTACCTATATATACACTTGTACTTTTTAGAAAATAGACATGACAAGGAACGATAGGAGACCAAAATATTCTAAAATTGAAAAGAAATATTGTCAAGAGTACTCGATATGATTCTGCCTTTGAATTTTCATATTTATCCACCTGATGATCTATTTAGACAATGCTTAGAGAATCACAAATTGCAAAACACAAATTAAACCAAACTATTGTAGGATCGAATTATTGATATTCTCGCATGACGGTACAAAGAAAGAAGTGGTCCTTTAATTCGTCCAGCTTAAACCTATTTTTACGTTCATCTTTCCACAGGAAGCCTTGTTAGAATGTTACAATTTTCCTAAATCAATTAACTGTCCTGGCAGTCTCATACATTTTTGGAATGTTGGTCCAGATTTTCAGTAATCTTTAAATTAACTAACACAGTGAAACCTGTAAAGTTGAACACCTCTCTTAGCGGAACACTTTCAGTCTCAAGACCAACTGAATTAATGTTATATGAACCTCTATAAGTGGAACACCTCCCCTGTAGAACACTTTTCAGAGATACATAGGTGCTCAAGTAGACACGTTTTACTATTTAGCCATTAACATTGATAGGAATGCATTAAATTCGGTTGTTTATATACCAGAAGAAGTATTGTTTCTATTCTTTAAGACATCGAGAAAATCTCTACCCTGCGTGCAGAGTCTAGTTAAACTACAGACTAAGCTCTCTTTTAAGAAGTGAAGTCAAACGAATGCAAAGGGTAGAAAATCTCGTAACTTTAGTTGTGTTGGCACATCTGTTTCAAGGCATTCGAGTTCTTTTGTTTCATCATCGACATTGCTGATCGCTGTAAATAAAACACAACAATCTTTAAAACATTACATCCGAATGATAGAATATAGAGAATTTCTGCTAAATAATTCACTATTAAAGGTGGAGAAAGTTCAAATATAAACAATAATTTCGTGACAAAAACTTCTGTTTAAATCCATGTAATTATTTAGAAAAATAAATATTGACGCAAATGTGCATAAAATTCTGACGTAACTTCAATAAATGACCCATGGGCGAACAACGAATTTCTGCTAAATAATTCACTATTAAAGGTGGAGAAAGTTCAAATATAAACAATAATTTCGTGACAAAAACTTCTGTTTAAATCCATGTAATTATTTAGAAAAATAAATATTGACGCAAATGTGCATAAAATTCTGACGTAACTTCAATAAATGACCCATGGGCGAACAACGAATGAAGGGCTGCTAGATCACCCAAATCCTATAAACATATCCTATATGTATATAATATCTATATTTATCCTACACTTAGTGTACTAAATGTATAATAACATTAAAAAATAAAATTGATATTTATTTGCAAAATGAATAACCGGAGGATATCGTAACGATATACTCCGGGCGGAGCATATCATGACGATATACTCCGGAAAACCCAATATGCGGAGGATATTGTGACGATATACTCCGCTTGTTGATTTCCCGCCAAATTGACTCTATTTGGCATGAAATTCATTTTGCAATGATATAATACATTTAGTACACTTCTTGTAAGTGTAGGATAATAAGAACATCCTATGATTTTTTTCAGAATATCATTTTAATCTACTCGGTGATATTGATATATCCACTCGTTCGCTTTGCTCTCTCGTGCAGATGTCAATATCACCTCGTATATAAAAATGATATTCCTCAAAATCATAGGATATCCTATAATTATTAGTGATATTGTTCATATTGCATCTACCCGGTGAGCAATTATTTGTAAGGTAATAGTGTTACCTTGCTCATTGGAGTTGTTCATGGGTCCATCGTCATTGAAGGAGTGATGACCTGCTGTCACTAACCACTAGGTCGTCATCTGAATTTGGAACCACCGTTTGAGTCACACCTGCACTCACATCAATCGCTACAGACAAAAACATTAAGCTTGCATTGATTTTTTCTTGTTAATCTCTTGCTTGCTTTTCCATATATAAAAGTGAGGGCAACTTTTGATAGTTAGAAAAGAAATAGAATAGAATACTGCATCGTTATATTTAATGTTTCTACGGCCAGCCCCGGGGGTCAGCCGAAATTATGGGTAAACGATTAACAAGTTACATTCTGATTGAATTAAACAAGACATTATTTCACATATCTACTGATATCAGGTTTGAAATTATCTAAGATGAAGAAACCTAGGTACATGTATAATATGTTGTAGCTATAATATTGCAGTTTTTGTCTCTATTGAGGCTATTTCGATGCGGCATTGTACTTGAATGTAACCTATATACTCATTAAAAGATGTCATCACAACCTATATTGTGGCAGCGTACTGATCGATGATTTGTAGATAACCATCGGTAAAACATTTTCTGCCTATGAAACTCGCGAAAGTTTTTTTGTGTTTTAGCTATACAAAACGAATTTTAGGACAATTATTCTATTTTCGTAATCCGAAGTCGGACTTAAAGAAATAAGTTATTCGTGTTCCTTACTTTGTAGAACTGGGTCGAAATAAGACGGACCAAAATATTCAGAAAAGTAGTTACAAAAAAACAAGAGTTATTTGTGATTGTATTACAATCTTCTGCAGTAACAATACCAATATTACACAGATGCGATGGAGATATTTTACGATGCATATTTTGGGGCACATAAGCTTTCCCATTTCAGATATAGGTTGTCTGATTGAAATACATTCAGATGTTTCACATACCATTCGAAACGACATCGAACACCAACCGCCAAACGCCGAACACAGTCCACAAACAAATAATTAGAGACCATAACAATATGTCACCATTTTTGGTGGTGAAATAAAAAGGTAAGGGCGATGATTCAGACATTTTGCATTTCACTTTCATGATGGTTGCCATAGAAAATCAAAATTTGAACAGCTGTAGTCAATCATTAGTGGAGAGTCCCGTTAAAATGTCTAATAGGAACAGAGGGCATTCATTTGAGGCCTTCATTCCATGATTTTGTGGGCAATATTGTCTCATAAATATTTTTTCTCTCGGTTCTTTAAAATTTTGGATAAACCACCAAAATTCTCATTACTTTGGTTAGAAATGAAAAATTCCCGCCATTTTGAAAGCAGCGACCATCTTGAAAAAAATATTTACGCCCATTTGGATGGTTTCACCGATCGAACCCATATGAACCCATTATAAATAGTTTGATTCGCATATCTCATTTTCATAGATTTTCACGGTTAGGCTCTCGGTTTCAGGGTATGTCACAAATAGAATGGTCTCGCTCGAAACGAGATCAAACTGGTCGAAGGGAAAATAGATCTAACAAAAAGGTTGCCCGAAAGGGAAAATAGATCTATCAAAAAGGTTGCCCGATTTCAAACCTCTGAACCTTGTCCAGAACAATTGCTTTGTTCGGTTTCAGAGTCCAATAAAACATTGATGTCTCATCTATCTTATACAATTTAAATACCATCATCTCTTATTCTCTTACACTCCCCTCCATAAGTTTGGCAACCCTTTTTCCCCATTGAACTACGTGTTAAAGCCTCTTTACCTTTGACTTTTTATTTACTTAACCTGCGATGAAAATACTTGTACTATTGATGGAAACGTAATTTGACTTTAATTCCAATACCTCCAAAATTTTCTCAATTACAATAGGTCGAAAATTGATGATAAATTTGATTAATTTTTGAAAATCGACATTCCCATGTTAACCAACGGGAAATGGTAGGTTTGCCGCAAGTCATATGACAGAATATCCATCCATCCGAGTCTTTGCAAAAAATACGAGTTAGGCAGGCAATTGAATTTGCTAACTTTATTGAACAAAAAATTGATATGTTTCTTCAGGTTCAACAAAGTTATAGGGCTTTAAAGTCAAAATTGTTTTTCAAAAAACCTCTCCCATTGAAATAACACAAGAGGCGAAAAATTATTTTCAAAAATGACTTTGAAGCGCTGTAACTTTAATATTCATCAAATAAACTAAACACTTAGTGTTCAAAAAAGTTAGACAATTCAATTTTCTATAAAAAAAATATTTTTTGCTGAATCTTTTACTGATAAGATATCCTAATTTCTAATTTGTCCCGAACCCTCCATTTCCCATTGGATTACATGGGAATGACGATTTTCAAAAAATCATCAAATTTATCATCAATTTTTGACCTATTGTAATTGAGGAAAAAAATTGAGAAAATTTGGAGGTATTGGAAATAAAGTCAAGTTACGTTTCCATCAATATTATAAGTTATTTCATAGCCGGTTAAGTAAATAAAAATTCAAAGGTAAAGAGGCTTTAACACGTAGTTCAATGGGGAAAAAAGGTTGCCAAACTTATGGAGGGGAGTGTAGGTCACCCTGTACCAGGAGGTTCAAGAATATTGCGACCGCTTGTGTAAATATTTAAATCCATTTAATGCCGAACACAATGAGTCAAGACATATTTTTTAAAACAATAATTAAGTTGGTATTACACACAATAGAATAACAGATGAGAAACACAGTATGCCTATCACTATCCCAGACAATACAAGAGTATATATTCGTAATTACCAAGCTATGGAACATCAACTTTTCCATGCAATTGTTAGTAACTACATAGCGACTCTAGCTATCTATGCACGTTGATATATAAAACATGAATAGTACAATTATTCAATCTATCATAAATATTATACTCTAATACTACTATTACGTTTTGTTTGCAGGGTTCGTGTTCCCAGCGGCTGTAGTGTTGAGGCCAACGCTCCATTTTCTGCCGTCGATTTGTTGTCCACTGTAACACATAATCACAGACATTTGGGTCATGCATACATGCGTTTACTATATTTTGGAAAATCTTTTTCTATTTGTACTTATATCTAGACTATATAGGGTTACTAGTATGCTTATCTAGTACAGGGTGTCCAAAAAAAAACAGGACCGTAAGAAAGTTGAATAACTCGGTCAATTTTGCATATTTTGCCTTGAAATTTTAGAATTATTTAGTTCATTCAATGTGAATTTTGTTCTGAAAGTTTGATGGTAATCTATTCATTGTGTCAAAAACTACAGTCCTTTACAAAACATGCTCAAAGTGGGCACTTCTCCTCTCTATGCACAAACGAATCCTGTGAACAAAGTTGTTAATGACCCTTACCTACACACATTAATGTGGATGGTAAATATTGGGGTAGTTATTGCCCTCTTAAGATTGTTAGGGGCCTGTCAGTATACAAATTGGCTTAAAAATTTGGGGGATTTAGATCAGGCGAATGAGCTGCCCATATGGTTTGCGTTCTGCAACTGATGAGCTGACCACCAAAGCATTGCCTAAACCATTTCAGCATATCATTTGCAGTGTTGGGGTGGTATTGGCTTGTTGAAACCACTGCTTAATTATCTCCTTAGATGTCCCTTCTGGTGCTTAGTGACCTCCAAAACTTGGTGAGAACTTACTGGTCCTTGTTCATGGTGATAGCAAGTCCCCAGTCACCTTCGAAACAAAAGGGACTGATGATTCCATGTTTCCTCATTGCCACCCAGGGAGTGCATTGTTCAGAATGCAATGGATGCTGTAACACTTCATCAGGAGGATGTAAGCCCCAGTAGCAATTGTTCTTGGAACAAACTTGTCCATTCAGAAAGACATGTGTGTAGGAGGATCATCAACAGCCTTGTTCGCCGGATTGAATTGTGCATAGGGATGAGATTTGCACATTTGGGGCATGTTTTGTAAGGAGCTGTAGTTTTTGACTCAAATGGTAGATTATTATCAAACTTTCACAACAAAATTCACATTGAATGAACTAAATAATTCTGAAATTTCAAGGCAAAATATGCAAAATTGACCGAGTTATTCAACTTTCTTACGGTCCTGTTTTTTTTTGGACACCCTGTAGAAACAAGAATAGGTGTATGCGTCAGATGCTTGCACTAAGTCTCTGTCGCATTTTATTATAAATTATCCCTGTGTCGAAGAGAAAGTGGGAAGCAACAGAGATTCAATGCAGGAAAGGCAATGCAACCTATTAGTATAAAGGAAATCAAAAGGAGACAAAAACATTTTAGATTACTCATATACCAAAAGGTCGAGTAATGTATCGCAGCCTTCTCTAGATTAAAATCTCTTCTACGCTCGCAACTATTTGGAACTATGCAGAAATGACCTATTTTTGTCATACCTCAGAATCAAATATATTTTAAATATATAGTTTGGTAATTAGATTAAAACTTTTTATTGAATTAAAGTACATTAAAGTAGTTAATATTAACACTGCTGTGATACTCGACCATTTGCTAATTTTCTGAACTACTCTTTAAAACCATGCATATCTTAGGGATTTGGTTTGTTCTAGATCTATTTATTAAAGATGGGCACCTTGTGGACATTCCCTGCGAGTCTATTTCTCACTTGATAGGGTAGCTATAACCATTTTATACTATCCATATTTTGCAAAATATAGTGGGGAACTTAATGTTTTGGTATGGTCAAAATTGGGCATTTAAAATGATGGGTTCATTCTTAAACACCTTTAAACAATATTGCTCTTTACATTGTGTGCAGAAACATTGTCAGGGCTTGTCAACTTAAAATAAAAAAGAGAATATCTGTAGAATGAAATCCCAATATACATAATTGAAAGAGTAGGGATATTCAGCTGGTTTTGTGCTCGTTGCATATCTTCTAGCCTTATGCTATATGCAAACTTAAGAGTTGATGACATCACATCCCGTGTAAAATCTTCAAAAGTGGCAGCACCCATGAAGAGCATTACATTTTTGAATGATCTATTTCAACCATATCAAAACATTTCTCAATTTTTTGCTAATTATGGAAAGTAAATAAATGGTTAAAGCTATCATATCAAGGAATACCCCTTTAACAGCAAAACCCAACGTACACAAATGGAGTACAGAGGAACCTCAATATTGAAATCTCGCGTACTTTGGGTTTTACTGTTTCTGTAGAGAAATTACAAAAGTATGTCATTCCTTTAAGTATGATTGAGACATGCAGCATTCTCCTTAAATACAACCTACATATCAACAAAGAAACAAGTTAATTATCCTAAGCAATTACAATAATAATCCGAGTCAGTTTGAAAAGTCACATCTGCACTGAACAAACAGAACTCCATATTATATTGGGGGAGTATTGTCAGCTGTAAGCTTATTGTAGAGAAATTCATTTTACTGTTCTAGATTGTGCTTGTGCAAAGTGTAGAGATCATGAAAGCTCTGACACTGTTTTTTCCAATATTTGATATATCATTGGAAAACTGGAGTACCAGGTATTGGATCTGAGATCTGACCTGTTACAAAATTGATTAATAATGTATTTCTCACAGAGAATTAATCTATAGCAGTATGTTTGGTGGATTCTGAAACACAATTTTAAAATCTCAAGATTTTAATCATACCCTTTTCTAATGTCAACTTACATTTATTTATGTGAAAATTAATTTGATATTTTACAATTTATTTCACTTTCCTGATTTTGGTAACTAAAATGACACAAATACGGAGGATGGAAAATGAATGTGACTCTTATAGTTGATGGGGAGGTGGAATGATTGAGTGCTGTTTAAAATGTACTCATATTATCTAGATCTCGGGCTGCAGCGGGTGATATGGTGGTGGAATGATTGAGTGCTGTGTAAAATGTACTCATATTATCTCAGGTTGCGGCAAGTGATGGGCTAGCTTGTGATATGATCTAATGCTGTGTAAAATGTACTCATATTATCTCAGGTTGAGGCGAATGATGGGATGGTGGAATGATTGAGTGCTGTGTAAAATGTACTCATGATTATCTCAGGTTGCAGCGAGTGATGGGGTGGTGGAATGATTGAGTGCTGTGTAAAATGTACTCATGATTATCTCAGGTTGCAGCGAGTGATGGGGTGGTGGAATGATCTAATGCTGTGTAAAATGTACTCATGATTATCTCAGGTTGCAGCGAGTGATGGGGTGGTGGAATGATCTAATGCAGTGTAAAATGTACTCATATTATCTCAGGTTGCAGCGAGTGATGGGGTGGTGGAATGATCTAATGCAGTGTAAAATGTACTCATGATTATCTCAGGTTGCAGCGAGTGATGGGGTGGTGGAATGATCTAATGCAGTGTAAAATGTACTCATAATATCTCAGGTTGCAGCGAGTGATGGGGTGGTGGAATGATCTAATGCTGTGTAAATTGTACTCATATTATCTCAGGTTGAGGCGAATGATGGGGTGGTGGAATGATTGAGTGCTGTGTAAAATGTACTCATGATTATCTCAGGTTGCAGCGAGTGATGGGGTGGTGGAATGATCTAATGCTGTGTAAAATGTACTCATGATTATCTCAGGTTGCAGCGAGTGATGGGGTGGTGGAATGATCTAATGCAGTGTAAAATGTACTCATATTATCTCAGGTTGCAGCGAGTGATGGGGTGGTGGAATGATCTAATGCTGTGTAAATTGTACTCATATTATCTCAGGTTGAGGCGAATGATGGGGTGGTGGAATGATTGAGTGCTGTGTAAAATGTACTCATGATTATCTAAGGTTGCAGCGAGTGATGGGGTGGTGGAATGATTGAGTGCTGTGTAAAATGTACTCATGATTATCTCAGGTTGCAGCGAGTGATGGGGTGGTGGAATGATTGAGTGCTGTGTAAAATGTACTCATGATTATCTCAGGTTGCAGCGAGTGATGGGGTGGTGGAATGATCTAATGCTGTGTAAAATGCACTCATGATTATCTCAGGTTGCAGCGAGTGATGGGGTGGTGGAATGATCTAATGCTGTGTAAAATGTTCTCATATTATCTCAGGCCGCAGTGGGTGATGGGGTGGTGAAATGATCTAATGCTGTGTAAAATGTACTCATGATTATCTCAGGTTGCAGCGAGTGATGGGGTGGTGGAATGATCTAATGCTGTGTAAAATGTACTCATATTATCTCATGTTGCAGCGAGTGATGGGGTGGTGGAATAATCTAATGCTGTGTAAAATGTTCTCATATTATCTCAGGCCGCAGTGAGTGATGGGGTGGTGAAATGATCTAATGCTGTGTAAAATGTTCTCATATTATCTCAGGTTGGAGCGAGTGATGGGGTGGTGGAATGATCTAATGCAGTGTAAAATGTACTCATATTATCTCAGGTTGCAGCGAGTGATGGGGTGGTGGAATGATCTAATGCAGTGTAAAATGTACTCATATTATCTCAGGTTGCAGCGAGTGATGGGGTGGTGGAATGATCTAATGCAGTGTAAAATGTACTCATAATATCTCAGGTTGCAGCGAGTGATAGGGTGGTGGAATGATCTAATGCAGTGTAAAATATACTCATATTATCTCATGTTGCAGCGAGTGATGGGGTGGTGAAATGATCTAATGCTGTGTAAAATGTACTTATATTATCTCAGGTTGCGGCAAGTGATGGGCTATCTTGTGAAATGATCTAATGCTGTGTAAAATGTACTCATATTATCTCAGGTTGAGGCGAGTGATGGGGTGGTGGAATGATCGAGTGCTGTGTAAAATGTACTCATATTATCTCAGGTTGCGACGAGTGATGGGGAAGTGGAACGATCGAGTACTATGTAAAATGTACTCATATTATCCCAGCCTGTGGCGAGTGATGACTGGGGAATGATTGAGTTCTGTGTAAAATGTACTCATATTATCTCAGCTTGTGGCGAGTGATGGAGTGGTGGAATGATCGAATGCTGTGTAAAATGTACTCATATTACCTCAGCTTGCGGCGAGTGATGGGGTGGTGAAATGATCTAATGCAGTGTAAAATGC